GTTTAGGCTCTACTTAAAGGATCATGGGACTCAGTAACTAGGGTTATAACTAAGGTAACTGTACCTATATCTACTTATACCCCCACTTAAGCTCCAAGTAAGGAGCTTTGGCAGGGTCGCGGGGTTTCTGGGGTTTGAGGCTAGGGTTAAGAGTTAAGGGCAAAAGGGATTTGCAAGGGTGTTAGACGGGTGTGCGTCAGGTTTCTGCGGGTTTAGTAGGGTTTTGTGGGACTACAAAGGGCTTAAACATGGGCTTTCTGAGGTTTTGTGAAAGCTTTGACAAGGGTTTCATGACTATACTGAACTTAGAACCCTAGCAACAATTATAATTTAAGCTGTTTGTTAGGGATTATAAAAACCAAAAATGAAAAATTATTTCTAAGTACCCCTAAGATGAGGTCTTAGGGTTGAGGGTTGAGGCCCAGCGCACCCTAATGAGCTCCTCATGAAGGAACCCTAAGCTGGGATGCCCAGTAACCTAGGAATACAAAGGTCTCCCGTAACTTTATAGGAAACCTAGGACTACAAAAAGGGAATAAGAGTAGTACTGGGCATCCTAGTAAGGGTCCATGTACTGACATAGTATGTAACTTTGGCCCTAAAGTAGTTCTGCGACGGGCTCTGCACATGAATTATGTGGTAGTATGCAGCCAGGAGTCTTCTGGGTTGGGATTTCGGACTTTGTACACTTTTACAAGGAAGCCCAATCCTAAACTTGGTCAGACAAGATACACGAGCTGACATATATCTACCTGCAACGAAGGGAAAGCCACAGTCCCTAAAATGGTACTGCAAAGAGGCCAAGCTTCTTCACGAAGGGCTCCCTCTGTGTTGCCAAGCCCCGTCCTGTTGGAATGTACTGAGCACCGCCATAGTTCAGGGTGGTCTCCTGGGCAGAGCACCCGAAACCCGCAACCCTGCGTTTAGGGCTCGGAGGGGCAAGGTTGAGCCCTAAACTCTGTTACAGGAAGTCTCAGCACCCCCATAGAAGCCTGTAAAAAAACCTTCTTTGGAGAAATCGCAGGGCTTCTGGCATATCGTGGATGCACTTGAGCCTGAGGGGTTTAGGGTTCAGGGGTTTGGGTTTAGGTTTAGGTCTATGGGAGATACTGACAAAGAAACAATTAGCCCTTCCAACTGGTGCTCTGCCAACTTTGAAACTGAAGATGCAAACTGTCACGTGATCATGATCACACTGCTCTATTCTTTCGAATTTCTTTAGACTTCTTAGAGGTCTGGACATGCTGGCTCAGCGATTACTATAATCAACAGTGGTATAGTGAGAATGAACGCATTGAGAATATTACACATAACAATAGTGATGATGCTGTCCGTGTTGGACTTCTTGCTTCTGGAATCTTCATCGTCCAGATCCACAGGAAGAATGAATCGAAACACAGCACGACTGCCGCGAACCCTAAACACCTGTAAATCCGTGGAGCCCTGTGAATCCAGCATCGGCGATCGTTTCGTGGAACACACTTGCTTTATTAATACTTCCAGGCCCTATGCTTTGTAAGATGTACTCAGGCATTTTGGGGAATGGGATTTCGACGGTTAGGATTAGGCTTTATCACCATCTTGGGTGCTCTGATTCTCTTGTTACTTTGTTGCCGGCGTGAGGGTTTAGGGCTTAGGGTTTAGGGTTTAACCTGGTGCTAAAAGCGCTAGCCTCGTTCCCGTGAATATGGACACGCTGCAAGGCCCTTCCACCATCAGGACGATCACTGCTACTGCTATACCTACAGCAGTATCTGTTCTTCAAAAACCTAGACCTACAGCAGTATTTGGTTTATAAAACCCTAAACCCCAAAAGTAGTGTCCCTAAACCTTAAACCCTACAGTAGCATTTGGTCTACAACGCCCCTAAACCCTACACCCTACAGCAGTATCTGGTCTACAGCGCTTTGAAGCCCCCAAAACGGCGGTGACCAGTCGAGATGCGAAGAAGTGCGCCATAAGCTTCGACTGGAAAGCCGAGAAGATCGGGCCTGAGCCATTGATTTTTCACAAATTTGTTAACAAAAAAATACGAAACTCTACTAGACGAGACTATACTATACCTTGATATAGTATAACCAAGAAGGGCCATTTTCGCGACCATTATGGAATTAGGCCCCCAAAGACCATCCTTATAATAGTTTTGACGACCTAATTCCATACTAGTAGTATAGAGCTTAGGCTAACCACTTGTTTTTGGCTCCTTAACGTCTCCGACAGATTCCTCAACGGTATGATCAGGTTTCCTTTCGATCGGAACTTTGCCTTTACTGGAGCTTGGGAATGACAAGGGAGGCTGCTGAAGCACTGAATCTACTTGCAGCCCAACAACCTTGAACTCATACCTGGACCCTAAAAGTATGTAGAATAATAGCCTTCTATAGGTTTTGGGCCATGATTTTACCTACTTTTGAGGGTCTAGGTAATCACCTTTCTTCCAGCTGCCCATGAGCCTTCTAGAGGCGGGCCTTCAGTTCCAAACAAGGCAGCAAAAGAGTAGTATCCCCAAGGGTCAAATGGACGCAATAATTAGGTGCATGGCTTTAGGATAGTAGTTATGTAGGTTAGGATTTTGGTGAGTATATGATTATTGAGTACTTTTATCCTTGGGGTATAGTGGCCTGACAGACAAGGTTTTGGGGCTTAGCACGGTGCCGTTATATTAAGGAGCCCTAAGACAGAATGACTGGTAATGATTCAGGATTGTCTGTTGTCAAGATAAAGCTACGACAGCGTGGGTGTTGCCGTAGCCCCGAACCCGACAAAGTTTTGGTTTAAGGATTTTTGGGTTTGGAGCTTGCGCTAGCATACATAACCCTCTTGCAGACTTCTAGAATTAATTGTAGAGCCCTCTTCACACAACTCCTAAACTAAACCCATGTAGCACCCTCAAAGGAATTAGAAAAGAACCAACCAAGGAACCACCCCCCATAATTGCCTAAACCCTAAATTGCAGGGTTCGAAAGCAAGGTACTGCACGCCAGAAGCGAGGAAGCCAGATTGTAGCACGCAGAGAGACCTTTGTCGGGAGGGGGAGGTTTCTTGTATCAAAGGGGAAAAGGAAGGACCCTTAATGGGGACCCCTACCCGATAATGGGCGATATAATGGGTATATAATAGCTATATTAAGGGTATATACCTGGGGGTCCTTATTAAGGGTCCGTCCTTTCACCCTTGGATTGTAAGTTTGATTTGTTCAGCAGCCGTTTGGACGGCGTCGTAAACACGTGGGGTTCGGGGTTTCAAGTTGAGGCTTTTTGTAGATTCTGCTGAAACTCTGTCAGAGTTTGCATAATGTTTTCCACGCGGGATTGATAACGGCTCGGAAGGTTTCAGCTAGCAGCTAGCATACACATGGGTGCGTCCATGCCAAAGGCCGTAGGGCTCGGCGCGGCAGAGAAGTGTTTAAATGGTGGTGACAAGGAACCAACACAGGAATTGGCAGAAGATGGAGCTGTCTCAAAGCAAGCCTTGCATACTAGTATCAACCCTGCTGAGGACATTTAGACGAGCGACAGCAAGCACCTTCTAAAGAGAAACAAGAGAAATAGATGCAAAACACTGCCAATGACGAACTCGCAGCAATCGTAGGAACAAAGGAGTATACTGGTCGCAGAAATCTCGCCAAATGATGAGGGACGGCGACGCAGCAGTAGTGCGCTAGTCGTCGTAGTTGTCGTAGTAGTAGTAGTAGTAGTAGTAGTAGTAGTAGTAGTAGTAGTAGTAGTAGTAGTAGTGGTAGCAGCAGCAGCAGCAGCAACAGCAGTAGGAGTTGTAGTAGTAACAGTCGTAGTAGCCTCGGCCGAATACTACCAGCAATGGCAAAGTTAACAACGCATAAACGAATCAACTTAAACCTAAACCAGAAACCCTCAGCCCCAGACTAACCCCGAACCGGCGGCCCGAACCCAAAAACCCTGCACCCAAAGGGAGCCTTGATAAAAGCTGAACAAAAACCTTCAAAGGAACCCCGAGAAGGTCATGCCGCCTCCTTCCTCGAGCATTGTTTCGGCAAAGTAGGGGAGCATGGAAGCCAGGACGAAGAGCAGGTAGAAGTAGCCGAAGTAGCTTGACCTCACGTGAACACTGTATTGAACTTTCTCCGGAACCCTTAAAGAACCCCTGTAGAGCCTGCACGGAACCCTTGTAGAACCATTCAAATGAACTGTTTAGGGTGCTGGAGGTCCGAGTTGTCAGGGACACCTGTTTTTACGAACTTAGATGAGTAGCGCAGGGATGTCTAAGGAAGTTGTAAGACTTGCTAGCGGTTCTAGGCAGTTTGGGTTGTGGGGTTGGGGCAAGTTGGGCGGTCCAGGTTTTTTTTCTTGGTATTTCTTATGGGTTTATTTGGGTAGTTTTTGTGGTTTTCTGTGCCTGGATTGCAGAAAACCCTGTAAGGGTCACACGGAGGGGCCTGATTTTGGATTTGCTGGGTATGTTTTATGGTTTTCTGGGCCTGGATTGTCGAGAACTTGCACTGCGTATGATGGATCTGGAACACTCGAAACTTTCAAGAAGAAACATGTGATTGACGGGTTCACCATAGACACACCCCTTTCCGGTTCACCATATATCTTTGACACGCCCACTCATTCGGCGATGACCGTTCACCAAAATCTTAAACACGGCGCCTTTTGGTGATAACGGCTCGTCATATCTTCAACACGCCCCCTCATTCGGCGATTCCGGTTCACCAGATATCTTTAACACGCGCCTTCATCGGCGATAATCGTTCACCAAATCTCTTGAACACGCCCCCTCTTTTGGCGATTCCGATCCAACACGCCCCCTCTTTTGGTGATAACGGCTCATCATCTATCTTAAACATGCCCCCGGGTTCGGCGGTTCCGGTTCATCATATGTCTTAAGCACGCTACCCCATGCTCACTGGTTGCAGGTGCAACGCCAGATCAACAGCCCGACTGGCTAGAGGATTGACGGACTGACAGACTGATTGACAGACAGCCAGACTGATTGACGGCTCGGTTGGCAGACGGACTGATTGGCTGACCGACTCACCACTGCCGCTGGACGACCGACTGACTGACTGACCGCGCGGCTGACCGACTGACTGACTGACTGGCTGGCTGGCTGACTGACTGACTGACTGACTCGCGTACCCACTGAACCGAACACCATAATAATAAAAAATACAAAAAACAAACATAAAAATACCCAAAAAGTTGAGGTCTTGCGGTTGCATTTGAACTCACACCCAAAACTGAAGCAGAGAAGCAAAACCTAGGATAGGGATATCCCATATAAACCCCCTTATAACGAAGCCCAATATGGTAGGGATATCTCAGTTACTTATATGCTTATGCTTATGCCTTGCTGGGGTCTCTAAAGTTCTTGGGGGTCCATGACAATTAGGAGGGATTGTATATATTGTTCTTAGAAGCATGGCCCTAGGAACCTACAAGGTTTAGGTTTAGGGTTCAGGGTTTAGGGTTCAGGGTTTAGGCATGGGGCCCCTGGCCCCCCCTGGCCCCGCCCCCCCCTTGGCCCCCTTCCTCACCTGTGTAGGTGGGGTCTGCGCGGGTGGGAATTGAGGGCGTAAGCCTTAAACCCTAAAAGGCAATATTTTTTTGGGGTGGTAGCCTGTGTATTCTCACAGCGGGTGGGAAAAGGTCAGGAACCAATGTGTAATTGTTTGGTGGTGGAATCGACACGCCCTAAACCCTAAACCCTAGCCCGAAACCCTAAACCCCAAGCCCCAAACCCCAAACCCTCACCCAGGCCTGCTTAGGCCATACCCACCCTTTTTCTTAGGGTGCCTGGACCCAGAAGGAAGTCCGGCAGTGATTGACACCAACTCTCGATGGACAATGGGTGGAGCCATTGGAGAATGGTCGACTTCTAGGGCTGAGCCAAGCCATTAGGGCCCTTGCGTGGCGCCCATATTCGCAGAGAATTCCCTCGAATGTCAAGAGACCCCAAACCCGACGACCAAATGTTTTGGTGGACGTTTCCATTTGGCTCCCTGCAGAAAAGGCCCCACAGGCCGCCCCGGGGCCTTGCTGACCCCGTCCTCGCCCCCTGGGCCCGCCGCCCCCCCTGCCCTCCCCTGGCCTCTCCTGGCCCCTGGCCCTGGCCCGCCCTGGCCCGCCCTGGTCCCCCCTGGCCCTTTGTTTTGTGGCGTGTGTAGCCGCGTAGCCTCTTCTGCCCTGGTGCGGCCTTCCTGGCTCCAACAGACAGACCAGGGTCGAGGTGGGAATTGAGGGCGTAAGCGCTAAACCCTAAAAGGCAATATTTTGGGTGGTAGCCTGTGTGATCTCACAGCGGGCGGGAACAAAACAATAACCAATTTGTAATTGTTTGGTGATGGAACCGCCTTCTAATGCTAGTCGTAGAGATGCCGCCCCCTCACACCCCTGGGAGTGTTGGGGCGCCATCCTACATAGAAAATACTGCCGCTGCGCGGCGAGACGCCCTAAACCCTAAACCCTAAACCCTAAGCCCTAAACCTTAAACCCTAAGCCCTAAACCCTAAACCCGGGGTTTCAGATTAGGCACACCATCTCGACAGCAAGATCCATGAAGGGCTTCCGGACTTCCCCAGCCAGGGTGAAGAAGGCGGCCGTGAAGCAAAAGGCCTCTTGTACTTGGCTTTTGGGACTCGGTAACTCAAAGGGAAAAGGAGGGACCCTTAATGGGGACCCCTACTCTGTAATGGGCTATATAATGGGTATATAGTGGCTACATAAAGGGTATATACCTAGGGTCCTTATTAAGGGTCCCTCCTTTTCCACTTTGGGTAACCCACAGGGTCCATATGTACTACCATTGTGGAATTGGGTCCCAAAAGACCATCCTTATTATGAACTTGAGGACCTGATTCCAGCATAGTAGTATATATGGACCATCTGGCTAGGGCTATATATGATGTAACTATAGTTGCAGCTACTTGTAATTACAGCGCTTCAGGTACTTATTTACGACCGTACTTTCCAAGTCCCATGATCCTCCAAGTAGGGTTGGCCTAAACCTCCAAACCCTTAGAACGTACATCTCAAAGCCCTGAATCTGAAGCCCCAAACCGAAACCTCAAACCCTGAACCCCTCAAACCCCTGGGCCCGGTTAGGGTTTGAAGTGCTGGGTTTGGGGGTTTAGGGTGCCAGGACCTCCAAGAAGGCCTTAAACGGCTAGCGGGGTAGGGTTTAGGGTTGACGGTTTAGGGTTGTAGGGTTTTATGTGTTAGGGTTATTCTCGGAGCAGAATCCTAGAGTCGCTCGCGAGGGCTTCTTCTAGGGATCTGTAAGGGTCCTTTTTGGGATCTATCGAAGTTCTGTAACTTACAGAACTCTCATAGATGCCTGTAGAGGGGCCTCAATGATCACAGTAGGCTCTGGGGTATATTAGACTATGATACGAATAAGGAACCCCCCAAAAATCCCATAGGTATTTATTTCACGCCCCCATATTCAGGATCCACCGGCCTTCGTCGCACGGTTAACGAGGCACTGGTTCACGTAGAAGCCGATGTGGGAGTAAAACACTCCAAGCAGCTGCGGCAGCTCCTTGGCAGGGAAGGTAAAATCATACCTAATTATCCAAGCACAACCGGACTTCTTGCGGGGAATCCGAAATTTCTGCACAGCGGCTTATGGCATTGCACAAAATGTGGATTAAGGTAGCTTAGCATCGTGAGGGCTGGCGGATGAGCGTTGAGAGTTTGAGGGTATCAGCATTTAGGGTTTGACTCTCATGGACGCCCAGAGAACGCAATTTCGACGACTCCTCAGCCCTCACCCCAAGCCCAAGTGCCTCCGAGTTGCAAGGTGAAGCCCTAAGCGCATCCACTGCCGTGTTATTGCCTGCAACAAAACCAGGCTTGATCCTCTGAGCAGACCAAACTAGGCTTCATCGGGTTTGTACAGCGTTACAGGGTTGCCAAAGGGTTATGCAAAGGTTACAGGTTTGCGGTTTGGGGTTCAGGGTTTAACGAAGGCTTAAACTTATTTTGTTCACAAGGCTCTATGGATTCTTAAACAGAAAATTGTAGAGAGAGGATGTAGCTCATTATTTGGCCTCGAGCAGAACAACTCGCCTGCTCTGCATTGCCCATCGACACCTTCGCGTAGAAGGACAGGACGCTCATGAAGCCCATGTCTCTTCCCTGCAACAGTCGAAGTAGCAACAGCTGCCGCAGCGGCAGCAGCATGAGTGTGGTGTTAGCGCTAGTCGTCGTCGCGGTCTGTGGTAGGGGTAGTGGTATTGGCAGTGTCAGTGCACTGGCTATGGTAGTCGTAGGGGTAATGGTGGTAGAAGCAGCAGTAGCAGTATAGTACTAGTAGGAGTAGTAGTAGTAGTAGTAGTAGTAGTAGTAGTAGTAGTAGTAGTAGTAGTAGTAGTAGTAGTAGTCGTAGTAGTCGTAGTAGTAGTAGTAGCAGTAGTAGTAGTAGTAGTAGCAGTAGTAGTAGCAGTAGTAGCAGTAGCAGTAGCAGTAGTAGTAGTAGTAGTAGTAGTAGTAGTAGTAGTAGTAGTAGTAGTAGTAGTAGTAGTAGTAGTAGTAGTAGTAGTAGTAGTAGTAGTAGTAGTAGTAGTAGTAGTAGTAGTAGTAGTAGTAGTAGTAGTAGTAGTAGTAGTAGTAGTAGTAGTAGTAGTAGTAGTAGTAGTAGTAGTAGTAGTAGTAGTAGTAGTAGTAGTGGTAGTGGTAGTAGTGGTAGTAGTAGTACTACTACTACTACTACTACTACTACTACAACTACTACTACTACTACTACTACTACTAGGTAGAAGTGGAAGTGCTAGTGGTAGTAGTAGTAGTCGTCGTGGTACTAGCAGTAGAAGTAGTAGTCGTATGTGCAGGAGTTGCAGGAGTAGTAGGAGTAGGAAGTAGTAGGTACTAGTAGGTAGTAGTACTCAGTAGTACTTGGTAGGAATTACTAGGTAGTAGGTAATACTGCTTAGCAGTACTTGCAGTTGGATTGAAACTGGGTTGGGGCTTAGAGTTTAGGGCTCACGGGGCTTTGTATAAGCTTCCGCATTAATTAGGGCACCCAAAAAGCACATAAGCAAACATGGTTGGTGATATCCCATATACACCCCCCTTATGATGAAGCCCAATAAGGTAGGGATATCCCTATAAGACGCTTATGCGGCGGCTTGGGTCCCTAATGCATGCGCCTTGCCGACGTGGAAGTACTCGCGGTAGACGGTCCACCCACCTCGCAGTGACAAGTCCAGGCCAGCGAAGACGTCCTTCCATGTTCCGGGCTTGAAGGCTTTACCGTCGTAGCAGGGTTTAGGGTTCGACGGCTTGCGGCAGCCCACGGTTTAGGGCTTATTTAGGGTATAGAGTTTACTGAACCGTAAGCCTTAAATCCTGAACCCTGGCGTGTCCTCCGACAGATTCAAACCCTTGGTGCCCTTGGACACACCTCCCTGCTGGACCACCTGGAATCAGGGTCGAGGGTTCGTGTAAGGGTTCTATCATAAGGGTTCCTTGACTACAATTGATGAAGGGTACTATACATATATAGGAAAATGCTTTAAGGTTTTGGTTAGGGGTCTAGGTAGTACAAGGTTTGGGATGGTTTCGGGGTTTGGGATTCAAAGCTTCGGGTTCCGGGGATGGGTGTTCGTCCCACAGGTACTGCAGGGGTTGCACAGATGTCTTGGCGTTTCGGGTCTTCGGGTTCAGGAGTTTTGGGGTTTGGCATCAAGCGTAGACCCTAAACCCCTCAACCTAAAACCCTAAACCCCTAAACCCTAAACCCTAAACCCTAAAACCTGAAACCCTAAAACCCTAAACCCTAAAACCCTATAAACCCTCAGCCCCTAAAGCCCCTTCAACCCCCAGAGCCACGCCTGCAACTTGTCCATTAGGTCGGGATGCCCGTAATGAAGCCTTGGCTGACTTCTGAACCCCTCCAAAAAGTTAAACTTTTAGCCTCCTTCTTATGGTTCATATAATAGAAACCCAACAATTGTTAAAGTCCTAAGAGTCAACCAGAAGATCGCCAAGAAGCCTTGCATTCAGCGGCCAGTCCAAAGTCCTCTTGGCGTTTAGTTTATGGGGCGGCTTAGAGTTTACAGGGTTTAAGCTTTAGGATTTAGGGTTTAGTTTACAGGGTTTAGGATTTAGGGTTCAGAGTTGTGCGGACAATGTCTTACAGGAAGGTTATTTTTGCCAGACGCTTTACAGAGGACCAAGTGGGGGCTTGATGCGTCTGTGCTAGCAGCCGTGTGCAGACTCTGCTGCTCCTAATATAGGACCCTTATGGACTTATAGAACCCTAGCACCCTTGCAGAATCCTTGTAGAACCCCTCATGTAGGACTGCTACTGGACTCCTTCTCCAATCCCCTAATTCTTTTATGGGACTCTCGTGGAACCCTTCTAGAAGCCTTGTATGAACCCTGCAGAATCGGCTTTCGAGGCTGGGTCGGCGCCCTAAAACCACTCCTCTGGATCATCGTGCCGAAAGTGAACCTGGTGAGCTTGGGATGGCCCTTCCAAGGCTGAAGGTTTCTGTTTTTCGGTGTATGGCTTTGGGGCTTACGGGATGAGGATTGTCCAAGTTAGGGGTTTAAGGGCTTGAGAACATGTGCGGGTTTGGATTTCTTAGCATGTGGAGGGGGGAACCTCCGGGGGGGGGGGGGGTTTTCAAGGGCTTGAAGGACTTTGAAAGCGGCGTTCAGAGGTTTGGTGGTACTCGGAAGCGATCGAATTCAGGGGTTACGGGTCCAAGGGATTAGGGTTTAGGGCTCTAGGGTTTAGAGCTTTAGGGTCTGGATGGGGGCTTGCTTGGGTTAGGGTTTTGAATATGCAGTCCCTGCGCAAAGGTGAACAGCCATTATCAAAATAGGATTTGGGATAAATATACTGTTGTACCAAGCTCATAATGAGGAACCCCACGGAACAGCATGACTAAATGAGGAGCCCCAAGAAATACTACTAATAGTCAAGCAAAATTAGGGCCCCTGATTTGCAGCTCACGCCCGAAGTTGTAAGCAGTTTAGGGTTTGGGGTTTAGGGTTTAGTAGTTCAGTTCAATCTTCATCCAGTCAGCACCTTTGTTTTGATGATTTCTTGGGTGTTAAATATGCGCTATCCGAAACCATGCGCTGAGCAGTAAAACACCCCCCCCCCCATTGGATCCCTCAGCAAAGCACAGTAGAACCCGTAATCTATGTTCGGATTAGGGTGTTGGGTTTAGGGTTGGGGGTTTGAGGTTTAAGGTTTACAGTAGAAGCCAGAAAGTTGGAATATCATTATCGTAACCCCTTTAAAGTAAAATATAGGGGATCCTACCATTAATCCATATTCCAACTTTCTGGAGTTCCCTTTAAGGATCTACATCCTCGAGCCCCCACCCCCAAACCCCTTAAGCAAAGGAACTCGCTGTCCGCAGCTATCCGCCCCAGCAGTCCAACCGCTGAAAAGATATGCTCGCCTCGAAGTTTGAGGGAGGGAGGGGTTATGGGGATTGGGTCATTATAGGGCTATAGGGTTGTATAGGGCTATAGGGTTGTAGGGTTATAGGGTTGTAGGGTTACAAGGTTAAGGGTCTAGGGTTATAGGGTTTAGGGTATAGTACAGGGTTAGAAGGTAGAAGGTTTAGGCAACACGGAATTCTTCAGCTGGGGATTTGATGACGGGCTCCTGACCTTGAGGATTCACGTGTTCATAAGAAAGGGTTTAGGGTATGGGAGTTGGGTACGGCCCCCATACAGTAACAGTCTGTAATAGGGCTACTATTAAGGGCCTTATATATCTATATTATGAATATTATCCAACTGTTACTGAGTGGGGGCAGTACCCAATATGGGAGCCTGAATAGCTGGAATATGGTGTTGGGGGTGAACTGTGCTGTAACATGCTGTAACTACACTAGGGACTATGCGGGGTCCGACAGATCTTCGACTTCGGGTTAGGAATATTGAGTACGTCTTCATTGAGGCTTTGTAGATATTTTTTGAAGAAGACCAACTCTGAACCATGGTTTCATTGGATCCTGAGCCGGGAGGCGCAAACGCTGCACAATCGAAAAGGAAGCGTCACAACAAAACAACTGGTAGGATCAGGTCAGAATCTCCATCTCAAAAGCACATCCCCTATCATCCGAAACGAGAGAAGATGAAGACATACACGCAAACCAATACTCGAACCTGAAACAGCCCGCAACCAACACAAAGAAAACGGCGACACAGTCACAGGAAACACACAAGCACATAAGCCCTAAATCCGAAACTAACCCTAAACTCCCTAAACCAAAAAACAAAAGCCTAAAAGCCGTGTAAAACTTCGCGCCGGGACGCGGAAGCCAACGATGCCCGGGCGACCTTTGCTGGTCCGCTCAGGGCCACAGAACTCCTTGAGATTGCAGGAGTTTAAGGGTTTATGGATCCCTCTATAAGGGTTCCTTCATGGGTGTCTTCAGGGTTCTTGGGATTTCAGGGTTTTGGTCCGGTCTAGGGGGCTTAAAGGTTCAGGGTTCAGGGTTTGGGGGTTCAAGGTCTGGGGGTTTAGAGGTGTAGAGTTCAATCAGCTTTTGGGGTTTAAATTCTGTTGGCTTTGGCCTTGGGGTTTTGGCGGTTTAGGTTCCAGCAAGGATTTGTAGGGGTTCTCTATCCAGGGTTTTTGATGGGTCTTTGATAGGAATCTATCCGGGTTGCAGGGTTTGAGAGACTTGCGGGGTTTTGAGTTGTGGGGCTGGGTGATCTGGGTTTAAGGTCCCAGGGCTTAGGCTCTAGGGGTTATGGGTTAAGGTTTCAGGGCTTCGGGGTTGAAGGTTTCGGTGTTAAGTTTTCAGGGGGGGGATCGAAGTCTATAACCGATACCAGCAGAACTGGGTCATGGGCTGTTGGATATCATAGCGGTCTTGTTAGTCAGAACAGTCTTTTTGGGGGATCTTCGAGTGCGAACTTCATAGTTCAGGAAACCCAAGGAATAAGGCTTGCTAGTTGTTTCCCTAACCCTCTAAACCCTAAACCGATTATCCAGGCTTCGCGACCCAGATGCTAGACGGGTCAATACGGCAGTTCAGGGTTGGATCGGCTTTCGGGTTCAGACGTCGCATGTAGGTGATCGTCAGAATAAGGTTTAGGGGTTTAGGGCTTAGGGTTTACGTGTCATGAGGAGCCCCCAGGAGGGAGGATGGTCGTGATTATTGCGGCTTCTATGGAATGGTATGCAAGGTCCTACGGTCTTGACGTTGAGGATTGACGAAGAACTTCCGGGCTTTAGTAAGTCCTGCCCAAGACAGTGGGACCAAAGGCCCTGCAGTGAAGGCTCCTCCTACTGTTTGGACCCTTATCTCAGAGCATCCCTGAACCTGTTTTGCCCAAACCTCTAAAGCCTCAACCCCATCCCCTAAACCCTTACCCCCAACCCTAAACCTCAAAACCTACCATAAACCCCATACTACCCTGAACCCTAAAGCCTGGCCCAAACCCCTGTGCTCGGGCTTAAGGGAGGTGGTGACATGCCAAACTCCTGAAGCGCAGAAGGCAGGAAAAGCCTCGGCTTTGCACAGGAGTCAGGAACTATTAAATTAGGACGAAGGGCTTAGGTTTTGTGGATTTTTCCTTTTGGGGTTTGGGGAGGTTGCCGTAGGCTTTAAATGGGTTTTTGGGGCTTCAGGAACCCAAACCCAAAACAACAGGTCTTGCCATTTGTAGCCGAATTCGTCTGCACCAGTTGCTTCGCAACTCGTGCGTAACCCTAGACCCTGAACTCTGAACCCTGAACTCTAAACCCTAAACTCTAAACCCCAATCCCTAAACTTTAAACTCTAAACCCTAAACCGTTTAAATCCCACGCCGGTATCCATCCTCAACTCGAACGCCTCACCAACTAGACCCCCGACTGCTAGACTCCAACTGCTGCCTAAACCTACCAAAACCTATTGCTTCGTAGGGTCGCTATAAAATCCATTCTAGGGTAATTATGTGATACGGACCTGCAAAAAAGAGGAGGGTTTGGTAGTTAAAGGTGGCCCTGAAACCTTCATAACAGAATCGTGAAGGCACCTTCATTGAAGCCTTGAGGTGCAATTCAAACGACAGACCCTAACCCTCAAACCCTAGACCCCAAACCCTACACCCGAAAACCTTAAACACCCCAAATCCTTGAGCCTAAATCTTGAGCCAGTAACGAGGCTTCGTAGTAGGCCTCCTGGTTAGCATCGATCATCTGAAGGATTTCGCCCCTGACGGCCGCGAGGTTATTTTGGGGTTCAGGGTCAGACTTATGTATTATACCACAGGGTTTAGTATTCTGCCTAAAACACTAGTCCTACGTTCCTGAATAGACCCTTCACAATGAGGGTACCCTTTTTCCTACTATTCGGTTTACAAGGGTGCCCTACAGTAAAAACTGCAAAAGGGTATTACTCAGGAACCTAGAACATCGCCCCTCTGGTTGCAAGTTTTGTAATAAGGCCTCTAGAGCAGGCGTCTGACTCTTTTTGGATTCCAGGTTTAGGGCTTGACAAGGAACTTCCAACTGACAAAACAAACAGTGAGGCTCGGAGCCTTCAGATTCTTGGTGTGTACGTGGAGGATCATGGGACTTTGTAAGTATGGTTATAAGTACCTTAAGTGGGGTTATAAGTAATTGTACGTGCAGTTACCTTAATTAAAACCCTAGTCAAAGTCCCATGATCCTCTAAGCATGGGATTTACTACAGTATTACACAGCACACAAGCAGTTCCAAACCAGCAAACCTCCAGCAGAATCTGAGCCCTCAAATTCGTTGCTTGTAGACTACAAGCCTCTATGCGACCCGATAGAACACTACAAAGAGATGTACAACATAGGCAAAACCCTAAACCCTCTAAACCCTTACTGCACTTGACCCTCCTGGTAAAGATCACCGCGCAGTTCTGGTTGTCGCTCTTCCCGTGGCCGAGGATAGGAAATCCGGGCAGCTCAATGCGGAACTTTGGCGCCCTTGCCTCAGAAGATTTACGGTTTGGGGTTTACGATTGCTAGGAGGCTTCACGAAAGTTGTATGGTGATTTCTAAGCTCAAGGACTTTGCGACCAGGGTGTTGAGAGGTTGTTCGAATCGGCTTGGAATGTTCAAGAACGAGGTCTGCAGTGCCTTGCATCGGCTGGAACTGGTTGGCTACCTGTCCGGTATACTAATGGAACTGTAGCTTAAACTTTGGGATGGTACGGGGATTATGGTAAAAAACCGAAGAGGATAGAGACAAACCTCTCCACTACAAAAACACTCAACCCTACACCCTAAACCCTGAACCATAAGCCCTAAGGTTGCTCTGGGACTCGTCTGCAGGATATGGTTTCCGGTTTAGCGTTTAGATCTTGGGTTTAGGTTTACGGTGCAGGGTGTTGGGTTTAGGTCCGGTTCAGGTTTAAGTTTTGGCACTTTAGGATTTTTCGTTTCGGCTAAAGTTTGATAGGTTTACAAAATGTACAGAATGGAGTCTTCAGTTTCAAAGGCACCGTATTCCAGAAACCTTTGCAGAACCCTGTATAGAGGCCCCCAAAGACCATCCTGACAGTGGTTTTGGGGGGATCTAAAATTCCAAAATGGTAGTATATGTGATGCAGGGCTGCCACACCCCCCCTCCCCCCCCCACCCCATGGTATCCTCCCGCCTTCCCCCCCGCCCCCCCTGTGGTGTGGGGCCTGTGGTGGTACTCTTTTTGCCGCGACGTTCTTATGTGTTACTCCTTGTCTTCCCTCTTGCTGTGGCACCCTTGTCGTCGTCATCTTCATCATTAATACCTTCAAAAGAATATCTGCCACCATCACCATCGCCATACAACCCTCATATTTCAGCATTGCAATTCATGTCAGACGCTGGAAACTACTGAGCCGATTGCCGCTTTCCGCACACGGCAGGGCACGGTGCGACGCTCCCGATCCGCGCACAAGGTCAAGGGGCGGGCAAGGTGCGGGCCGGGGGGGCGGCCGGGGTGCAGGGTGGGTGGCGGGGGGGGGGGGGTGGGGGCCCGGGACCCGAGAGCACATGATGCAGGGTATATGGACCCTCTGGGTTACCTTGTGACACCCCATAAAGGGGCCCTAGGTCCTAAACCGTAAACACCATAAACATGTTTTCGACGACAGGGGCAAGTTACGAAGTGGCCCTCACCAACCTCATGGCGAGCGCAGGAGCTGTCGATCAGGCAGGAGAAGTAGCGTCGTCCTCCCGACTTTAAGTCAGGGTTAAGGGTTTAAGGAGTTCACGGCCTTACACGCAAGGGTGTAGAGTCTAGGGCTAAAGCTATAAGTATCAGCACCGTGGACCCGACCTAGACATAGCATTCTATAAGAAATTCCCTAGGAACACCAAATGAGCGTTTAGGCGTCTGCTAGGAAGCTCTCATGACTATATCCTTCTGCCCCGAACACTCGAAAGGCCCCTGACTCAGACCAATTCTCCACCCTAAACCCTAAACCCCCAAACCCGGGACTCTGACGTAGTACGTTCTTGCAGAAGGCAACAGTCCCACCTCTCATTGCGGGATTCCCAAACCCTAGGCTTAGGGTTTAACGCTTAGCCTAAACTTCTGCCTTAACACCAACTTGCAAGGGCCCCGTAAGTTAAGCCAAAATCCCCTTAACCCAGGCCGTTGGAACTACGAGGAGTACCCAGGACAAAAGCAAAAACGCACAGCACGTGCGGTTTTAGTGTGGAGGCTTTAAACCCCTACAAACCCTAAAGCCCAAACAAACCACTGCACCCTAAAGCTCTAGGCTAAAGACCCCTAAACCCACACATTAGCTCAGCCTAGACCCTAAAGCCCTAACAACTCGGCCCTACGCCTCAAATACTGAACTCAAACCCAAACCCCTGACCCCAATGCCAAAAGCCCTACAGTAAGCTTCGCGGGCTCAAAAGACTGAAACCAAGCCCAACAACTGATTCTCAAAACCGCACCCTCAGGTTTCGGCTTTACCTAAGAATAACCAGGCTACCCTAACAACATGTCAATATACTACTTATTGCTAAGGTCATAGCATTTTTTAAAGGTACATTGGTTGCTCTACGTAGTGCTAGCGATTTGGGGTTGAGGGTTGATAGATAGCTTGAGGCGTAGGGGTCAGGGGCTAGAGTTTATAGTAGAAGTAAGAAAGTTGGAACATCACTTACCCTCATGCCCTTAAAGTATAAAGTATAGGGAATCCTAGCACTAATCACCCTTTATCTCCTAATCCATGTTCCAACTTTCTGGGGGCTTTTGGGATTCGGTTTGTGGCTTTTCGGCAATAAAAGGACTGTAGGGCCTCGACCCCCCGACTGAACCCTCTCAGTCCTCCTTCTCCCTCTTGCTCCTCAATGTAAGCGATGCTCCTTCGCAAGCTCTTTTTTGGTTTATGGGCCCTTTTCCGTCTGCACTTGCGTCCGAAAACCCGGTTCGAGGGAGCCTGATTTCGGCAACTTCACCAAGTCAATCTTCGCAAGCTCTAGATTCTAGGGTTCAGGGTCCGGGGGGTTGGGGTTCAGGATTGAGGGCTCCATTCCTAGAAAAAGGCGACGACGTTGGATACCCGGCCACGTGATTGAAAGGCATACTGAACACGAAAACCCATGGGCAAGTATGGTGATGGGTTGGAGACGGAAAGTGGCAGCAAAAAGGCCAAGCCTCAACCACAAACCCTAAATCCCTAGACACTCCAACCCAAATCCTAAACCCTAAACCCTAAAACGCAACCCTCGAGACCCTGATGGAATACCCCTGAAAAGGGGCTTCAAAGAGGCCCTCCTGGGTCCTTGGTTGTTGTATTGTTTGGTTTGTTGTCTTGCGTTGTGATGCCGGGGCTCGGAAGTTTAGAGGAAGAGGAAATGTAGGGAACTTAGGGCTGTAGGGTTTACGGCTTTCCGGGTCTGGGAAGCGTCCCCGGGCATGGCAGGCACCCTTCGCAGCCTCAAGATCGGGTCTTGAGGGCATACTTAGAGGATCATGGGACTTAGTAAGTATGGTTCCTTAAAGGGCTCCTTAAAGGGATCTATAGGGTTCCGTATAATGGGATCTATGGGGGTTTAGGGTTTAGGGTCTACTTAGAGGATCATGGGACTTAGTAAGTAGGTTATAATTGGGGGTATAAGACCCCTAAGTGGGGTTATCCTAATTGTAACCTACTTATAACCTTACTTACTAAGTCCCATGAGCCTTTAAGTACCCGCATACCGGGCTACTGCGGAGGATGCTCAGAGAACTCAAAAAAGTTAATGCACGCTCCATCACAATACGATGTTGAGGGACTGGGGTACATTGAGGTTTAAAGATGTGGGCCAGATGGGGATTGACGACGGCTGCATGATAAGCAAAATCGCCATCATAGTCACATACATCGTTATAGCCGATAGGCGTCCAGATGTTGATAGGATTTTCCTTGGAAACAACATGCAAAACCTCATCCATGTTCAGGAGGCAAACTAAGCCAAGGAATAAGTTTGAGCTCTTGGCCGCAACCCAAAGCCCGTGGTAAAACTCTTCCAGAACCCTGGTAACACCCCAGGGCCAGAAGCCTTGCATCATGTGCTGCATAAGCCCTAAGCCCTACATCCCTAAACCTGAAACCCGAAACCCCTAAACCCTAAGCCCCGAACCCCTAAACCCCTAACCCTGAACCCTAATCCGTCTAACACATGCGCCTTGAGGCCTGCAAAACCAGAAAACACCTCGTACACAGCCATTGAGCTTCAGCGAGCAACTGGCTTGGGGCTTAGGGCTTTAAAGGGCTTAGGGTTCTTGTTAAGGGGTTTGCTCTAAGTTACCATGATAGGGATCTATACTAAATGAACTGGTTTCCTCATTATGGTAACTTAACCTAACTCCCCTAATAAGAACCCAGCCAGGGCTCAGCCAATCCCCGAAGGTTGAGAACATCGCCTCGGTTTCGGGCTTAGGACTCTCCCCACCTTACCTTTGGTTAGTAGGGAATGGTTTCTTAAAGGGATCTAAAGGGCTCCTTAAAGGGATCTATAGGGGTTCCTTATAATGGGACCTATAGGGGTAGTCTTACCTTTGGTTGGTAGGGAATAGAAGAATGGTAGTAGTAATAGTAGTTGTAATTGTACCCCATTCCTCCATTCCCGACTAACCAAAGGAAAGCCATAGGGTTTCGCGAGGTGTCCCAAGGGCTTGACGGGGTTGCATTAGGGTCTTGCAGGGCTTTTCTGGGCGTCCTACGGCTTCATATGGTTGGCTGGAAACATGAATACAAATGCAATGAAAAACACACATACACGTTAGAGTTAGAGAAGAACCATCCACGGATTATTTAAGGCGATAAAGTGACTTATTCTTTTGCAAAGAGCCTTTATCAGTCTCGCAACTGGGTTGTTTTGCGGACGTGAAGTTGGGAGCTCCTTCAGCTACAAGCTCCGTGAAAGTGGTGTCGGGTGCGCCATCGTGCTTCCGCAACCATTCTGCGCCTGCCCACTGCTGGACGCAGTTAAGACAGTAACAGTGCCGGTGTCCAGGTTTCTGCCGGCAGCATGTTCTGCTGCGGCAGATGATGCAGGTGTTGCGGCATCCGTCGCCCTGCCGATTTGCACCGAGGACGTTCCCCATCTTGGGACCCAAACACTGCTGATACTTAGTTATTGGTCAGGAATCCAACTTCAGGATTTCTGGACTGGAATTTGCATCTTCAGGGATGAACCCTAAGGGTCCAAAGGACCTAATAATCAGGTACTTGGGTTCAGGGTAGTAGTGCTGTAGGTTACCATTTCGGAGAGTATATGAGTACTAGGTACTTCTGACCCTTAGGGGAACTTCATCGGGGGGAACAGGTAAGCCCAAAAGCTTGAACGTGAACCTTGAGGGTTGAGGGCTTAGGGTTCTGCATATTGGGGCTCCGGGTCCCAGCTGGATTGAAAGATTTTCAGAATTACCACAGGAATTGGGGCTTCCGAAAATAGAGGACCCTAATGTAGTACCCGAAATAGTAGGATCCTGGTTATAAGGACCCCTAAATAAGGTATCCCTAAGTTTCAGAAAGGTTGAAAGTTTCGAAGCCCCTCTCCCGGACTCCAAAGCCGGGAATCTTGATGGAGCCCTGGCATAGTCGTGAGTAACTTCATAGAACCCTCCTACAAGGTCATATATACATATATATATATATATATACATATATATACATATATATGTGTATATATAGAGTCAATACATATACATCTATAGAAGCCGTATAGTAGCCTCTGTGGAAGCTCACATTTAAACTCTCCTTAGTACTTAGAACCTTCATAGAACCTTACTCGGAACCGTACTGCTCCCTTTGTAATTCTAGAACTGCACGGGACTCCAGTACCTCTGCAGGACCCTCCTAGAACCTTGACTCTAGAACGGTTGCCCTTATGTCCAGAACCTTACCTTTGACTGTTTAAAGTTATCGCAACCCCTTAAGGGGGTTCCTGTAAATTACCCTCAGTAGCGCCCCTAAGTAGGCGATCTACTTTCTAGATCCATGCCAAGCTGCTTCCACTGCATCAAGATGCTGTGGATTGAAGCCCGAGCTGTCCGGATCCGAAAACCTCACTTGGATACTATAGGGGCCTTAATAATTAGAATAGGGTTCGCTTGAAAAGGGATCCTTTAAAAGGCTATGATAAGGGACCTATAAGGGTACTATAATATAAGGGCCTCAATAATTAGAATGGGGTTTTGGTGCCGAGTATACTATAAATATGATAAGGAATCCCCCAAAATACTATAGGGAACCAATGTTGGCGCTATACAGCGGCCTTGCAGGGATCACGAACTCTTGAACTTAATAATTAGAATAGGGTTTTGGGGTCCATTCTACCATATTTATAATACGGAACCCCCAGAATAGTATAGGAAACTATTTAAGCCCCCATAGTAAACCTTAAACACAAAATTCCAACTCAAGCGCCAAGAAGCTTAGCATATTGCTGCATGGCGATGACGACCTGAAAGTGTTTTGGCATGGGCTAGGGCTTCGGGCTTGAAATTCCTGCAAGAGTTCTGGTATGGGTCTCTATAGGGATTCCTACAAGCCGCACTACAAATGGTCTATACGGGCTTTACGGTTCGCCTTTTGTGCAGCAGAGTATGAAGCTTGATGCATGCCTTGGGCTGTGAAAGTGGCCTTGCTGGCCTAAAAGGCTCGAGACCGGGCCGGCCGGGGTTCAAGCTTTCAGGACCCCAGGTTTAGGGTTTCCTGAAAGCTCTAGCGTTTAGGGTTTAGGGTTTAGGGGTTTTGGAGGGCTGAGTGTAGTTTCTGAGGGTTGCAGGACTTTCTAAATCTAAGCGCTGCTACTGTAGGTTCACTAGATAAGAGACCCGTAACCTCCGACCATTGTAACAAGAGCTACTACGGATTCCCATAGAATTAGAACCGTCATGATCATCTGGAAGCCCAAAATACACGGGGAACGATACTCACTGAAAGCCTGGATCTTTGTGCTCAGGAGCACGGCCCGGATAGCAACCCAGGACCTTCATTTCGCGAAGCTCTCAACCCTCGAACCAATAGAAATTGGTACAAGAGAGTAGACTTACAGTAAAGAACCCGAAAGAGTTCATAGTACTGTTAACTGTTGAGTCTTCTGGGGGATTTGGACTTACCCTGCACCCTGCGTCCCACCTGCAGCCGCTGGCGAACGAGCTCCTCACCGAAGCCGATGCTGTCTCCCAATGTTTGGTGCTTGGCCAACGTCTGCAGCGCATGCCCATATGCGTGGCAAATGCCTCTCACGGGGCCGCACATCCAAACTAACGTGGAATCAGGAGATTGCGATCGAAAAACGTTTCACCGGTATTAGCTTACTGAGCACTTTATTGGTAAGGAACTTGCGTTAAGCTGCCATGAAAAGGGTATAACACAAACAGCCTGCTGCCCGTACTTACAGTGTAGCATAAACGAAGTTCCATACAAGAATCCAGTGAAGCCTACTTAGAGGATCATGGGACTTAGTAACTAGGGTTATACTTAAGGTGGCTATACTTATACTTACGTATAACCCCACTTAGGGTACTTATAACCATACTGACTATTTATAAGTCCCATGATCCTCCAAGTGAGTACCCTTCGAACTGGGCTTCAGCAGCGATTTCGCTTGCTGCCAATGCCTTCTTACTCAATCCAGGCCCGTCTGCTTCAAAAAGAAAAGCTACATATCTCCGTACCTATGCACAACTGTCAACTACACATATATGCATTCATACTTATACAAATCCATCATCTATCCATCAGGCAGACAGGCAGATAGACGGAAAGTCAGACATACGCTTGCCAGTACACACCTGTATCGAGCTCGCAGAGACAGGCAGGCAAGCAGGCAGGCCGGCGGACGGACGGACGGACGGGCAGACACATATATACACACGCACACATACTCGGGGAGTCTACTTTTTCCTGAGTCAGCAACAACTTGGAGGGTTCACGCACGTGTAGCCCCAATCCAGCAAAACAGAATTTTTTCCAGCTCCTGGCCCAAAAGCCCATACCACTAGGCCCCTAAACCCTAAACCCTAAACCCTAACCGTTTAGGGCAGCCCAGATTCCATCCACTGTGCGCCAGAGTGTTTGCATGCGGAGGGACGCCCACTCGCAAAGGGCAGCTTCCAACCAATTCGGTCCCCGGCTCTCGCTGTCCGCACCTAGGGGATGGGTTCCTTAATATAGGGGCCTTAATAAACACAACAGGGATTTATGGCATATTATACAACACTCATAACAAGGAACCCCCCAAAATATTTGTTGGTAAATTATCATGGCCCCTGTACTACGTGAGTGGGGTTGGCTTTGGGGCTTTTCTCAGCTACGATGGCCTCCCTTTGTCCACCTGTCTGAGTCGGCTCGGGAACAATGACTGGCAACCATTACCTTGACCTACCAAACCCTACTTTTTTGTAGGTTCTTGATATAAACCCTAATATGGAATTTTTTTGGGACCCTACAAAAAAGTAGGTTTTGGTTGGTTAAGGTAGGTCATAGGGACCCTTAGGGGGGGGTAAGGGAGGGGTACTTAGAGGATCATGGGACTTAGTTACTAGGGTGATAATGGAGGTAACTGTACTTATAGCTACTTATATCCCCACTTAGGGTACTTATAACCTTACTTACAAAGTCCCATGATCCTCCAAGCAGGGGGATAAGGGGGGAGGGGGGTAGGGGACTCTCGACTTCCTTCAATGGGCCTTAGTAAGTCTAGACCTAAGAGTAAGCTAGGAATAAAAAGGGTGCCCTTTGTGGTTTAAAAGAGAGTTATACGGGAAGCTGAACCCTAAAAAAAGGCCGGCCTACTATTCAGCAGTCCTCATTATAGGTATTACGGCTCCCTCCCACCCCCCCTAAGGGTCCCTATGATAAGATCATTAGGCTGGTCCAGTTCACAAACAGGGTCCATATACACTAGCATTATGGAATCAGGCCCCAAACAACCATCCTAATATTTCCACAACAGCAGTACATATGGGTGGTTGTCAAAGTCCCTTGTTGGGCCCCTATTCTAATACGGCACCTAGCATTTAGGGAACCCCAAGAAGGGACCCTAATTTTGGCAACCACCCAAATATGGACGCTCTGGGTCAGAAACCCCAGGCGACCCTCAGTCAGTCACAGTTCGCTAACGCCCAGGCTTCATCAACCTTCCCCCAAGGGTCCACAGGACCCAACAATTAGGTGCTCGGCTTTAAGACAGTAGTACAGTAGTTATGTAGGTTAGGATTTTGGAGAGTATATGATTATTAAGTACTTGGACCCTTGGGGTTTCAATCAATGCCACTGGCTTTGGGTTTAAGGCTTAGGGGGATCTTTGATATAAGTAGGCCAACACAAGTTGTGTCTAGTTAGGTAGAACCTAAGTTATGTCCTACTTGGCAGCTCTCTTGATCCCTCAAGCAGGGTTTAGGGCTTGTAGGCTTTCAGAGCTTCATTAAATTCACGCTTAGGGAAATGACTCTGGCTGTCTTGGTCCTCAAGGTGTCCGACAGACGTCCTGAAGCCTTAACCGGAGTTCGAAGTCCCATTAGAGGTTTAGGGTTTGGGGTTTAAGGTTTTGGCCTCCATGGCACCAAGAAACCACCCTAAACCCTAAGGTAAAAGCCAGGAAGTTGGAATATGATTATCCTAACCCGCCTATGGTAAATTATAGTGTATCCTACCATGAAACCATATTCCAACTTTATGGAGTTCCCTGTAAACCCTTAATCCTTGACACTCAAAGCCTGCAGAAAAGCTCCGATAAAGCCCGCAGAACCTCCCACAAAGAGTGGGCGAACCTTTAGCACTGAAACAAAAAACACCCAACCTTAACCTACTAAAACCTGATCCCGATAAATTCCATACTAGGGTTTATAAACGTCCAACAAAGTAAGCTTTAGTCTGGGACCTAAATCCAGTCTAAAGTCCTAACCGTTTCAGAGTGCCTACCTTCGAGACGTTCGATGAGATTTCGGAACTCGTCCCTGTAGTACTTGATCAGAAATCGCAGCAGGTCGTTCGACACAGAGTCTGAGAAGAGGTCCTGCTTCACGATTTGTGGCTTAGAGCCTTTTTGGTTTAGGGTGTAAGGTAGTAAGGTGTGGGCTTTCTCGAACGACTAACCGTGCCGCCCCCCCCAAAAAAAAAAAAAAACTGATGTGAACAGAATCCTATCCCCAAGCCCAGCCCTCAGCCCTAAACCCGAAGCCTTGCCCCCGATAACCAAATTCTTCCAGCAACTCTAGCCCAATTGCCGTGGAATATGGAAGCCTACACCCCAACACCCGCAGAGATTAAGGGCTGGGTCTTGACCCAGAGAGCGCAATGCCCCTTAATTAAGGAATATGGCTTAAATTACAATATGAAGCCCTATATAATTTAAGCCACATTCCTTAAGTAAGGGGTATCGGAAACCCTAAACCCTATAGATCCCTTGTAGATCCCTTTTGGGCCCCTTTTAAAGGAACCCCAGGTATATAATTTTTGGGGTCTTGAGCTCAGGGCTTGAGGCTTTGGGAGCTTCGTCTGGGGTTGGACGTTCGATGTGGAGGTTTAGGGTTTAGGGTTTAGGGTTTAGGGTTTAGGGTTTGCAAGCCTGCTCAGGGGTTCTTTGGGGTTTAGGGGTATAAAACGGGAGCCCTTTTTGGTTTAAAGGGAGTTACAAGCAACCTGAACCCTAAAGAAAAGGAAATAGGGGCTACTCTGGGTCCTAGAGGAGCCAAGAACCGAAGCGGCCGGAGATATGTTTTAGGTTTCGGGTGTGAGGTTCAGGTTTTCGAGTTGCCGCTTTTAGCTTAGCCTGAACCCCTGAACCCTAAACCCCCAACCCTTCAAGGGGGCTTCTATAGATGACCTGAACCCCGAACCATAAACTCTGACTCCTGCTTGGAGTATCTGATCGTCTCGGAGTAGTGTGGGATCAGCACGGATAGGGTTGGCATCTGCTTGACTGGCGCAGGCGGCAACGGGTCCTGTGGCCCGTTTGAGGTTGAGGGCTTCGCGTTGAGGGTTGCCTCAAAGGTTCAAGCGAGTGGAGGTTTCGGAACTTTTATGGACTCACGAAGGGTTCTGTGAGTAATTATCCGGTACATTCGCTCAGGACTCTAGAAGGGTTCCGTTTAGGGTTTTGCGGAGCTTTAGGTTCAGGATGTAGGGTTTAGGGATGCATCGGGTTGGGCTAAACGGGCCTATGCTGGAAAGCCTCCAAGGCAAAATGAAATCCAAGCCAGCACCACAACAAAGATACGGGTCCCAACAATCAGAAAAAGGTTTTGGGGTGCAGTAATGTAGGAACCTGATTCAGAAACCTTGCGCCTTTATTACATGGGGTTCCTTACAAGGATTCCTCAAATTTTGGGGTTAGAGGCCCAGTTTTTTCTTAATCAGGTTCCTGCATTATTCGGGTTCGGATGCACCCAAGACCCTGCACCCTCAAGCTGAAACCTCATGACGGAAACCTAAAGTCAAAACCCTACCGGGACCCTACAGAACCTGCCTTTCCCAGGGTTCTTTCTTATGATTTGCTTGTGTAAGTGCTTAAACTTAATGAAGGTTGGCTAGTTGGGGCTAAGGTAAGACCTGCACCTAAATCCTGGAAAACCTTGCAACAGTCTTATGAGTTTATGCAGTCCGCCATTGTATGCTGCTAACATTCGCTTATCGATCCCGCTGATGCCCTGATGCTCATGGTAACAGGGTATAGAGTTTAGGGTTTGCAGCACCAGATAACCGGTTTAGAGTTTGGAGTTTAGGGTGTAGAGGGTAGAGTTGAAGGTTTAGGGTGTAGGGTTGAGGGTCTGCAGCACCAGATAAGACCCCGAAGCCTAGACAACCAAACCCCTTTCCAACACAAAGCCCCTTCTGGGATACCCAGTAACCTAAGAATAAAAAGGCCTCTCTTTTTGGTATTGGGTAACTTTATAAGGAACCTAGGACTACAAAAAGGGAATGAGGGTACTACTGGGCATCCTAGCCTTAGTGACTTTGATGCGAATCAACTCAGAAAAAGCTCTGTCCCCATGAAAAGCCCTATGAATCGGTTCAGAAGCCCATGATGATATGGGTGGTGACCAAAATTAGGGTCCCTTTTGGGGTACCTATTATAATACGGCACCTAACATTTAGGGTACCCAGAAAGGGACCATAATTTTGACAACTACCCATATAGATCCGAGACCCCACGCCCCAAATCTAAACCCCTGAAGCCCGAACCATGAACCCACGCAGAGCCACTGTAGCATTTACCCATGTAGTGCGCCTCAAAGGAGCCCTGAACGGAGCCCTTAAAGGAGCCCTTAAAGGAACCCTCTGACAGAAGCCGAAGCTCGCCCAAATCCTACGCTGCAAAAATCAGAGTAAACCGTAAGCGCCCTACAGAACTCAACAGTTTGAAGGTAGCCTAAACCCTGACCCCCCCCGCCTCACAGAACTGCTATAGAATCCTCAAAAGAGACCTCTGAACCCTGAAAGGAGCCCAGAACAAACCGAAACCCCAAGACAGCCCTAAACCCCTACACCGCAAGCCCTACACCCTAAACCCCTAAACCCCTAAACAACAAACCCTAATTAAACCCTAAACGCGTAAACCCCTAAAGCCCTAAACCCCTAACCCCTAAACCCTAAACTCCCCAAAGCCTAAATCCACCAAACCCCAAAGCCCAAGCGGTCCATCTGCGCGGACCGCGCCAAGGTGACGATGCGACGGCGAGCCTCCAGGTTCGCCGGCAGCGCATTGAGGCTCATGGCCTGTTCGGAGGGTTGAAGGTTTAGGGCTCCTTTAAAGGAATTAGATCTTAGATCGGCTCCTATAAGGGATTTATAAGGGCACTTTGAGGGTTGAGGTTTATAGGGTTCAGAGTTTAGGGTTTAGGATTTGGGGTTTAGGGGTTTAGAGGTTCAGGGTTGAGGGTTCAGGGTTTAAGGGGTTTAGGGCTGTGGGATTAGGTTTAAATCAATTAATGGTTTAGGGTTCAGGATTGGGTTAAAGGATTAGAGAAACTGTATACGGTTAGGGTTAAGGCGGGTTCAGGTCCAGTTTTGTCGCTTGCTGATGGAATACTATTACGTTTTCTTCGAGGGATTTGCAACTGTGCTTCTATAGGGTTTCTACAACGTTTATGCTGTAGGGCTGATAAGCCTGACCCCAAACTTCCCGAAAGTTTAGGAGTTGACTCACTGGCCCAAAACCCAAGGGAATAAAGGTTGAAACTTTCAGAATCGACTACCTTGTAAGAACCCCAAAAGTTGAAAAGTTGAGTTTACAGCCAATAAGTCGAAGTTGAGGCTTCAAGGGTTCAGGATTCAAGGGTTGAGGCTGTCGGGCTTGTGGATTTATATCGGGTTTAAGAGTTGAGGGTTCAGGGCTTAGGGGTCCCTAAACCCGAAACCCCACACCCAGAGCTCCCAAACTCCCAAACCCAGAGGCCTGAGCTCCCCAATCCCTAAGCCCTCATCCCTAACCTAGTCCCTGAACCCCAAAACCCTATAGAGCCCTTATGGAAGCCGTACAGATCCCTTTAACGGAACCCTAAACCCTAAAGTAAGCCCCAAACAGTTGGAAAACCGGATTAAGGCCAAATAGTGCTGGGATTCCCTATAGATTACTCTTAAGGATTGAGGCTATTGGGTTTCCAACTTTTGGGCGTCTACCGTAAACCCTGAGCCCTACTTAGAGGATCAGGCGACTTAGTAAGTAGGTTATAATTGGGGTTATAAGTCCCCTAAGTGGAGTTATCCTAATTATAACTTTATTTTTAACCTTACTTACTAAGTCTCATGAGCCTTTAAGTACCGTAAACCCTGAACGCCCTGAAGGTAGCCCTATACCCTAAACCCTAAACCCTGATACCTACCCTAAAGGTTTAACCCTAAACCTTAAACCCTAAACCCCTAAACCCTGAACGCCCTGAAGGTTTCAGGCACCTGAAAGAGGCGCGGCACGCGGCCCTGGCGCGCTTCCTCCACCGACCTCGATAGGTCGTAACAGCTTTGGGGCCCAGGGTTCAGGGTTTAGAGTTTAGGGTTTAGGGTTCAGGGTTTGGAGTTTAGGGTTTAGGATGGTTTAGGGTTTAGAGTTTAGAGTTTAGGGTTTAGAACGGTCGCAACAGCTTTGGGGCCTACATGGACCCTAAGAAACCTACCTTTTTAGGGTTCCTTATTATGATTTCCTTATATGGGTCCTTAAAAACGTAGGTTATTTGGGGTTAAGGTTGGGTTTGAGGTAATTATAAGGAAGGTCTGAGTTCGCCCTCTGCTGAGGGCCTATGGAGTTTAGATTAGTGCAGCGGCGTGTCTTTCTGTAAGCATGCTCAGAGAGTCGCGCCTGCCACGCCTACGGGGCCTGCACTGGAGAACACAAACCTATCGGCTCAGACTGCAAGGGCTGCTTAGAGGATCAGGGGACTTAGGGTTCCTTAAAGGGGTCTATAAGGGTTCCTTATAATGGGATCTATAGGGTTCCTTATAATCGGATCTATAAGGCTTAGGGTTTAGGGCCTACTTAGAGGATCATGGGACTTAGTAAGTAGGTTATAATTGGGGTTATAAGTCCCCTAAGTGGAGTTATCCTAATTATAACCCACTTATAACCTTACTTACTAAGTCTCATGAGCCTTTAAGTGGGGGTTAGGGTTTAGGGTTTACCCAGGATCCAGAAACTGACACCCTGCCTTAAAGCCTAAACCCCATCCTACTCCTAGATAACGCTTCGAACCCAAATGCTGCTGCGCCTCCTTCAGATCACAAGTCCCTGCACTCGCCAAACTCCTGTTCTGGTTCTGCAGATCCGTGAGAAACCCCTCAACAAAACCCGCACAACAGCAATCTGTGAAGACCCTTTCAAAGCCCTGATCCGTCACCCCGGACCACAGACCGTGTTTGCCCTATATACCCTATCCCGTGGGATCCAATGTTTCTCAAAACATCGTAGAACAAACGACACTGACACTAATAACCCTCAACACTGAACCTTCAAGCCTACACCCTAAACCCTCAACCCTGAATCCCTAACCCTCAACCCTAAACCCCATAAGCCCTAAACTCTAAACCGAATCCCCCGGGGACGCGGCCCAAACTTCAGGAACTCATGTTCGCGATGGCACAACAAGTCCCTTCCTCGTAGCTCCTGAGCTTTAGTGCTTCAGGGTCGAGGGCTTACAAGTTTGTGTGCTGTTGCTTGCAAGCTTGCTTCGGAGGGTCTATGTAAGAGCTTACAAGTTTGTATGTGGTTTGCTTCGAAGCTTGATTCGGGAAGAGGGCTTTCGGTCAGGGTCTAGACGTGATGGCTTGAGGACAGCGCTTAGGCTTTACGGGCCAGGCTCCTGGGTTTGCAGCTTAGGGTTGTATATAGGACTTACCTAAATGCCCAAAAGTAAGCAAATAATGGCCCAACACCTAGAAAAGGCTATGTACTTTGGGGGCCCAGGTATGCCTTAAACCCTATGCAAGCCCTAAACCCCTAAACCTTAACCGAAACACATAGCCCTAAAGAAGAAAGATCCGTGTCATGAGGAAATTTTGGACTTAATCATAGGGAGCCTGAGACCTACCACCCTGTCCCCCTACACCCCTATTGGGTCCCTATGACTTAAAAGCTCGACTTAAAGAGATTGGTTGCAGAGAGGAGCATGGGCTGTCGTCAGGGGTGTTGGGGCATCTGATACTGTAGGAACCTGATTAAGAAACCTGGTGCCTTTATTTGGGTTCCTTTTTGAATTCTACTATTTTGGGCTTATAGGCCCAGGGTTTCTTAATCAGGTCCCTACATTAGGGCAGTTTCCGAAAATAGGAGACCTCAATATAGTACCCTAAAAAGTAGGATCTGTATTATAAGGACCCCAATTAAGGTACCCCTCATTCTCGGAAACTCCCACAGGGGGGCTTCTGCGTGCCGTAAGGTATTTAAAAGGGATGTGTATAGTGACGAACGACGACCAAATCCATGGTGTTTTGCAAGAATCCTGGGATGTTGGGCTGGGGCTTTAGGGTTTTAGGGTTTAGGGCTTCAACTGAATCCTAACAGTTCTGGGGCTTAAGATGTGCGGGTTCCCAAAAGGGGCTAGGGTAACGCACAAGAACCCAGAAACTGATTCAAGCTCCCAAGGCTTGAGGATTCGGAGTTCAGGGTTGCCCGAGTCTGACACCCAAAGTCGACCTGACATGTAGAATCCAGGTTTGGGGCTTCAGGGTTTAGGGGTTTAAGGTTTAGGGGTTCAGGGGTTTGGGGATTCAGGGTTTAGGGTTGAAGGTTCGCTTGTTGTTTGAGTGTTCGCGTCTTCCCTGTGACAGTTGGGCTACAACATGGTTCAACCCATGTTGAAGCTCGAGGGAAGTAAAGGGCGTAAGGGTTGAGGGTTTAGGGTTTACTACGCCCTCAACTGTCCAGCCTGTACCTTAAAGCTACTGTTTTTGTAGGGCCGCAATGAATTCAATCCTTTGTTTTTTAATCAGAACCTGCAATTAAGTAGGTCATGGTAGTCTAAGGTATGGGTTTGGGTTTAGAGGTACAGTTCTTTAGGGTACAGCCGTCGGCTCAACTGAGGCAAGGTCGTCCAGCAACTTGTTCCACACGTCCACGAAAGCCTGAATAAGAGGCAGGTGCAGGTGGGAAGTTTCGGCTGTGGGGGTGAGGATTTAGAGTTTTAAGTTTCGGGTTGAGGGTGTAAGTTTATAGTCTATAGGGTCTTGGAACCTTAAACAAGGACTCCGAGACACTCCCAGTAATCCAGTAGCATTAATTAAGGGCACCACGTAGTATAGCGGCCCTGATAATTGGAATAGGGTTTTGGGGCAGACTATATATACTATAGTTGTAATAAGGAGCCCCCAAAATAGTATAGGTATTTATTGAGGCCCCTATACATTTGTAGGATCCGTATAAAGGATATCCTACATGGTCTCCGCTGTCGTTCTCAAAGTTTCCTGGGCAAGCCCATAACTTGCGAATCTCGCAAGACCCCCTTATCGTTGGACTTAGTACCTAGGGTTATAACTAGGGTAACTATACTTATATAATTAATACTTATAAAACCCACTTAGGGTACTTATGACCATACTTTCTAAATCCCACGAGCCTTCAGGTAAAGCCGCCCAAACAGCCACTAAACACCCCTAAACCCTAAACCCTAACACCCTAAACAAGGAAACCCCTAAAAGCTCAGGGTAGACGGTTAGCAAGGAAAGCACCAAAAGCAAAGAGTGGAAGAGTACAGTAGGAGCCCAAAAGTTGGAAACCCGATAGCCTCAATTGCTAAGAGCAAAGTATAGGGAATCCGAGCCCGATTTGTCCTTAATTAGGTTTCCAACTTTTTCGAGTTTACAATACCATGGGCAACCCCGGAGCGGAGAGCCCTTTAAAGGATCTACTCTACGGGTTCCTTTAAAGGGGGTGTTCTATAAGGCGTAAGGGCACTATAAGGGTTCCTTTAAAGGGGGTTTCTATAAGGGTATACTATAAGGGTTCCTTAGTTTGATAACTTGTCCTTGCAACATGGACGCGGAATGATTTCTGGGCATAATTCGCCATTTCTCTGCCACTAGTATTCCCTTCTTGTCCCCCGTATATCAAGAAAACTAAACAGCACGTTGCTTCGAGGGCTTGCGGTGGCCTGGAGCTCCATGTCCGACATGCGCCTTCCGCGGTTTGGGGGTGTGGGGTTTAGGTCTCAGGATTACGGGTTTCAGGCAGAAGCTTTAGGGCGGAGGGGACGGGGCCTAGGGCTTAGGATTTCGGGTTTCGTGTGTGGACGACAGATTTCTTTGAGGGGGATACATCTGCTCTCGCTAGGGGAGCTGGGGGCCGGGGACGAGTTCAGGAATTGGATTTGCGGCTCGTTTTTTTGGTTTTCGGTTACGAACTCGGGATTTGGTGCTCAACTAATGCCTTGAAGGAAAACCAAACGACTCGGTATGAAATCCTCCGACTAACTAACAGCATAACAGCATTCAGCACAGCAAACGAACATGTAGAGAACCATCTAAAAACCCTGCAAGACACGAGGACCTACACCCAAAACCTTACACCCAAAACCCTAAAACCTTCATCCCGAACATGCAAAAGCAGTTAAAACCCTGAAACAACTGCTCATTAAAGCCCGCGCACCCTAAACCCTAACCCACCATGGCACCCTTATAGATCCCTTGCAGGACCCCTTATAGAACCCTAAACCCAAAAGGAGCGGTGGAAGTGCGCCTCCACCAGGTCATCCTCTCTAGCAGCCCCGTGGCCCCCGTGTTCGCGTGGTTTGGAAGATGGAGGATCCGGCCGACCAATGTCTCCTTGGATCCCAGAGACTCCAATACCCCTTAATTAAGGAATATACCTTAAATTATAAGAGGATCCCTAACATGATTGAAGGTATATTATTCCTTAATTAAGGGGTATTGGAGTCTCTGGGATACGGTTGGGACTTCGGCTCCTAAACCCCTAAACCCTAAACCCCTAAACCCCCAAACTCTGAACCCCTAAAGCAGACGAGACCTCAAAGCTCGCACAGCGAAGGCCTTTCCAACCTTTCCCTAAACCCTATACACTACTTCATGAACCTCAAAAAAGACCTTAAACACAGCACCCATAAGCCCTTGTAGCAACCTGCAGCAACACTTCTTAAAACCGTTCCGAAAACCCCTGGTGCAACCTTAGAACCCCTTATCGTAAGGAAGCCGGAGAAATCAATGAGACCCTTAACCCTAAACCCCTGAACCTCTAAACCCCCAAACCCTAAACCCCTAGACCCCTGAACCCTAAACCTTCAGGGCCCAGCCACTGGTAGGTATGTCAAACCCAGGCCCCTCCGCGTGCACATCAGTCGCATGCCTTCGGGGTTTTGGGCTTTCGGAATCTTAAAGTTCGAAAGGGAGTTGATATAAGTTTTAGGGCTTCTGAAACACGGCCTTTCATATGCGTTCAGTTTAGGGGTTTATAGGTTGGGGGGGTCTTTTGGTCTAAACAACTCTAAGCTCCAAATGCAGACTCTAAATCCTATACCTATGACCCGGGTGCCCTCTTTTCTGACGGCCTAAGTCCCAACCCTCTCTACCCCAAGCATTTGAAAAGATTGTAGAGATGGCTGCCTTGGGGAGAGGGGGCCATTTCAACCCATACAAAGTATTACTCTTGGGGGGAGGGGGGTTCTACTTCGAGGATCATGGGCCCTCCAAGTAGTGGTAGTCTTGAGAAAGCCCTGAACCCCTGAGCCCTAAACTACCCGAAACTTCTAAACCCTACTCAACCTCCAAGAACCCTGAATCCTAAGCCCTCAACCCCACAGCTCTGAACCCTAAAACCCCTAAACCCTAAACCCCTAAACCCTAAACCCCTAGAGCCCTAAACTCAAAAACCTCCCATTTAGCACCTCCCAGTCGGTAGGCGCCCACCATGGTCCCCACGATGGCGATGGCGAAGTTCAAGAAGAAGCACCTGAGCTTCCCGGAAATTCTCATAAAGCAGACTCAGAGGGCCTAAACCCTAAACCCTAAACCCTAAACCCTAAACCCTAAACCCTAAATCCTAAACCCTAAACCCTGAACCCTAAACCCTAAACCCTAAACCCTAAACCCTAAACCCTAAACCCTATGGGGTTTGGGGTTTGCAGTTCTGGGCTTTCCAGTAATCCTCATAATTAGCAGACTCCGAGGATTCATGGGGTTGGGGTTTAGGGCTTAGGGTTTCAGGGTTTAGGGCTTAGGGCTTAGGGTTTAGGGTTTAGGGTTTAGGGTTTAGGGTTCAGGGTTCAGGGTTCAGAGGGCTTCCCATTTAATTATCTTTACAAAGCAGGCTCAGAGTACATAGGGTTCAGGGTTTAGGGTTTAGGGGTATTATAAAGCAGACTCAGAGTACAACATTTGGGACTTGGAACCCTGCGTGCGTACTTGCCGGTAACACCTCCATAAAGGTTGGGTTCACGATTCCGGGCTCAGGGTTTGTAGGCTTTGGCGAAGAAGAGATAGCCCTGCCCAAACCCCAAGCCAGCAAAGCCGCTAAGCGTGAAGCACCAAACGCCCAGCATTAATCCCTAACAGCCTAAGCCCTAAAAATCCCAGACCGGACATCCCCAAACCGCAAACTTAATCTAGACCTAAGAGTAGCCTAGGAATGAAAAGGGTGCGCTTTTTAAAGGGATTTGTAAGGGAACCTGAACCCTAAAAGAGGGAATAAGGGCCTACGCTTTGTCCTAGTAATCCCGAGGCCTCAGACACCCTGAACCACACCTGCAGCCGTCAAAGCCTAAAGCCCTGCACCCAAGACCCCAAAACCCTGAACCCTAAACCCTAAACCCAAATCCCGAAAGGCCTAACGCCCTCAACTCCACAAGCGTTCTGCGATGCCCTTTGGGTTTGGGGCTTGCGGTGTCGGGGCTTAGGGTTTAGGTGTTTGGGGCTTTAGGTTTAGAGCTTAGGGGTTTAGGATTTAGCACCCATATAAACACCCATGTAAAACCATAACTTCGCAAAAGTCTAGCCCCTGAACCCCTAAATTCATTAACTATCAAACCAGTAAGCTATCAAGAACTACAAAACCTTGTAAAAACATGCAAAGCCCGACACCATGATAGGCAGCCTCTCGCACTAACAGTATGGAGAACACTTAGAGCTTGCGTGCTGCCCCCACCCTGCGACGTCTTATTTAGGGGTCATATTAAGGGCTATATTATATAACTATATCTTACATAGATACGTGTACCTGTTAGCGAGTTGTGGCAGTACCCAACTTCTAGTGCCCTTCAACCGTCCCTCAAACAAACCTCCAGCCCCAGCAGTACCCTTTATCAGGAATATAGAACCCTACCGAGGCAGGACCCTAAATCCCAGCATCCTGAAACTTACTTGGAGGTTCATGGGCAGATATGGGTGGCTCTACTTATACACCCACTTCTAACTCCAACTACAAAGCAAGCCCTGATAAAACCACAAGAAACCTTCTGGAACCGTGTATGCAACCCTCCACCCGAGACCCGAAACCGTCTTAAGAATCCTCGTAGTATCCGAACAGTCCCATTCTTGAGCCCTAAGTTATTATATACAAAAAGCTCAGTAGAAGGAACCCTACACATGAATACTGATATTGATACTTATACTGCTCAGGCCCCTAGGCCGTAAAGCTTATAAACCCCAAACTGCACACCTTAAGAAACCCGGGGGGGGGGGGGGGGGGGGCGCGTTATCTTTTTGCTGCGGGTGCGCGCCGCGTTTTTTTTTGTTTTTTTTTTTGCTGTTGGTGCGCCTGTGCCCGGGGCTGGGGGGTCAGGCGGAATCCAATGGGGCGTGTTTGCTTTTTGTTGTGGGTGCGGGGCGTGTTTTTTTGCTGCAGGTGCACGGCAAGTTCGCTCACTCACTTGCTGCCGGCCACCTCCGAGCATCCACGGCAAAACAGCACCCAGGGTCGGAGCGCGTTTATTTTTTGCTGCGGGTGCGGGAGCTCACTCACTCACTCACTCACTCGCTGCCCGCCGCTCGGAGAGCACCAACAGCAAAAAAACACCCAGAACAAAAACAAAAACACTGGCTCCCAAGAAACCCTAAACTCCAAGCCCTAAACATCCATAAACCCCAAACACTAAATCGTAAACTTCATAGACCTCTCAACCCGAAGCCTAAACAATAACATAAACTAAGCCCTACAGACCCTACTAAGCCCCTATCAAAAGGTAATGTCGGTGCCGTAATAATCACCCTTTAGATCCCTTATAGATCCCTGAAAGATCCCTTAAAGGAGCCCTTAAGGATCCCTTTAAGGATCCCTTATAGGTCCCTTAAAGGAACCCCCCAAGGGATCCCTTTAAGGATCCCCTAAGGCTTCTTAAACGAACCCCTAAGGGTCCTTTTAAAGGGCCCCTATCGCAAGGTACCAAGGGGCAGGGTCGAGAAAAAGACCAGAGCCGTGGGGACCAGGACCTGGGGGGCCGAAAAGTGCACCAAAAAAAATGGCACTCCTGTAAAGGGCAGGACTTAAGGTTTAGGGTTTAGGGTTTAGGGTATAGGGCTTAGGTTTTAAGGTTTAGGGTTTAGGGCTTCAGGAGATAAGGTTTAGGGTTCAGGGTTTAGGGTTTAGGGCACCAAGAAAAGGGCACTCCTTTAAAGGACCCCCTGTTTTAAGGGCTCCTTAAAGGGGTTTAGGATTCTGGGGAAGTGTTGGGTTTAGGGTTCCTTAAAAGGGTTTAGGGTTGTAGGGAATTTTGGGGTTTAGGGTTCCTTTTCGGGGATGTTTAGGGTGTAGGGGTTTAGGTTGAAGGGTCTCGGGCCTTGGGGTTAACGGTTTAAGGCTTTACTGAGGGTTTTCGGGTTCAGGGTTCCTCGGGTTTAGGGTTTAGGGTGAGGGATCTAGAAGGGTTCTACAAGGATTCTGCAAGGGTCGAGGGCATCTATATTGGGTCGCTTTCTTTCAGCACAGCCCCGCCAGCACGTTCAACACCACCAGGAGCTGCGGGGTGGACAAGAACAGAGAGTCATAGACATCCCAAATTCGGACGATGGCGTGCGCGCAGTACATCGTGCCACCTGGGCTTCGGGCTTCAATCATAAGGCTCAGGGTTTCGAGTTTGGGATGAGGGCTTCGGGTTTAACGACATCAAGAAAGCAAAATACAGGCACAGCCAGGGTGCTAAGCTAGAATAACCCCAAACCCCCAAACCTAAACGCCTCAGCCATCATAACCCCAAACCCTAAACCCTAAAGCGCCGCTCGATCCATGCTGTTCTATGGCCCCCACATGCACCCACCCACCTCTCTCAATGAGGAACATACTCTACATCCCAAACCCTAACCCCTAAAGCCCAAACCCAAAACCCCAAAACCCCCAAACCCTTAAACCCCCAAACCCTAAACCTTAAACCCCCAAACCCTTAAACCTCCAAACCCTAAACCCCAAAACCCAAACCCCTAAAACCCTAAAACCCAAAAACACAAAACCACAAAACCCTGAACCCTTAAACCCCAAAAACCTATGCCGGTGCTTGAAAAGTGAGCCACTCGAGACGAAGACGGCCCATAGGCCAAGCCTTGGTCTCTGGCTCTTGGCGGTTATTCCTTTTAAGGGGTTTAGGGTTTAGGATCTAGGGTTTAGGGTTTATAGAGTTTAGGGTCTTCCTTTAAGGGTTACTGTATAAGGTATATATACTATGCGGGATGCTTTAAGGGTTTCTATAAGGGTACTTTAGGGTATTCTTTTCATGGCTACTACAAAAGGCTTACTCTAAGGGTACTATAATTATAGGCTTCAAGATCCACAATGTAGGGTTTAGGCTGTCGAATTTGGGGTTTAGAAGACTACTTGCAGGTTCATTGGTGATTATAATAAGTGGCTGTGTAAGCAGGAAAACTATAGAAGTGACCCACATCAGGGACATATAAGCCCACGTATAACTACCCATGAAGCTCCAAATAGCAACAAACCAGGGATCCTCTTGGGGGCTCCTTCACGCGATCTAAGGGCATTATCTTTATCTAAACGGGTTCTACAAGCGATTGGTGATTAGGCTTCCCTGGTACTATATGTGTAGCTCTCTAAATTAGGGTCCCTATAAGGGTGCCGTCTGTTTTGGGGACTTAAACGGACCCAATTATTATATCACAAGCCCAAACAAAACGCCAAAAGGGTCCCTAAAATCTGATCCAAGCATCGTGAAGGCCCAGAAGAGGGTTTGAGGCATGCACTCCGGCCTCGTGGGGTTCGTGCATACCCATAGGCCCCAGAGTAGTTCCTTTTTGGGATTACCTCATAGAATTCTATATACGAACCCCAAAAAGGAACTACTATGGGGCCTGTGGGTAAAGGGTTGGGGCTGTAGGGGTTAAGGGTTTAGGGCTTCGGGTTTAGGGTTGTGGCTGTAAGGGTCAAGGGTTTGAGGGCTTCCTGGGAAAGTTCAGAAAGGGTATCGTAACGGCTACGAAGCTTTTCGTAATCAAGGCTGGTAGACTGGCTTTATGAGGCTGTACAAAGCCCACGAACCCCAGTGGTGCTCAGTGTTTCGTTCTTAGCTGAAGTTCCGGGTTCGCAGGTTTCTTGGTTTTTCTTGCTTGCTGTTTTAAGGGCTTTTTTCTCAAATGCACAAAGTCAAAGCTCAGAGGGTTTAAGGCTTAGGGCTTAGGATTTGCTCTGGGACTATGTAGGAACTTGTGGGCCTCGGCTGAGTGTCAAAGAGCCACGGGTAAACAGCCCAGCAGCCCTGAAGCTCTTCCTTCATAATCGACTGCTCGGGTGCTGCCGAGCAAAAAAAGTAAGGCCTAGTTTCGGGAATAAAACTATTGGTTGACACTGAGGTGAGTTATCATTCTGTAAAAATGATTGAAGCTACCGCTGTACTTAATCTTTGGTCTCTGCGGCATGAGGGGCATGGACCCAGACCTTCCAAAACCCCTTAATTAAGGAATATACCTTAAATTATAGTAGGATCCCTAATATGATTTAAGGTAGATTCCTTAATTAACGGATTATGGAATGTCTGGGGAGATTCGCAGAGGAAGGGTTGCTTGAAGGTTCAAGGGAGTTTCGAAGTTTCGGATAGCCCAAATTGACCCCAAATACTACCCAGAGGCCCCATAGTAGTTCCTTTCTGGGATTCTCTTATAGGATTCTATATATGAACCCCAAAAAGGAAGGCCAGCTCTTGGGCACTAGGGCGGTGGGTTTGTACGCTTATGCATGTGGGCGGGGTGATGTTCCTTAAACCTGCCGTAGGCTTTACATGCCACTCTCATACAGCACCCCCAGATCCTAAAAGCTTTACGAAGACTTCTAGGCCTCGAAGTTGTCGTACGGTTGATGATATAAATCCTGCATTACCCGTAATAAGGAATATACCATTATTCCTATAGTTTAGGGTCCTTATAAGGTAATGCAGGATTCATATCATCAACCGTATGTCGACCATTGGCAGGCGAAGGGGGTTGGGGATTGTGGGTTTGTTTTGCAAAACCATCTACAGAAATCTTCACATCCCTCAAAAAAACCCTCCGACCATGCAACATAAATCCCTAAATGGGTTTATGGATGCTTACAGTCCAGCATTTAAGTGAACTCTCCACCCTCATAGAGTAGATCCCCTAACTTGGGGCCCTATACTGGTAAGGGTACTTTATAGAAACCCGCATTACGGGATCTACTTTCTAGATCCTCCCGCAGACCTCGTCAAAGTTGGATAGAAGCGCCAGCGGTACAGGTTGTCCGAACGGGGCCCAAGAGCGAGCACAAGCGCGAAGACAGAGCCTCGCTGTTTCCTACTTAGAGGATCATGGGGCTTAGTAACTAGGGTGATAATTAAGGTAACTATACTTGTAGAAATAACCCACTTAGGGTACTTATTTCAATGCCAAAATCCGTAATCCCAACAGTCTAAACCCCAAAAACCTGGACCTAGACCCTGGCCCTAAACCCTAAACCTTGTATATACGGTCTGAAACCTTATATAAACCCTAAACCATACAGTCTCAATCGCAAACGCCAACCCTAACCCGAAAGCTTTTGAGGAAGATGAGGCGCGATATGCCAAGCAGGGGATTCGACTTAACGCACTGGGGCTCAAGTTTTAGCGTTCAGGATTTATGTAGGATTTCTAGACCCAAGAGTAACCTAGGAATAAAAAGGGGGCGTGTGAGGGACCTGCACCTTGAAAAAGGGAATAAAGGCCCTACTTAAAGGCTCATGGGACTTAGTAAGTAAGCTTATAAGTAGGGTATAATTAGGATAACCCCACTTAGGGGACTTATAACCCCAATTATAACCTACTTACTAAGTCCCATGATCCTCTAAGTACTCTAGGTCCTAGATTTGGTTGGGTTTAGAGTTGAGGGATTAGGATTTGTTCAGGGTTTAGGGTTTACATCGGGCCTTTAGAACTTATCTAGGGTTTTAGGGTGTAGCACCTTTTTGATTAACTGTGGGGTTTATGTTCTCGGTCTACAGGAGAAGCCGAAAAGTTGGATTGAAAGTATCCTCATGCCCTTACTTAGAGGATCATGGGACTTAGTAAGTAGGTTATAATCGGGGATATATGTCCCCTAAGTGGGGTTATCCTAATTATAGCCTACTTATAACCTTACTTACTAAGTCCCATGAGCCTTTAAGTAGGGCAAAGTATCGGGATCCCAGCAACAATCTCACGTTCCAACTTTCCGGGGCTCACGATGATAAACTAACTGCTGAAGGGTTCTGTGAGGGTACGATCCAGGTTTGATAAGGGTGTTAGGGTTTCGAGCTCAGGATTTAAGCGGCCTCAGGTCGATGCTGTTCGGATACGGACAGGCTGGGGGTGGGGGTCAATCGATGTTGGAACGGTGCTTTTTGGTGGTGTTGCTCTGAATTGCGTACTGATGGTTTCATAAGGACCAGTAGAGGGGTAGGGGGGAGGGGGTAGGGGGCCTTGCCTTAATACCCATAATACGGACTTAGTAAGGCCTACTTAGTGAAGTATAGTCCCCTACCGCCCTCCCTCTGATGATTTCAAACACTCGCGCCTTGTTCCCTGAATCCTAAACCTTAAACCATTCTGGCCGCCGAAGAGCAGAAGACATGTAGAACCAGAAGGGCATCGAAGGTCCGGATGTGCATGTGGATGAACTTGATGTCCAGAAGCATCGCACCGGTACCTCTTCAGGGCTCCTTTACAGGGATCTATAAGGGTCCCTTTAAGGGATCCATAAGGGTTTCTTATATCAAGGGATCTTTCATGCTTCCTTGAAGGGATCTGTCAGGGCCGCTTTGAATGGACCTTTTGGGGCTCATGAAAGAGTTCCGTAAGGGGTTGGGGTTGCGGGGATGGTGGAGGGTTTAAGGTGGAGGGTGTAAGGTCTAGGGTTTGAAGGGTTAGAGGCTGAAGGCTGAGGGCGTAAGGCTTAGGGCGCACAGGGTTTAAGGTCTATGGGGGCTCCGAAACGCTAGGTTTGTATGGGTTTCTATGAGATTCCGACAGCCTGTCGGACATGCCTCATATTGGATAAAGGCCCCCATTCTCTGAAATGCCTCATGTAGGGCAGCATCCTTTGAGGGTTGCATGCTCTAGTGTTTCATATGGCGTATGTTGTAGAAGTTATAGAGTTTGATGATGGGTTTCAGATAGGGGACTGCATGCAGCAAAGGCCAGAAAGTTGGAATACGATTATTCTAAACCCTTTATGGTAAATTATAGGGTATCCTACCCTGAAACCATATTCCAACTTTCTGGAGTTCCCTTTAACTGATTGGGGCAGAGTTCCTTAGAGTTCCCTTCAACGTCTCTAGAACGGCGTACCGTGTTTTTACTTACAGGGCCTGGAAAACCATGTAGGTGTTCTAAGGCTCTATGTGGCTCTCTACGGCTTTACAGGTCATCAGTATGACGGATTGGTGGTAGATTGTAACAGCAGCATAAACAGTAACTAGACCTAAGAGTAACCTAGGAATGAAAAGGGTGCCCCTTTTGTTGTGATTGGAGTTATAAGGGAACCTGAACCCTAAAAAAGGGAATAAGGGCCTACTCTGTGTCCCAGGTAAACTGGGCTGTCGGGTGCAACTGCTTCAGGGTATCTGGAATGGTTTCGGTCAGGAGTGCTGGCAGCCCTTCAAACTTTCAAGTCAAGCGGATTCACGCTCCATAACTTACGTACTGCCCGCATACAGTAGCAGTCTCTAAAAGGGCTACTATTAAGGTCCTAAAACATCTATGGTGTGAATATTACTGAACAGTTACTGAGCGGGGGCAGTACCCAATCCATGCCCCTGAACCCTAAACCCTCCCCAAACAGAGCCATCGCCCATCGCAGCGGTACCACACAAACCCACAGCCCCCTGCAGATCTGTGTAAAATCCAAACAGCTGCAAAACCTTCAAACTCAAGAACCCAAACCCTAAACTCCTAAATCCTTCAAAATCGTGAGACTCATAAGCTGCAAATTTCAGACATCCCTAGTAACACAATCAAAATAGCAAAGACAACAACCACACATAGGCTCCGAAACCTATGTCGTGAACGCTCCGCTTTTTTTGTACGTTAAAGATGCGGGGTTTAGGATGTAGGGTTTTTGGGCGTAGGTGTTCCTTCGTGGTAAACAAACCAAGAAATCGAACTTTCCCAGCCACAAAACACATCCCCACACTAAACCCTAGAAACCTCACAGGACTCTGACCCGAAGCCCTAAGCCCGTGAGGCCCCAAACGGTTTAGGGTTTACCCTAACCCACCAAAACCTACATTGTTAGGGTTTAGGGTTTAGGGTTTAGGGTGTTTTAGGGTCCCTATAAAATCTGTACTAGAGTTTGAAGGAAGAGCCCTTGAACAGAAACAAACAGGTTTTGGTAGGTCAAGGGGGCCCCAAACGATCATGGGACTTAGTAACTAAGGTTATAATTAAGGTAACTATACTTATATTTACTTAAAACCCCACTTAAGGGACTACTTATAGCTTATAACCTTACTTACTAACTCCCCTCAACCCTGTAAACCCCTTGCCCTCAACCCGAAATAAAACTGGTCCGTACTCTTGTAGCGCCCTTATAACGCCCTTATAATAACCTTAACGGTACCCTTAAACCCGACCCGGGAAAGCCAGTGCCTCCCTCGGATTTGTATTGAAGAACGACCACGGCGAAGGAGGCCACTGGCAGCCTCCACGGTCGTGGGACCAGACGGTTATAGTTTAGCTTCGGTTTTAGGGTTTATAGGGTTTAGGGGCGACCCTACTGAAAGGATCCAAGGACTGAACCAGCAGTTAGGGTTCATATTGTAGGGCCCTCACCCAAACCCCTAAAACGCGAAAATCACTTCCGCCGGGGCCTAAAGCCTTGACAACCCCCAACACCCAACACACCCAGAATGCCCTCGACCCCATAAACCCCTTGCCCTCAACACGAAATAAAATTGAATCTGTACTCAGTACTCTTGTAGTGCCCTTATAACGCCCTTATCATACCCTTAAAGGTACCCTTAAACCCCAAACCCCTCAACCCTAAACCCCTACACCCCTAAATCCTGAGGCCTAAACCCTGAACCCCTAAATCCCTAAATCCCGAAACCGCTAAACCCCTTAAAAGGAGCCCAGGTGCATGTCGATAAAGATCAGCTGCAGAAGTCCCCGGAAGCGGTTCCGCCTGGCTAGGCCTGGAACTCCGTGAAAGTTGTAAGGGGCTCCTTTCCGGGTTTACGGTTTGAGGGTGTAGCGTTTGCTTTAAAACTCCTTTTTCCACCTGCAGGTTTTCGGGGTTTAGGGCTTCAGGGTTTAAGGGTTTAGGGTTTAGGGGTAAACCCTAAACCCTAAACCCTTTTAGGCGGTTAGGGTTTAGAGTTTAGGGTTGAGGGGTGGTACGGGGTAAGGGGCTCAAGGGCCGTCACGCAGGGATCTGTCGAGGGTTTTTTAAGAACGCGTTTAGGGTTTAGGGTTTAGGGTTTAGGATTTAGGGTTTAGGGTTTAGGGTTTAGGGTTTGAGGTCTAGGACTCGGGGTTTTGCGTCGAAGGGTTCTAGGGGCCTCAATCTATCGAACAGGGTTGCATGAGTGTGGTTGTTGTTGGGTCATAAGGTACGGTCCGATTTCTACACAGTTATGTCCAGGCTTTCAAGGCCTCGAGAGAGTGATTCGGATTCTAGAACTCAGGATGCTCGGCTTGGGGCTGTGGGCTTTCAGGGCGTCTGCAGTTTGACAAGGGCTCTTGCAAGGGTTGAGGGCTTAAGGAATTTTGGCTTGGGGCGTAATCTTATCCTGTCGGCTGCGAAGCCTCCTGAAAGCACCTGTTCAATTCTGCAGGGCCTCGTAAAGTTGCATAAACCTTGTGACAAGCTGTAAGCTCGAAAGGAAAACGGTACCTAGATGGTTCGGGGTTTAGCCGTCTTGCTATAAACTCATCAAATGATGAGAGGTCGTGACGGTTTCACAGGGTTTGTACATTGCTTTACGTAAGGGGGTTCTACTAAGGAGCAATTAGCAGAGTTCTAAGTTAGGGATTCAGGGTTTGGGTTGGGGGACTAGGAGCTGTCTAGGGCAGCAAGCAGAGCTTGACAACAACATAGGGTGTTGTGATTAGTCCGCCCCTTTCGTGCGGGGCTTGATCCCAGATAACACCGACACCTTAGAAGGGGCCCCCACCCTGTAATAGTCACCATAAGGATTATATAGGATTATATTAGGGCCCTATAATATTCCTATTATACCACTATTACAGGGTGGGGGCAGCTTCTAACCGACACCCATTCAGAGAAGGGAGTCTATTGCGCAAGGGTTTACACTACACCCCAAGACATAACCCGAAAGCCGATTCTTACAGCGTTTAGTGTTGCGCGTGTGGGGGTTTAGGGGTTTCAGGATTTGAGGGTGCCGAATCTTTGTATTTATTCAGATGAAGTCGAAGCTGTCGAAGCCTCTCCGCTATCCTCAGGCCCGCATGATAATTTACGGGCCTGGGTTTTAGGGTGCATTCAACTAAGATTATAAGAAAGCACCCGAAGCGTGCATCTGCCAAATACTTCAACCCTCTATACTGTATTACAATTTCGCTAAGCTGAGAAGAAAGACAGAGAAATCCTGCAACTGCATCAGCTCATTCCCCCTATGTCCGCTGCCCAACCCTAAACGCTGTGATTAACGGCAAGCTGAAGCTACGAACCCTACTGGAAGAATCAGCGATTTTGCCACCACTCTGAGTACCTAGAACCTCACAGAAGCTACTTATGGACCTATTACGAAGTCCTGCGATGCCTGCAGTGTTCAAAACTAAACCCGAAACCCTAAACCCTAAACCCCTAGACCCTAAACCCTCCCTGAACCGAAATAGCCGAAGCATTCAGCGAAGGCTCAGGGCGTGAAGCCTTGAAAGCCCAGCTGGAAGAGTAGCATCCTGGGGAATATAGGGCCCTTAATAACTTCAAAAGGGCTTGGAACACGCAGAGCTACAAGTTTAACTAAGCAGCCTGAAGAAAATCAATATTTTTTGTTCTGGCTTTCTGTCTGCACTGTGCCATTTGTTCAGCCATCGTTTAGGATATTAATATGTCCGTGGTGCGGCTACATCGATACTGGTAGGGTGATACCAGCACAGAGGTGCACACAAAACTTTTGCATGCATGCCTGGATGTACGCTTGCAGTTTTACCCGAGGGTATGCATACGTATCCATCCATCCATCCATCCATCCATCCACCCATCCATCCATCCATCCATCCATTCATGCATCCATGCATCCATGCATCCATGCATCCAGGCATCCAGGCATCCAGGCATCCGTCCATGCAGGCATGCATAAATGCCTAGATACGCCTACTTACACATACACGTGCATGCATAGATTCATACATGCATACGCATTTACTGTACATGCATACATGCGTTCATGCAGACAGACAATAACAAACGAACCTACACACATACATACATACAGACAGTCAAAGAGACAAAGAGACCCATGTGAACCTAGCAGCAGGCCTGAAACCAACAAGCCCAACGAAACCCTCAACACGCAAACCCTGCACAGAAACCTCATACGCCCCCTTGCATCCAACCCTGGAGACCTCTTTCGAACATTTTAGAAGTCTCCAGCGAGCCGGATGGACCGAAAACGAATCCTTGTCGAACCCAGGAAACCCTGCAAAGCCTTGCAGAAGCCGAAACCCTAGACCCGAAACCCTCAACAGTAAACCCCAAACCCTAAACCCTAAACCCGAAACCCTAAACCCGAAACCCTAAACCCTAAACCCCAAACCCCAGAACCACCGCCGGCAGGGGGCCATGCAGGGGCGATGAGGCCCAGGCTCGCCTGGCAGAGCCCGCAAGGGCTTCGGATTTTAGGGTTGAGGCTTTAGGGTCGAGGGTTCTAGGGTTTAGGGTTGAGGGGTTGAGGGGTTTAGGGTTTAGGGTTGAGGCTTCAGGGGTTTAGGGGTTTAGGGTTGAGGGTTCTAGGGTTGGGGATTTAGAGTTGCGGGCTTAGGTTTGAGTCTGAGGGCTAGCTTAGGGTCTAGGGTTAAGGGCATAGGGATCCTTTTGATCATGAGAACCCACACAGCAACTTCCCAACCCGAAGCACACTCATTCCCCCGCCGCCGGATACACGAAACTTCACTCCAACATCTAACAACCTAATGTAGGAACCTGATTAAGAAACCTTGGATTAGGGTTCTTTGTATGAGCCCGACTGTTTTGGGGTTATAAGCCCCGGGTTTCTCATGCAGGTTCCTACATTTTGCTTGTGGTACAACCACCTATGTAGTCAAACCTCAAGGGCAAGAGCTCTTCAAACCGATGTATGGCAACCTAAATTTTGCCCGCATAAACTATATACAAGCATGCAAAACAGTATATGCGCATAGTGTGTATACACGTGTGTATGTGTAATTATGGGCGTCAGTGTGTGTGTGTGTGGGTGGGTGTGTGTATCCGTGCTTATTCGCATATATGCCATATGCATAGGTGTGAATAATACCGTCAACCGCACAGTAAAAATGGATCCACTGTGTGTATGTCTACGCATGCATCTACACGTGCCATGTGCATGTAAGACTGCATGTACGCCTGCATGTATGCACGCCATGCATGCCCAATGTATGACCGATGTATGCATGTATGTATGTATGTATGTATGTATGTATGCATATATACTTTCAGTCACTCTGTTCTATTCTCGTACTCTGCATTTTCTGCCTAATCTGATTCCTGGAGGCTCCTGACCTGTTGTGAGTGCAGGATACCAAACGGATGCCGGCGGAGGAGGAAGAGGTGTTGAGGGAGAGGAAGGGAGAGTGAGGGAGGGAGAGGGAGGGAGAGGAAGGGGAGAGAGCCTGAGGGAGGAATGTATGAATGCATGTGCATGTGTATGCGCACAATAGTTGCTTGTCGATCTAGTTCACTACTGGTTGAACCACTAAGTCGCTATGAGCGTGTATGTGTACCCTGCCAGGTGAAAATGCACAGCACCATCCATATATAGCATAGATCACGGCCTTATAAATGATACATGTGTCTGATGTACGTGTATGTGCATACAACCTCAACAGCATGGCTTGGATCCACCAAAAACCGCGCGGAATCTATCGAAGAAGATCGCAATTCTGAATTGGGCTCGCTGACTTGAAAAAACGTAACCCGAATCAGTATAGAGTTGATCGGTTCGCCTGAGTCGGCATTCAAATTTACTATAGGAGCCTCCATCATTGCCAATATCATTCCTGGAGTTCCTTATTTTCAATATAGCGTAATGGCCCCCAAAACCTTGTTCTAATTATTGAGGCCCCTACAAGAGAGAAAGAGAGAGAGAGAGAGAGAGAGAGCAAGCCTCCATGAGCCAGCCCCAGTCATACCAAAGTCGGCGCCCAAGGCTTTCCTCGTGCCCAAGGTGCACGACCCACCAGCACCTCTTCAGGGCTTAGGGTTCCTTTAGGGATTCCTGTAAGGGATCTATAGTAGGGTTTAGGGTTTACACTGCAGGGTTAGGGTTTTCGGGCCCAAGTTTAGGGTAATTAGCGGGGGGTGAAAGCTAAACGACTACAATACCTAAGCCGTCAACCCTGTTGGGTCGGAGTCCCCCCACCCAACTCCCGCGCCCCACAGAAGATGCCTGGCGTCTAAAGGTACAAAGACGATCCGAATAGATGCAAGCTGATTTTGTGCATTCTGTTGAGTTTAAACGCTTAGGGTTCGGGGTTTAAAGGTTTAGGGCTTCCCGTTCAGGGTTCAGCATTTGTATGCGGGATTCACAAGATTTTCGAAGGGTCTTGCAAGGACCGTATAGGATTTCAGAAGCATTGCCAAGCTTGCCTTTGTTAGTTAAACCGTGCCAGCATCCCGCAGAGCCTAAAGGGCTACTATAAGGGATCTATAAGAGTGCTATAGTATACTGTCCTTAATACTTAGAATGGGGCTTTGGAGCCCACTATACCATAATAATAATAAAAATAATAATAAAGAAGAACCCCCAAAACAGTACTGGTAGTTGTTGAGGCCCCTATATGAACTCCAAACTCGTATGGCGCCAAGAAGCAGGAGGCTGCAGAGAACCAGTGAGTGCAGTAGATAAATCCTGAGCAATTCGGTTGAGGGATCACGGCAAAGCTCAATCACTTGAAAAGAACTGAAACTAGTCGTCCTAAACCCATGTTCCAACCTCCTGGTCCTCACTCTAACCCTAAACCCAACTGAAAACTTTCAGCGCTGATAAGATCATCAAACAACGGCCCAGTCTCCTGTAGTTGCCGATCAGGAGGGGCAGGTGTGAGTGGAACTCCTTGGCTGACTTCTGAAACCCTCCTAAAAGTTAAACTTTTAGCCGACTTTATTATAGTTGATATAGGAACCCAAAAAGTTAAAGTCCTAAATCCCCAAACCCTAACCCCTACAGATCCCTTAAAGGAGCCCTTAAAGGATCCCCTTACAGGTCCTAAGAGCCAACCAGAAAAACGCCAAGACTCCAGGTGGGTCTTATGGTTCCGCAAGGATCTCTCCCAGTCAACGGTGGGAAGCTTTTGCCAAACCTGGGCTCTTTCGAGCTCAAGGTTTAGGGCTTAGGGTAAGAGACTTAGAAAGGTACAGCTATAATTGGGGTTCTAGATAACCTAAGTCATCCTAATTATAGCCTACCTACTTGTAACCTTATATAGTGATTGATTAAGTCCCGTGCGCCTTCAAGCAGAGTCGGCGCCTGCTAGGGCTTACGGTTAAGTGCACGTGTAGGGTTTAGGGTTTAGGGTTTAGGGTTTGAGGTTTAGGGTTTAGGGTTTAGGGACTGTTCCTGATTACGATGATAGCTTCAACTAGGTTCCTTAAGAACTCCCTGGCTCCTAGTAGGAACGGATGAATAGGTTTATTCAAGGGACCATTATAGCGGAGCTTGCGCGACTGTCACACGGACCCAATCCAACATTCACTGCTACTCCCTACTCAATATTCACGACTATTCCCTACTGCCTAAACCCTAAACCTTAAATCCTAAACCTTAAACCCTAAAACCTAAACCTTAAACCCAAAACCTTAAACCTTAAACCCTAAACCCTAAATCCTAAACCCTAAACCCTAAGAACCAGGGAAACAACGACCCAGACACGTCCGATGCGTTGCTGCATCCAGGGAGGAAGTTGTGGCCACTGTCCTTCATGTCAGGGCTGTTATAGGTTTACGGTTTTTTTTTGATACGCGCTGACCTAAGAACTCCCAAGGTTTACGGTTTAGGGTTCAGGGTTTAGGGTAAGTTATCATCTTCGTTATATTAGACATGACATGACCGGGTGTTTCGCGTTGAGGGTTCGTGTTCAGGGCTTTGGGGTAGGGGGTTGCGAAATCAAGGGTCCTCTGTGTTTTTGGAGCGGGCTTGAGCAAGGAGACTACTAACGAGGGTTCGAATATCGACAACAATCGAAACCCAATCTCTGCCGAAACGCCCAGAAAGAGGCTTGGGATTAAGGTGGGCTTCGCTGTGTTCAGGTCGAAATTTCGAGCAGCAGTTTAATTAACAGCTTTAGAGGGTTACCCAAAACCCGATAACCTAGGGGTTCTGGAGGTGCAGGGTTCAGGCCTGCGCAATTCGAAGCAGATTTATGGAGGAAGCGCTGCTTGAAGTCTGAATGATAGGTGAATGTGGCAATCTGGAAATGAATGAATCCGGGTTTCGGGCTTTAGGGTCTAGCGTTGGGGGGCTTCGTCAGACACGGAAACTTGCTGAACAACTTGGAATCCTCCAAATCCCTGTGCAGAACGCTACAGCTCCCCCCTTCCCTCCAAAAAACAAACCGATATATAGTACAAATAAGAACCAAGAAGTCTCTCAGGCTTCGGGCTTAGGGGTAATCAGAACCACCGTCATCATCTCAAGACTCATAACTACAAGTCCGCCCCCCTCCCGAAAACGAACCAATATAGGTGCTGAATAGTTATGTAGAGTAGGGTTTTGTAGCATATGCCGTCATACAAGGGCCCCTCGTTTCAATGTGTTCCAACCCTTCTATTTCACCCGGCAGAAACCTCTATGAAACCGTATCAAAACTCCCCTGCTCTTATAGAGCCCTGAACCCTACACCCTAAACCCCTCATCCCTAAACCCTAATCCCTAAACTCTAAACCCCTAAGCCCTAAACCCCTAAAGTCCCCAAGCCCTAAACCCCTAAAGTCCCCAAGCCCTAAACCCCTAAAGTCCCCAAGCCCTAAACCCCTAAAGTCCCCAAAACCCCTAAAGTCCCCAAGCCCTAAACCCCAAAACCCTATCCACAGTGATCTCCTTCAGCTTCAGGGCACGCTTCAGCCGCCTTGGATCCCAGAATAGCCTCGGATCGCGGTGGCTGTGGGGTTTGCTTTGTTGCTGTTGTTTTTTGTTTTTTTTTTTTGCGGGCCCTTTTTCCGACTGCAGGTACCAGAAGGAATACCTTACCAGGTTTGCGGCTTTAGGGTTTAGGGTTTAATTAGGGTTTAGGGTTAGGAGTTAGGGTTAAGGGTTTAATTACGGTTTAGGGGCTTTGGGTGTGCGGTTTAGGGGTTTAGGGTTAGGAGTTAGGGTTGAGGGTTTAGGGTTTAATTCGGGTTTAGGGGTTTTGGGTTTGCGATTTAGAGGTTTAGGGTCAGGGTTCTGGGCTTTGGCTGGTTTATGTCTTTCGAAAAGGAATCCTCCTCGGGTGTTTTGCAAAGGCTTTTTATGAGAGTTTGCATCGCGTTGAGGCTTTGGACTTTTAAGCCTAAACCCTAAACCCTAAACCTTAGAAGCTGTTGGAAGCCAGCAGTTCCTCTGATCCCAGCATCTTAAGGTTTAAGATGTGCGAAACATTAGCAGCTCATTCTGGAATGCCTTTTGCAAGGCCCCTATACTGCCCTCTACACCGAAGGAAAGGGGCTCTGTGTTTCTGTGGTCATTTTCGAAAGATTAGGGGGCTTGATAAGTACAGCTATACGGTTAGAGTAAGGTAGTTCTGGGTAGAAGTACTTTTAACCTCGACTACGGTGAATCGGTGAATTTTTGCCTCGAGCTCTACTCGCTAGGTCCTGTCATCCTCCAAGTTGGGGACCTGAGTGCTGCCTCAACCATAAACAAGAAAATCCTAAACCCCAAACCCTTAACCTTAAACCCTAAACCTTCAACCCTAAACCCTAAACCCCTGTCACAGGAGCTCGTTCCAGTCGTCGTAGTTGCACGCGCGGGCCGGCGCCGGAGCTTTCCCGAATTTGAACCTGGGGAGCTGAGGGCTTCCAGCAAACAAAGACATGTTCATGACCTTTGGGGTTTATTGTAACTACTAGACTTTGCCAAGTTATATCAAACCACACTATAACCGTTTATCAGTTTACACATATAGACATACACAGAATTGACAAGCAGCACATCTTGAGGTGAGCCCCAACGGCTTCTATGAGGGACTACTTTGCTCGCAGCTCAGGACGTTTCCGGTTTGGCTGTGTCTTTTGACGAATCCATGGGTGTTCTATAACTCAGGGGCTGAGTACCCTAGCCCAAAAAAGGTTAACCTTTTAAATTATGATAGGATCATACATAAGCCCGGCCCCAAAAGGTTATACTCAGGTACTCAGAGGGTGTTCTATCCCAAGCTAAGGATTTCGTGGTTTCAGGGCATTCTCGCTTCAAAGTTCATGAACCCTAAACCCTAAACCCTAAACCCTAAAACCCTAAACCCTAAACCCTAAAACCTATGCTCCCTCGGTTACAACTAAAGTCCAAGGTGCCTAATATCGGGGCCTTCAGGAGTTGGAAATCGATTTTAGGGGCTTTAGGGTTTAGGGGTTTAGGGTTTAGGGTTTAGGGTTTAGGGTTCAGGAAACCTAGCGAATAATGTTCTTAATGATTCAAGCCCCTATATCAGACTGTGAGAAGGAGTTAAAGAGTCTGTCTTATTCAGGTCAAGTGTGGCACGGGTTGACTCAGGCCGGCTTATGTCGGCCATACACATCTAGACATGAACGTGTACCTCAAGTTAGGCTAGAGGTAGTGCAGCCCCGGATACCCTACCTGTATCGGTGCGGACTGAGTCACCGGATCGGTTTGCAACAGACATGCACCTTCTGCACCCAATCCTCCCAACACCCTCAACCCTCAATCCTGAGCCCTCAGGGGTCATTCTCAACCCTAAACGAAACACCTCAACTAGACATCACCAAGACCCATGATCACAAACCCCGACCGCCCCTTAAATCTTAGGGAGGGCACTTCGGTGCCACACCGGACACTTCGAATGTCTCGGCCATCATCACCCGGTAGATGGGCTTGACCACCTTTACGCCAGCGTTCTGTTTACAGAGTTCGGGTTTAGGATACCGGATGAGAAACTACTAAACCCCAAACCCTATAAACCCTAAACCGTAAACCGTCGAACTTTGCATACATCTTCCCGGTCTTCCTGCATGGGAAGGGGCCCAGGGGTCCCCAAACCCTCGATCCTTATCAGGGTTTAAGGGGCTAAGTAGGGTTTATAGGGCATGACCCTACACCCTAAACCCTAAACCCTAGACCCTAGACCCTAAACCCTAAACCCTAAACCCTAAACCCTAGACCCTAAACCCTAAACCCTAAACCCTAAACCCCAAACTACCTGCCTTCGACTGCAGGGTTTCTGTAAGGGCTCCTTGCAGGGTTCCTTTAAGGGTTCCGAAAAGGGTTTTTCTGAGGGTTCCTATTAGGGTTCCTTTCAGGGTTCCTTTAAAGGCTTCTGTTGAGGGCCTCTATCGAAATCGAGGGTTGGGGCTTTAAGGTTTAGCAGCTTAGCAGCAGAGTGTCGTTCAAGGGTGCAGGATTTCGATGTGCACCTCCAACGAGACAAGTTCCGGAGTTCAGCTGTGTGTCTCTGGCAATATGATCTTAGGGGCTGAGTGCCCTAGCCCAAACATGATCAACCTTTACAATTATGGTAGGATTCTATAAACCCCAAAAAGTTAAAGGTTACCCACTCAGCTACTAAGTGAGCCATTCAGGGCCCCTTAATTCTGGTGCCATAGCCAGAAGTGTCCTGCAAGGGTCTTGTGCTCCAGGTCAACCCTAATCCCTAAACCCAAAGCGTTTAGGGGTGTATATTTAGGGTTTGGGGGCTTGGGTTGTTTAGGGTATAGGGCTCAGGGCTTAGAAAGCCCTAAACCCTAAACCCTAAGCTCTATACCTTGAACCTAATGGCGCCACTCCCCAGGTTTTGACGTTCCTGGCTCCAGATCGCTGGGATCCCTCGCTCACGATACAGCCCCGACATAGGTAGTTCTCAAAAATAACCGGGTCCTTCTATGGGGATCCTTTCTATAAGGGTTCCGTACTGTTTTGGGGACCCAAAAGGGGCTCTAACTTAGAGAACTACCTACATAGAGCCTCAAGAGCTGGTCAACATATACCCTTACTTAGAGGATCATGCGACTTAGTAACTAGGGATATAATTAAGGTAACTATACTTATTATAATTACTTATAACCCCACTTAGGGTACTTATAACCATACTTGATAACTCCCACGATCCTCTAAGTATGGTCCGTGCATTCACAATCCACTGTATCTGAATTCCCATGCCAATAATTAAGACCCCATGCTTCTCCATCGGATATTATACAAAGCAGTTCCTACAAAATCTTTATCAGAACCCTGCAACAACCCAACACCTTTTTAAGATTTTTTAAGGCCTATAGCACACCCTAAGCTACCCTAAAATCCAAATCTTTCAAGAACCAAGAAACACCAAATCTAAACCACCAAGCACCTAAACCCCAAACTGTAAACCCCGAAAAACACTGAAAGCATCGGTCTAATCATCAAAGCCGGCCTCCTCGACGAAGGAGCCCTCGTGCGCCGACCAACTACTGCACTCCGTGGCCACGACGCAGACCTCTGACGGTCTAGCGTTTAGGATTCAGGTTTGGCTTGTGGGTGTCTTCTTATAGTTAAAACAAGAACAGACCTCTGGCTTCTGCAGCTGCTGCTTAGGGCTTGGGGCTTGTGGTTACGGGCTGAGTAATTTGCAGCCGGAGGTTAAACACCAATTCGCAGCGTCGTGCTGTAAAGATCTTTGGATTGATATGACGGCGATTGCTACTAATTATCAAGGCTTCTGGGTTTAGGCCTATAGAGTCAAAGTAGTCTCTGTCTTTGGGGATCACGTTTCAGTTAATGGTTAGGGGGATGGTCCTGGTTTCAGGTTTGAGCTTGGGGTGTTAGAGCAAAAACATACGTATAGGGAACTCCAGAAAGTTGGAATATGGTTTCATGGTAGGATACCCTATAATTTACCATAGAAGGGTTAGGATAATCATATTCCAACTTTCTGGCTCTTACCTTATGGTATGGCAATCTACAAAGTACGCTCACTTCCCAAGATAACACCGTTTTCAAGGGGCGGTAGCCCTTGACGTGATCCTTTGCACATGGCCCTCAACGCTCAATTCAGGATTCAGCCTTGGACGTTCGGGTTTACATAGGATTCATGATTTGGTGCTAAGGTTTATTTAAACCCTAATACACGGGCCTTATTATTCTGATAATCAGAATATGGTTTGGGTGCCCATATACTATATCCAGAATAAGGAACCCCCAAAATAGTACTGGTAATTATTTAGGCCTCTATAGTACAGCCTGAACCCTCTCTCTTGGAACTGCCTCGCTGGCTGCTGTGACGAGGAAGCAGATCAACTCCGGACAGAAGCGTAGGTTGCCCAACTCGCCCCAAATGAGCCAGTACCTTGCGGGTTTAGGGTTTAGGGATCAAAGTGAATAGGTTTGCATTTTGCATTCCTTAGAACTAGGGTCTAGGGGTTTAGGGTTTAGGCACCCGCAAGGCAAACACGAAATCATGGGATAATGTTGCCAAGACGCAGACACACATCACGCAAAGGATCCGCTTGCTGCTGCGAAGGAGACAAAGGCGAAATGAGTGGTATCCAGACTTTCCTGAAACTTGTGTGCTGGGGGTCATTCAAGGGGTTGTCGAAATTGCAGTATAAAGGCCTGTATGGCTGTTACAAAGGTTTAGTGTGTCGAGTTCGTCAAGTTTTCAGATGTCCCCGAAGGTCTCCCAAATGGGAGTTTCCGAAAATTAGGGGTACCTTACTTTGGGATCCTTATAATTAAGGAGCCTACTATTTAGGGTGCTGTATTAGGGTCCCCTATTTCGGAAACTCCCATACCCTCAACCCTAAGCCCTATAGATCCCTTTTTAAGGAACCCTTAAAGGAACCCTCAGATCCCTTTAAAGGAGCCCTTTTTCGGAAACTCCCAAGTCCATCTTGAGTCTCGCGAGCTTGCACAAACAGGCCCTGTTTTCCGGCTTTGGGGGTTTCGGGTTTTGGGTTTCGGGGGGTTACGGTAATGTAGGGTTTAGGGTTTAGGGTTTAGGGTTTAGGGTTTAGGGCAATTGGATGGATAATAATTGGAATAGGGTTTGGGGGCCAACTATAATTCAATTATAATAAGGATCCCTCAAAATAGTATAGGTAACTATTAAGGCACCTGTATTAAACCTCCACAAGGATTCCTCGTCCAGTGTTTTAGGAATGCACACCGTGAACCTTAAACCTCCCCAGGTTGAACCCTAAGCATGTGGGACTAAGATCGAGCTTTCCAGAACCGTCACGACAGGAAGCCTACCCTGTATAGTAGGATCCTTATTATAAGGACCCCCAAATAAGGTACCCCTAAGTTTCGGAAACTCCCAAACCCTAAACCCTATAGATCCCTTATAAGAACCCTTATAGGAACCCTTATGGATCTCTTTAAAGGGTCCCCCCAATAGAACCCTTATAGTACCATTTCCGTCCCCAACTCCGAAAGTTTCGACTCCACAAATCCAACTGACTCAGACACGCGCTCCCCATGCTTGCGCTATCGAGCCCTGCTCGCACCCCTTTTAGGGTTTAGGGTCTAGGGTTACCTTATTTATAGGATTCTTAATATGAAACCCCAAAAGGAACTACTTTGGGGCCTTAGGGTAGAAGCTCCCCGCCCCGCGTCGCCATGTCAGAACCTCCAATGACGCTAATCCGTGAACGCCCCTGAACTTGCCCCTCTGACTAAAGCCTAACCCTGCAAAGCCTAAACCCTGTAAATAGCCTGTAAAACCCAACCTTGGCCTGAATCCTGAAAGCAAAAGCCCTGCATACTCTGAAGACCTTACGTTGATGTGTACGGCGTAATGTAGGAACCTGAGTCAGAAACCTTGGGTCCGTATTAGCGGTTCTTAATATGGATCCTATCGGGGTTAAAGGGCCAGGGTTTCTTCATCAGGTTGCTACATTAGTGATAAACCCTATACCCCCAAAGTCTAAAGACCCTAAAGCCCCAACCCAACAACCCTAAGCCCCAAAGCTCTGAACCCTCAAGCCCCAACCCTAAACCCTAAGTCTGAACCCTACACCCTAAACCCTAAATCCTAAACCGTAAACCCTAAACCTACGCTAGTTTTCTACAGATCCTCAGCCCTTCGGACTGAAAAGCTCCTCTTATAGAACGACACGTGGTATCGACTAAGTTCAAAGGGGAAAAGGAGGGACCCTTAATGGGGACCCCTACCCTATAATGGGCTATATAATGGGTATATAATAGCTATATTAAGGGTATATACCCAGGGGTCCTTATGAAGGGTCCCTCCTTCTCCCCTTTGATAAGTAGGATTATGCCGGTTTAGGGCTCAGGGGTTTAGGGTCTATGATTATGCCCATGATAGGGGTTGTACGAAAATTATTCTCTGTAGGGAATCGACCTAAAACCGCGCTTACCAAGTTGCGCGATCACTGTGAACCCTAAACCCTAACCTAAACCTTCGCCAATGTAGGGGCCACATGAACAGGTCCAACAACATATTTAACCATTTTGGCCACAAAAATGATGTGGAATCATCCGGAATAGTCTTGGTAAGTGTTGCCGACCCCTCGACTACTATGTTATGGCTCGCGTCGCTCTCCAGTCCCGCTGTGTGCGCAGCAGCTGGCTGGAGAGCACTTGCAGCGCCACGTTGGGGTTCTGGTAGCGCCGTAGAAAAGACTCCCACAGCGCCTGGTAGTAGGTGCAGGGTTCCTTTAAAGGGGTCCTTTAAGGGCGACTATAAGGGATCTATAATGGGGTTCTATAATATGGGATCCCTGCTTCTTAGAATAGGGCTTAGGATTTCGTGGGTTTTGATTGCTCTCAACACCCTCAGGCCTAAGGCTAGAGAGGCGCATATATTGTGCAACTTCAACTGGCCATAAGACCACATGTAGTTTGGGCCCTGCGCAAGTCCCTATTGAGGTTTAGGTTTGGGAATCTAAAAACCTAGGTTTTGCTTTTGCTGTCTAGACTTGTTAGTTTCGGGGTTCGGGCTTAATGTTTCCGCTGTTGGAATCTCAATGGTTTTTCCACGGGTACAAGAAGGGTGATGGTGAGGTTGCAATGTAATTTAACTGGGCTGTGGTAAACCCTCAACCCTCAACCCAACGCCCCAGTCCCAAAACAGGCTTCCGGCAGGTCTTAAGGTGCCTCCGGAGCGACAAGTTTCAATGACCACCATACATAGGTATGCAAACGAAGTATACCGGAAGCTACCATCCCCGATGTTTCGGCAGGCTTCTCCTCTAAAACCGGTTGTAGAAGATACACCCTAAACCCTAAACCCTAAACCAGGGTCCATGCATACTATGGAATTAGGTCCCCCTAAGCCATTATCAGGATGGTCTTTTGGGGCCTCATTCCATACCGGTAGTGTATGTGGACCCTCTTGGTTCTAGGCGCCCTGCAAAAAATTCGCCTCGGCCCCGGCCGAAGCGGTCAGAGGTTCCTACGGATTCCCTCAATTCCCCACCCCACACAACCTTCCCCGCTTCCACCCCCCTCCCCCCCCCCCCCCCCCACCCCCCCCCCCCCCCCCCTCCCCCCCCCCTCCCCCCCCCTCCCCCCCTTCCCTCCCGCCCCTCCTCCGCTCGCTGACAGGTGCGAGCTTTCTGGAGTTTTCGACGACACGGGACTGCAATGTAGCATCTTTATGTGTTGGGGCTCGCCTTTAAGGCTGCAGTACCAAGCGAGTTTCAAATCTGAATTCCTAACCCTACACCCTAAGGCCTTAATGACTTCAATATACTTTAACTCTATCAAAAAACCCCAGCAGGGTCTTAATCATTGTTTGGGCCCCTATGTTGGTATCGAATTGATGGCTTTGCGTCTCAGGCTTGTTTTAGACGCCCTTTCGTTGGGAGAGTAACGTGGTTGAAAAGGCTGTGATGTTTCCCTAATCCAAGACGCCCACGAAATCCACAGCCTCAACGGCCCATACTTATTGCATCCCGCCGCTTGCGAGAGTCTTGGTATCCAGTGTTTCGGAATGACGACACCAAAATTCGTACTGATACTACCACTACTAGTACTACTCACAATCATCCTGCTTCGTGTTGCTATGAACATTACTTTTACTATAAGTGCGATTCCAACTGTTACTTTTCTCCTACAAGAGCTTGCTGCAGATAGTAGCCACTCGCCGCATGCGCGTACAGCCGGGCCGAGGCGGACGACGCGCAGCGTTATGAATTAGGTTGTGCGGGTTCAGTTTAAGTGTCGGATCATGGGGCTGCTTAAGTACCAAGAGGCTCCAAAAACACTTTCATCATCAAACACTTTCATCATTATGGAATTAAGCCCCAAAAGAACATCCTAAAAATGGTTTTGGGGGACCTATTTCCATAATAGTAGTATATGTGGACGCTCTCGGGTAGTGATCTAACTGCAGGTCCTTGCATGGGTTCCTTGTGCCTTGGAGGAGGGTTTACTTTGGGGCTTAGCGGCTTAGCTTTCGCCAAGCTGAGGGTTTGTTCCAACTACGGGTGCCTTTCTAGATAAATGCCCGCATGGAGCACTCTTCTATAAATAAAGCAGGCTCGCCTCAAACCCATGGGTTTTAAGCGCCTGGGGCCCTAATCATACGTTTTTGGGCCTCAGAAAACCTTAACAGGGTCTTGGGCCAAATACGGCGCAGTGTGCACTATACTACAACATTACAGAGTATTAGTAGCGATTATCACGAAATATGTGCCCTAATCATTACCCCCCTGCACCCTTAAACCCCGACCCCTCAGCCCTTACCCCTAAGCCCTAGATCCCCAAACCCTCAACCCCTAAACCCCGTAGTACCTCAAAGATCCCTGACAGGAGCCCTAAACCCTAACCCCTCAGCCCTAAATCCCCAAACCCTCAACCCCTAAACCCTGTAGCATTTTAAAGATCCCTTCTACGAACCCTAAACCCTAACCCCTCAGCCCTTACTCGCAAGCCCTGAGGCTCTTCCGGGACATCGGGGATAACGCGCGAGCCTCCACGTGTTCTGCTTGATTCCGCATACCTTGAGGGTTTGAGCTTGAAAGCTTCGGGTTTAGGGTTTGGGGGTTTAAGGTTCAGGGTTTTCCTGGACCCCCAAAGTATGTAGAATAATAGCCCTGATATCGGTGATGTGCCATCATCTGTTTTACTTTTGGGGCTCTGGGTAGAGGTTATAAGTTTCTCAGGGCTTTGGGTTTACGCGAAGGGTTTCAGGTTTGCTTTGAGGGTTTAGGACTTCAGATTGTTGGGCTTGCGGCTTAGGGTCATGAGTCGTGATCGCTCGATGAGTGATTTTCGGATTGCGGGGAGACGTTTCATGAAAGCTGGGAAGGCCTCATAACTATGCAGGGACATGATAGGGGATATAGTTCTTGTCCTCATTTTTCAAACCTCTCAGCAGCAGTGCCTCCGTCAAAAGGCATCCATTCTGCACATGCTTCTTTCGATGTTCTTAATAGCGGCTTAGGCTAGCGGCTAGTGTTGCTATGTCGACAATTCGGGCTTCGAGCGCCAAACCCAAAACCCTACAATGCTAAAGCCAACACGATTCCCTCAAGCCTGAAACCCTAAATCCTGAAACCCTGAACCCTAACCGCCAAACCCCAAATGCCAAAACCTAAACCCCAAACCCTGAACCCTTTCTGGAGCCAGTCAGAGGTGCTGGCGGTCCATACACCCTACATTCCAAACTTTCTGGAGCCAGAGATGCTATCCCTCCCTAAACCCGAAACCCCAAACCCTAAACTTTGAATTGAACCCTTTCTGGAGCCGGAGGTGCTGTCGGTCTGAAACCCCAGAAGAGACTTGAGCCAGCTACAGATGTGCTCCACAGCAGCACGGCGCCTTCCGTATGGTGTCTCGGGCTCAGGGCTAATCGGGATTGTAGGGTTTAGGGTTTTAGGGTTTAGAATAAAGGGCTCAGGTTTAAGGGTTGTAGGGCTCAGGGTTTTAGGGTTTAGGGCTCAGGTTTAAGGGTTGTAGGGTTACAGGATTTAGGGTTTAGGGTCCAGCGTTTATAGGGTGGACTGCTGGGGTCTAGGGTCTAGGGCCTATGCGGTTTATGGGGCTTGGGGTTTAGGGTTTATGGTCTGGCGTTTATGGGGTTGACTGCAGTGTAGGTCTTGCAAGATTCTGGGTGGTTCTGGCACATAATGGGCTTTCGGAGGGGTATGTTATATATAACTTGGGTGCGGCCCCCATACAGTAAAGAAATAGGGCCACTATTCAGGGCCCTATATATCTATATTATGAATTATGAATATTATCCAACTGTCACTGAGTGCGGGCCGTACCCAGTATATAACGCAATATGCAACCCTGAGGAATAGTGTTGATACTGTTTTCACTTCGTGGCTGAGTACTCTAGCCCAATAAAGACTAACCTTTTCAACTATGGTAGGATTAGTTTATCCTCAATAGGTTAAGGGTTACCTACTGAGACACTAAGTTCAGGTATGCAACCCTGAGGAACAGTGTTGCTAGTTTTTCCAGGTCCTTGAATACAGCATATTGTCTAGGCAGGGCACACCGGCCCCAATCGCCACGCACAAGACTCGAAACCCCACCCCTAGAGGCCTAGGGATACGGATTTATGGCTCCAGGCCCTCAGTTAGGAGAATCAGTGCCATGCTCTAGGCTTTCGTAAGAATCTTCATCGCGAGGAGCCTTGCTGCAGTACTCGCCGGGTCAGGGGACTTTGTACGTAGTGCTATAGTTAGGTAACTCTTGCCATAGGACCCCACAACCCCCATTCCAATGAAGGTGCTTTCAACAATGCCAACTTACCCTTTGCCCTACGGCGACGTCTTGTTTCGTATCCGGACATTAAAACAACAGATGAGATAGGTATCTCATACTACCCTCTGTGGGGATGTGGTCTGGCCGCCCTGGTTCAAAACATCGGAAAGACTTGTGGGCACTCTAACCCCATAATTACAACGTACCCAGAGGGTCCATCTATACTACGATTGTGGAGTTAAGTCCCCCAAAACTATTATCAAAAGGATGGTCTTCTGGGGCCTATAATTCCATAATGGTAGTCTATATGGACCTTCTTGGGTACCTCTTCTGCCTGTATGTTTCTTTCCCTGGATGCCCCAGTAGCACAGACGCGGGGAAGCTGCAGTTTCAGCGTGTTCAGGACCTACCCCACCTGTCTCCTCTCTGTTGTGCTGTGATGGACGGGAATATGAATAGAAATATATATATATATATATACATATATACATAATATATATATATGTATATATACATATACATATGCATAGGTAAAGATACGCATACATATATATATATATATATATGTATATGTATATACGTATGTAGACTGAATCGATTTGTTACGTATACGAAATGAATATGCGGAATAACACAGATACCTCATACTTACTAGGTGGGCCTGCTGTGTTGGCCGCCTCCCACATGTTGTCAAAGCATCGCCGTAAACCGAGAACCCAAAAGCCGAACTAAACACGAAACCTAACACCCTAAACCCACGAACCCTAAACCCAAAACCCTACCTCACCAAACCTAAACCCTACAGGCAGCTAACGTCATCCACAGGTCCCAGGCCAACCCGCCTCGCCGCTGTGTCGAAAGGATTTTGGATCATCCTCGCCACCATCAAGGCTTTATGGGATCCTTTACGAGGTCTAGAGGAATCAGGGGTGCAGGGTCATGGTTTAACTTCAGGGTCTACAGTTTAGAGGTGCAAGGTTTAGGGGTTGTGGGGCCTCGGAGCTAAGCCGGCAAAGAGTGCTTGCTATCTTGATGTTGCGGGCTTACAGTTTTAATTTGAACCTACCAGACAGCCGCCTAACCTGCACCCCAAGCCGGAAACACTGAACTTCGCAACCCGATATCACAAAATTCAATAACTCCGAAGAGAGTGCTCCTGCGGTGTTCGGATTGCTTCGCAGACGGCTTGAGCCAAGCCCGAAAAATGTCAACCATGAGCCTCCTGAGCCCTCAACCCCCAAAACTCCTAAACCCCCACACCCTAGACCCCTAAACCCTATCCCTTAAACTCTACACCCCAAACCCCTGAACCGTAGGCCCAAATCCCAAAACCCTACAGACTAAATTATTAAACCCCCAAACCTTCAACTCCAAAAATCCCTAACCCCAAAACCACTAAACCTAAACTCTAAACTGAGGTCGTCGCGTAAGTTCTTGCCCGGCGTGGCTCTGCTCTGGCCCAGAACTCATCGGCAAGAGGGGCATCGCAGCAGCCATTGGGTTTAGGCTTGTTAGGTTTAGGACCTTAGGATCCTTTAAGGGATAGGGATCTACAAGGGTTCCTTTAAAGGATCTAGAAGGGTTCTGTAAGGGTTCTAGTTAGGTTTAGGGGTTGTCAAGTTCAGGGCTCAGGGCTTTCAAGGGATACAAAAAGGGCTACTACAAGGGTACTATAGGTGTTAGGGTCCTAGGGTTTAGGCTTTATAGGGATCTAGGGTTTTAGTTGGTTGATTCAAACTCGAAGGGTCCCACCCGGCCCAAGATCCCCAAGTCCTCAACCTTTCGGTTGGGCTTGGCACTGAGCCGCTTTGTTTTTGAGCACACGGCTGCGGGAAAACCCCTCGTGGCTCACGATTTACTGGTGTAGGGCTTTTAGGGATCAAGCTTCGGGGTGCATGTCCCTGCGCCGGAGCATCCTAAATTTAAAAGGCTCTTGTGGGGGATCAGAGTACCTGGCGGCAGGGTATTGGTTCGACACTCTTGTATGGTGGGTAACTATGGTGTTTATAGAGCGGCGCGTATAGCTCCTATGATGAGCTTATGGATTACATCGTTATACTATTAGGTTTTGATAGCATAGTGTTCTTTGGCCTCATGATAAATAGGGCCCGCTCTTTAACTCCACCTTAAATGGCTAGTCGACTCTCAATGGCTAGCATCCAGGCTACGTCATGCCAGCAAGCGGCTATGCCCAACCTGCCAATTGTCGAACCCTGAGTCCTGAGGCCTCAAGGCTCCAGCTCGAAAGGGTTTAGGGTTTAGCTCTACACTTCTTCCCAAACCTAAACATGACGGAAGCCGAGCTACAAAACGCACTGGCACAATGATCTTCTGAAAGCGAGTTGCATCCAGTCCTTAACCCACCAACCAAACATACAAAACTACAAACACTGCTTTAAATACCAAACAACATGCAAACAACCATACACTCCGAACCAAAACCCTGAACCGTGAAACGTGAACCTTCGAAGCCTACGGCTGATGGACATTCCGCGTTATGCATTACAAGCCCAAGTCGATATTACTCATCAGTGGTAATGCTACAGGGATCTTTACAAAGAGAAAGGGGCTTTGGGGCATGTTATACCATAACCATATTCAGGAACCCCCAAAACAGTATTCGTACTTCTCTAAGCCCTATAGTCGGCATTCACCCCTGAATGGAAGGTAACACCCACAAGATAGTAGGTACGGGTCAACACCAACCCTTGACTCCGTCAGTCTAATCAGCTTCAGAGAGGTGGTTGTCAAAATTATGGCCCCTTTTGGGGGTACCCTAAATATTAGGTGCCGTACTATATTAGGGCTTAGGGACCCAGAAAGGGACCCTAATTCCGACAACCACCCATATATAAGCTCCAATCTCACAGCCTTACAGCAACCATACATAATCCTTTACGACAACCTGCCATACCCAGAATCCGCAAACCCTGCAAAACCGTACAGAACTTTGCAGAACAAAGCACTCATGCGCCACTGTAGGACCCCATCAAAGCCAAGAAGCTCCGAAATCGCTGAAGCCCCAGCCGCTAAAGCTGCGCAAAACTCTGTTCAATCTTGCAAGAACCATATCAAATTCTACAACACCTGGCGAAACCCTCCAGAAACCTTATAGAACTCGGTAATAGCCGATATAGCAAAAGCAAGCCGAAGCCTAAACTGAAGCTCCAAAATGGTAAAACCACTCCCACAAAAAGGGCGCTGCCTGCTTGGAGGGATCCCCGAGGCCAGCGGCTGCGGCTTCGGCCGCCGCGGCTCGGACCTGGCGGCATCTTAGGGTTTAGGGTTTGCTTAGAGGATCATGGGACTTAGTAGGTTATATTTGGGGTTATAAGTCCCCTAAGTGGGGTTATCCGACTTATAACCTACTTTTTACCTTACTTACTAAGTCCTATGACCCTTTAAGTAGGGTTTAGGCGTAAAGGTCGAACAATCCTGGGCTTTCAGGGTTTAGGGTTGGGGCTCAGGGTTTAGGGTTAAGGGTTTAGGGTTTTAGGGTTCAGGGCTTAGGGTTTACGGTTCGGGTGGGGAATCGTGAAAGTCTACGGGTGCCCTTTAGGGGTCTTGAGGGTTCTGTTCTTTGGTAAGGTCCCTGCAAAGGTTCCATCAGAAGCGTCCTTTTCAGGAAACTATAGGAAGGGTTCTACCATTAAGCGCACTAAAGACTGTTTCATAAAGGTTCCTTCAAAAGCACTGTTTGGTATCTATCATAAATGGCCCTTCAAAGGCACTGAAGGGTTTCTGTCTTAAGGGTTCCTTCAATGGCATTACGGGTACAAGGAGAAGGGTTCTATTACAGGGCCCCAGTAAGGGCCTTAAAAGGGTCATTTTAGGGGTTCCTGCACGGGCACTGTATGGTCTCTATCATCAGGGCTCCGTTGCGGGAACTGTAAGGGTTCCTTTAAGGAGTACTTTACTATAGGGCGATTTCGAAATGTCTAGATGAAAACCACTCGCAACTCAGCTACGCTCATCGCCCCGTGGAGGGTGTGCAAAGCAAGGCATCATGAGACGAGATCCCCGCTTCGGAGAACCGAGTGGAGATAGCACCGCACCTGTGCAATTTTCCAAGCAAGTCAGGAGGCTGTCTTCCTTTGCTGTCGGGGTGGCTCTAGGTGCAGCTCGGCAATGCCACGGCAAACCAAGGCATGCTTTCCAGTGACCAGAAGTCCCCTCGTATAGCGTGCTCCAACGTATGAAGCTGAAGAACGCTCATCAAGTCCACGAATTGCACATTGGATCCGACGCGCAAAAACAGAGTCTCCAGGGTTCGCCAAGAGCTGGGGCATAGGCTCGAGATCTGCAGCGGCCGGTAGATGGCCGTCCTTCATTGGACGGCTCACATCTCGAAATCTTTTGTTAAGGGCACTAAAAGGGCCATTTCATAAGGGTTCGGTCCACGGCACTGTATGGTTCCAACGGGCTATTTCATGAAGGACCCCTCAAGGGCATATAGGAGTTCTATACTAGGGGTCTCATTAAAGGCACCAAAAAGAGCTATTTCATAAGGGTTGCTTCAAGCGCACTGTATGGTTTCCATCACCAGGGCTCCTTTAAGGGTATACCCTAAACCGATACTACAGGGTTGGTAAAAGGCTGCCAAAAAGGTCCAAGGGGCTCAAGTACGGCTTGGGTTCCCTATCAGGGGTTGCCTTGAGGGTTAATTAAGGTTCTAAGGGTTTAGGGGTTTGGAGATTTCGGGGTTTAGGGTTTGGAGGTTTGGAGTTTAGGGTATACTGGTCTAGGAACCTAAGGTTTGGGACTCTGTTGCGATTGGTTGTTGATGAAGCAACAAAAGTTTCGCAGGACTTACAGGATTGTTGCTGCTTTGACGCTTGTGGAGATGTGTATTGACAGTGTATTGTATGGTGCCCTTGCAGGTTGTACTAGGTTTTCATGAGCGTGTTTCGGAAATTTCGGGCTCACAGGGTACAATCTATGGTGCTTATCGTGATTCCCTCAAAGGGTCTGCAAAAATGCCTACGCACGAACTTCCCAAGCCCTGCTAAGGGGCCCGGCGGCGCCAAGTGCGCTCCGGATGTCCAAGGAACAAAGCGTCCTTGCCACCGTCAGACGCTGCTTGCCGGTGCCCGTCCTCGCGGCTTCGGGTCCAACATATAGGGTCGAGGGCTTCGTAACACAAACAGTTCGACCCAAGCCATGACCCCGACACCATAACGTGTTAAACCCGAACTCAAGCCCCCTGAACCAAACGCCTCTAACCGCAAGTGCATGATGGGTCAACTTTAAGCTTTAAACAGAAACAGCTCGCACGGCACGTCCTAATTCAGAAAGGGTTGGAGATGCTTTGAGATAAGTAAGACAGTGAGCCACACCAGATGTGATTGATGCCAATCTAAATGGCATGGCTCGGCCATGATTTTGTTTGAGTTTTTGCCGATGTCCAGGCCAACCAGCCAACTGTTGCTGCGTCGTCGTCGTCGTCGTCGTCCAGGACACAACTCTTGATGCAGTCGGGCGGCACGAGTCCATTCACGGTCGCATTGACGTGGAGCATCCCTTTGATCTCACTACACACAGGCATGCAGATTGAAGCAAACAGTCACGCCAGGCCATGGGCCAAACAATATTTTCTTGTCTCATCCTTGGAGACCTCGAGCTTGCCGCGAAACGTCTTGGCCGGGCTGTGCGTGCAGCCACCCGCACAAGCATTGATGTCCAGAGCGAACAGCGGCCTTTATCTTACGTCGCTAGTATTTGGGACTACCACAGGAGTTGCCACACCGAGGCTTAGGAGCTTTGGGCGCTTTCCCTCAACCCTAAACTCCAAACCCTCAACCCTAAACTCTGCACCCTTAGCCCTAAACCCCAAACCCTAAACTGTAAACCTTCAACCCTAAGCTCGAGACCTTTAGCCATCAACCCTAAAAGCTCGGAGGTCGATGTTGTCGGATCCGGTAAGGCCTCCCTGCGTCCCATCGCATGGGAGAAGAGGACGACGTTGTCCCTACTGTAAGTTCCCGTTAAAAAAAGGTTTGGGTTTAGGCTTGGGATTTGGGGTCTGGGTTGCCCCTAAGTTCCTTTCCTTTCAAGGGTTCTACCTCAGACAAAACCCCAAACCTTTCTCCGAAACCAGAAAACCCCCCCCGGGTGGCTGAGCAAAACCTGTCCGAAGCTGTACCTCTACAAGACAAGGTCATCGATATCTCTATGCCAGTCACAACGAAATAGACTTAGATGCGTGCTCTGCATGGATCAGCTCTTGCATGAACTTTTCAAAATGTCCTTCCTTTAGGATCGATGCCTGTCGCTGCCTGCGCAATTTGCGACAACGGAAACGCAGCTCGGGTTGAATGGAGTTGAATCTTCAATCAAATTTCGAATGTTGCACCTTGCGCGCTCATCCTGCAACATGAGCACCATGTCCGGCCTGTGGCTGATGAACAGTCACTGTTGCGTGATGTTGTCAGCGCAAGATCCGAGAGGAAAGCAGGCCCCGGGCTGTGTTTTCTGCCAGCGTCCAGCATCATTTAAAAACCCTGTCACTGTGTCGTTCATTGGTTCTAAACTTGACAAAAAAAGAACAATCAAGCAGGAGCCACATAACGACATGTGCTTGGCGGTGCTGGAGAACTCGTCGGGTTCGGCCGTGCTTGCGGCCTCACACCTGAGGATGACATACTTGAGTTCCATTCTGTCCAAAACCTCGTGCTTGCAGGCCCAGTCGCCGATTGCATCCTCCACAAACAGCTCCGAGTCCTTCATGTGACTAGAGAACAGCACTCGAAACAGCGCTATCTTTTGGATGTCACGCGGCTCTGATTCAAACTAGCATCTGCGAGCAGCCCCGGCGAGTGACGCGCTCATTTTCAACCTGAGACACAAGTGGCCAGAGTCAACAACAACCAAATATTTTCCAGGATAATTACCCTGTTCCAACTTCCAACTGAAACACACCTGTCCAACATCAGTTCGGCGGCATCCAATGAGTTTTTCGAGTTCCGTTGTCTAGGTACGTGACACGTGACATTGGGCGTACGACTGGGGTAAGGTTGCGTGCCTCTAAGCACGAACTTGTGCTTGAAAGCAGGCTCACAGAAGACATACATCACATACTGATAAATTGAACTTGCTGCTTCTAAACGAGAAATCAAATCAGACACGTAACTCCACTTCCTCGTCGTTGAACCACGGATACTGCAAGAAGCGGTTCATGGCAACCTTCAGCTCAGTTGCATGAACACAAGCAGCAAACAAGTCAATCACGACATGTTCGCTCTTGGTTGCCGACAACGATGTTGGAAACGATGTTGTCAGCAAGTCAGAAGTTACAGAAAGTTGCTAGTTGCTCAAGCCGAAACTTTACGGAGAGTCGTTGACGGCTGCTGTTCGAAGCATGGACACGCAAGCTCGGGAAAGCACTCGTAGTAGCCAAGTTAAAGCTTCGTTTTTTCAACTTTCCGCAGTTCGCTCGGACAGCTCTCTTCTCAGCGGTGTGGCGAAGATTTTGTAATTTCTGAAGAGCATGAGTGAGCTTGGTAAAGCGGTCTCAGCTTTGGCCGGGCTTGAACTGTTTAGCTTGCTCGTGCGCACCCCTGCCCACTGGCCTGCAGTACGTTGGCAACTACTGCCCGGTAAGAGGACGCGCTGGCCCTAAGGGCTGCCAGCATTCGGAAGAAAGAAGTCGAACACTGTATCTCATCTACAGGTTTTGTTCGTCTAAGAAAATTGGGTCTTGAACAGATGATTAGCTTCTAGCTACTACGGCAGAGAAAATCTTCAGCCGAGCTTAATATTGAGCCAAAGTTGCGCTACCCGCGAAGCAATTGAAAGCACACGTTGCATGGTCCGGCCAACGGTACCATGGCTTCAAAGCAGCGCGACAATGCCTACAAGATGGAGCCTTGCTCTATGCACATGGCAACCCACGACATATCGCTCATAGCTAGTATTGCGACACCTGTGAATTGGACTAGCTATCGAGGTTGTTCGCACTTCTCCATGCAAGTTTAATGACACCATCTACAGCCGCGCCCCGGTTGACGCTCTCAGCCTCAGCGGAGAGCGGGGAATCGTTTCACAACTTCCCTTTTCGGGCGCGGCAATGCCTTGCTTCGATCCTCGTGCAGCTCTGCACAACTGACTTACGACGGTCACACAGTTCGTCAATCAGAACTTGCAAAGCGCACAATGCTGTTTCAAAATTTTTCAGTACGAGAATCAAAAACGCTCGTAGCTACTTGGGGTTGTATGATAACCCCGCATTAAGTTACTGATCCCTGAACTGATGTTATCGTTTTTCTTCTTATCGTTTCTCCAACGAATATGTTTACTTTATGATACAACAACATGGGTACTCATGCTAGTACTAGTACTAGTACTAGTATTAGTACACGCAGTAGCAGCAGCAGGAGAAGGAGCAGTAGCAGCAGTAGTAGTAGTAGTAGTACTAGTAGTAGTAGTAGTAGTAGTAGTAATAATAGTACTAGTAGTAGTAATAGAAGTAATAATAGTAGTAGTAATAGTAGTAATAGTAGTAATAGTAGTAATAGTAGTAATAGTAGTAATAGTAGTAATAGTAGTAATAGTAGTAATAGTAGTAATAGTAGTAAGTAGTAATAGTAGTAATAATATAGTAATAGTAGTGATAGTAATAATAATAGTAATAGTAGGAATAGTAGTAATAGTAGTAATAGTAGTAATAGTAGTAATAGTAGTAATAGTAGTAATAGTAGTAGTAGTAGTAGTAGCAGCAGTAGTAGTAGTAGTAATAATAGTAATAAAAGCAGCAGCGGCAGCCGCAGCAGCAGTAGCGGCAGTATAGAAGCAGTAAACAGAAGTGATTTCAACCGCCGCCCGGACGGTACAGGGGGTACATACAGGAAGCCGGCCACACCGCTTCCCCCCCCTCCGTTAGCTCCCCGCGGGCCCTCTCACCTCGTCCTCGGCCTCGAACGGCGTTGGAAATGGTATATATAGTTAGTACAGAGCAGCAGTAGTTTTAGTAGTAGTAGTAGTAGTAGTAGTAGTAGTAGTAGCAGTAGCCGAAGTAGCAGAAGTAGTAGTAGTAGTAGTAGTAGTAGTAGTAGTAGTAGTAGTAGTAGTAGTAGTAGTAGTAGTAGTAGTAGTAGTAGTAATAGTAGTAGTAGTAGTAGTAGTAGTAGTAGTAGTGGTAGTAGATGTTGTTGTTGTTGTTGTCGTTGTTGTTGTTTTTGCAGCGGTACACTAACAACATACAAACGTGCTGAAAATAGCCATAGTATCCGCAATAGTAGTTGTAAAAATACCTTATTTATGCATCGTCTTACATAGACGTTCTCTGCAAAGATGCATCGTCTTACATGGACGCGTGTTCTCGAGAGGCCTCGCCTAATTGTGATGTTTTGCCCTTGTAGCGTTACAGAGTTTGGGTGCGCGACGTGTAGACCGTGGCAACGGGCATTTTGTCGCTGCTGCTGCTGGAGTCTGAAGACGAGCCGTCGTAGGAACTCCTCGAAGTGCTGCTGTTTGGCGTTGCAACCGAACTTTGTTTCTGGCTGCTCGACGAGCTTTGGCTAGCACGCGTTCTTCGAAGGAGCGGACAGGCTTCAAGTCACCCCTCGGAGGAGTCATCTTCTGCTCCTCGTGTCTGCGAGACAGCTGGGTCGTGTCCGATGGATCCGGCGGAGGCATCTCCGAAGTTTTCTCGCCCTCAAAGTAAGCGCACTTCCACTCCAAGTTGCCCTCCCGAGCTTGTGTGCTGATCTCGTACGCGAAAGAATCACAAGGCTGCTGCATGTCTGTGAAGACGAGGTTGTAAACCACTGGTTTTTCGTGACAATCTTGCTGGCTTCAGAGCCAGAAGGACATATGTGCGTGTAAGTCTTACTAGTTGCCCGAGGATTGCCCTATACAGGTCTCTTGTACAGAGTTCTATATCAAAACATGTCAAGACGCAACATCTTTGTGTGAAGCCTGTTAGAGAGACTGCAAACTCCATACAACTGCCGTGTCAAAACTTTGCAAACTCCATACAACTGCTGTTTCAAGAATTGTACGAGAATGAAAAACGCTCGATAGCCCCTTACTCGTTGCCTACGGACTCCCCTATACAAGTCTCTAGTACAGAGTTCTATATCATTCATGTCAAAATGCAACATTTGTGTGTGAAACCTGTTAGAGAGACTGCAAACTCCATACAATTGCCGTGTCAAAACTTTGCAAACTCCATACAACTGCTGTTTCAAAGTTTTTCAGTACGAGAATGAAAAACGCTCGATAGCCCCTTACTCGTTGCCTACGGACTCCCCTATACAGGTCTCTAGTACAGAGTTCTGTATCAAAGCATGTCAATACACAACATCTTTGTGTGAATTCTGTAAAAGAAGCTGCAAAGCCCATACGACTGCCGTTTCAAAACCTTTGCAATATGTCAAACACACTTGACAGCCACGTACTAGCCTGTGCCCGACACTAGCGTCTGGTCAATGCGCGAGCATAACGCGCATTTTGCACCGTTTGCTTCCTTGCAGAGAAAATTGCGTAAAAGAGCTTGCGCAGATGCGTGATTCAAGAAAAATTGCCAGCTATACAAGACAAGATCTTCAGGGCCAATCGCCCGGCAAAACTAAAAGAACTACTAGCGGTACCAGTGCTTGAATTTGCATGTCTTACGTCGGCAGCCGCCAGGCCGGCTTTCGTGCCAGCACCAGGCATTCGGCTCCCACAATCACACATCTAGTAACTTCTCTGAGCAACACAATGCAAGTCATCCTCCTTCGCGCCGTAGCTTTTCCAATCTCCCCATGCTTCCTGCCGTGCACAATCGTGCTTCTTGCGAAGTAACTTGTCGTGAGGTTGCTACAGAAGCTTTCAAAAACTATCCTTAGGAATTTTTTAACGATCATGTGTCCTCGTCGTCACTGTCCTTCTGCACTTCTGGTGGGGTTTGGGGGGACGCACCACCCATTGGAATGGCCACTGAAGCCTTCGAATTTAGCTTCACAGTCAACCTACCCAAAAAAAACAGCACGCGCACAAGCAACAACAAAAATACAAGAAGTGAAAATGAGATCCCCGCGCAGCTTCTTAGAAGCGGGCTCTGACGAGGTGGCCTTGTAATATATGCATATTATATGCATGCAGTTCTGCAAGTCGCAATGCTTGCGGTTCAGGATACAAACTTTGTTTGTTGATTACTCAAGTTTTAGGAAGCTGCAGCACATTCTCTTGCCAAGAATCGTCCGGAGCTCGAGATTTCCGCGCATTCTCCTCGCTACTTGTAGCGGCTAAAGGTCATTTCATAAATGACTCATATGACTGCAACTCGTGACCTAACGAGAATCAGTCCTGCCCTTGCTGCACCCAGCGAGTCCACATGAGTACCGTCCCCTGTGGGAGGTGAACGCTGCAGTAGCTCTGGGACCTGTCATCATCAACAACAACTCGTACAATGGTTTTGCATCCCACGTTTTCTACTACTCCCAACTGGTCCTCACAGCTTCGCGAATCTCGTCCAAGCTCGGCAGGATGAGATGCTCGGATGCCTAAAGTTATAAACATTTACAAAAACAATCTCGCATCAAGCTCAACATGCGCGCAAAACAGCCTCTGCCATGGAATACGGGATTCCTCTGACCGAGGCAGCTGTGACCTGCAATTCTTTGTATCATGAATGCCATGACACACACATGTTACAAAACAATCGTTGCTTAGGGGTGAGCCCAACCATCACCATCGAGCTTGGAGACCCATGTGGGCAGGGCTGTATTCATGCCGCCTTTGGCGAAGTAAATACAAGGTTGCCCCACCTGCAGCCTGGTGCCTCTAAGCAAAAACGAAGCCAGCGTGCTTTGAGCAAAAACTTTGCGTGTAATGCCTCCGCATGAGTCGGCACAAACAACTGCATCTTGTGTCAAGCAGAAGTGTCTGTGATGTACATACCAAAACTCTTCGTGAAAAGCAACATCCGCAGACTACTTGACTGCACCGAATACGAGCATTGTAAGCGACAGACTGTGCTCGGACATCGACCTAAAAGCAATAACCTTTTCATACGCATGTGTTCTGCACAAAAAAAGATTTGCAATTGTTTATAAGGAAACAGAAAATTTGGTGCTGTATCAACATGAATGCAGGTATTCACGTATGTTCGCATGTATGTATGTATGTATGGAACCGCCCTTGATTGGGCAAGGCTGCCTACGCAAGGCTGGAATGTTGCAGGGCTAGGCATGGGTCTACTTTCGAAACCTCAAAGCGTGGTGGAGTAGGACTGGGTGGCTGTGGAAAGTGGTAGCTGGCGGTTAGGCTGTGGATTGGGCGCTTGGGTGGGTTGGGTCCGACGGTGGCTGGAAGCTGGCAGCATGAGCAGTTCTGCCCCGACGTTGTTTCAAAGCAACGTCTGCTATGCGGAAATCTAGTCCTGGCGCCATGCACCAGGACTTCCAAGTGCTGCCGGTGGACACTTCAGCCCTGACGCTATCCGCCAGGGCAGACTGCGCTACGCGGAGATCTAGTCCTGGCGCTATGCCAGGACTTGTAAGTGCTGCCGGTCCACAGTTCTGCCCTGACGCTATCCGCCAGGGCAGAGTCCGCTATGCGGAGATCTAGTCCTGGCGCTATGCACTAGGACCTGCAAGCGTTGCCGGTATACAGTTCTGCCCTGACGTTATCCGCCAGTGCAGACACCTAAATTATATGAATTGTTGGTTAACGAAGGAATTTGAAGAATCTAAATTAGTTAAAAAATGTAAATAATTTAAATAACTTGGATCGCCGGGTGGCCGGGTGTCGCAACAAGCTGTTTAATTTAAATATTTTAAATAAACGGCCGGGGATTTAAATTGCTCAGATTATTCAATCATTCACTTGATCACCGGCAAGTGGGTCTATTTAGAATCGTTGCTTTTTGATTTTAATTACGGTTTAAGACATGTAACCCTTGGAAACACAGTAAAGCAGCTTCTAAATAGACCCAGTTTTGCTGACACACACCCCCCCCGTCCCCCGCCCCGGCCCCCACACACTAAACCTCAAAGCTTACACCCTCATGCCCACAAACCCTCTAAACTCCTGCACACCCTCAGCCCCACACTACCTAAACCCAAGACACCTCACTAATCCGGGAAAAGCGGTGTATTAGGGCTCAGGGTTTCTTTTTTTAGGGTTTAGGGTTTAGGGTTTAGGGGTATCCCTCGACTGAAGCCCTGAATGGGGCACTCGAAGGTCTTAGTTGCTGAATTCATAACCCCAACAAGTGTACACTTTCAGTTTTATAGTGGGTAAGATTATCCCAAAAAGTGTAAGGTGTATCCACTCAGCTACTAAGAAGTTCAGAAACTCTATACCCGACTGTCCACTGAGAAGGTCCTCTGGCTCGATGCTGCGGCCTGGACAAGGTTCAGGTTCAGGGTGTATGTGTTCAGGGTTTGGGGCTTGAATTTAGGTTTCTAGGTTTAGGGATGAGGGGTTTAGTGTTTAGGGATTTAGGGCTTAGGGTAAAGAGTTTAGGGCTCAGGTTTTTCTTTGATTCGTTGGTCCTGATCCCAAAAACTTAAGACCCCTAAAGTATCCTGATGAAACACCTATGGTCCCTGTTCACATACGCAGCATGTCTGCCACAGATTTGCCCTTGGCACAGCTGCATTCGAAGGATTTTCTCGCAGCGCGCAAGATCACGATGGGTCATGAAAAACTCGGGCACCATCTCCGAGCAGAAGGTCAGCCGTGGCAAAGCGGATTTTGAAGTAGCACCGAAAGTCTTGAGCTTAGGGGACGAGTACCCTAGCCCATCAACTTGTGCAGCACTTCTGCCTTTGTCTCATCATCCAAATGTTTGAAGGTCACCGGGCTGCGATGTGCTCCTTTCTCCAGCTGACGCTGTAGAATAGGGGCCGTAAAAATTGGAATATGATTGGAATAGTGTTTTGGGGCATGATATTATACTATAAATGCAGTCAGGAAACCCGACATAATATTGGTAATGCTTGGAAGTTTCCGAAAAGTCGGGGTACCTCATTTTGGAGTCCGTATAAGGATCTGTACCAGGGTCCCCTATTCACGCACACTCCCATTGAGGCGCCTATGTTACGCGCACGCAAGGACCATTAAACCCTCCAGGGTTCGGGTTTGGGCTCCGCGCACACACCGGCTAGAGGGGCGGGGGCGGGGGGGGCTTGGGGTTTCGGTTCGGGTTCGGGTTGGATGCACTCTTTGTTTTGGGGGGGAGGGGGGGAGGGAGTTGTTCGGGTTCAGGTTTGGGCTACATTTTTTTTGGAGGGAAGGGGTTCCGGTTCAGGTTCGGGTTCGGGTGGGGCTCGTTATGTCACCCTCTCCCCTCAATCCTTCTCCCTAAACCCTAAACCTAGACGAGCCGTTGGCCCTCCCAGATGCCAGCGGCGATGAGCGCTGCCAGGAGTAATTTAGGGCGTATTCATGAGAATAGCTCCGTTTAAAGGGGTCCTTTAAAGGCTACTGTAAGGGATCTATAAGGGTACTATAATATAGGGGCCAGATTAATTGGAATAGGGTTTGGGGCCCCTTATACTATAACTATAATGCGGAACCCTGAAAAAGTATTGGTAGTTAGTTAGGCCCCTATAGTAGATTGCTGCACCCTGACCCTAGCCCCGGCTGCCAGCCGCTGAGACAGGGACCGGCACATGAAACGATGAGCCGTCGCTAGGCCCTAAGGCCTTCCATCCCAAACTTTGGGCTTAATGTAGGAACCTGATTCAGAAACCTTGGGCCTTTATTGGGGTTCCTTATATGCATCCTACTATATTGGGGGTTATAGGGTTTCTAAATCAGGTTCCTACATTAACTTAAAACCTCACTTAGTCCCTAGAGTTAGTCAGGAAACTACACGTATGATGGCCATACTATAATATAGGGAACTCCAGAAAGTTGGAATACCCTATAATTTACCTTAAAGGGGTTACGATAATGATATTCCAACTTTCTGGCTTCTACTGTAAGTGTAGCGCTTCAGGTTTGGGCTTGAGGCGGCTTGAGGAATTGGGGGTTTGCGGTAGCGCCTTGAGGTTCCAAAATCTTGGGCCTTTGTTTAGGGTTTAGGGTTTAGGGGTTTAGGGTTTAGGGTTTAGGGGTTTAGGGTTTAGGGGTTTAGGGTTTAGGGTTTAGGGTTTCGGGTTGAGGGGTTTAGGGTTTAGGTGGGGGAACATCTTGAATTTAGAAGGCCCCCAATCCACAATCCCCAACCCGATACGATGCAAAAGCCGTGCATCGCCAACACCTCAACCCCCACCAAGAACAACAACAACACCCACATCCAAATCCCTGAGCCTACACAAGCCAAAAAAAACAGCACAATACCCGTTCCCACATATAACTTTGAGAGAACCTTAACACAACAACCCCTCAACGCTGAACCCTAAACCCAGAATCCTATATCCTGATCTCGCGAAACTCAGCCTTGAAACATAACACTTAAAAAATCAGATTTGCAGATCCCTTATACAAGGGAGTCCCAACAAGGAAGCCGTTTAAGGAACCCTAGACCCTGAACAGGAAAACCCGGCTTCTTCGCCTCGACTTTGGCGGTAGACGCGCTCTTTGCTGGAGTCTCTGGTGGGGCCTTCGCCACAGGCCCTGGCGCGTCAAAGATGTCTTTAAGGTTTCTTCTGGGATTGGGTAGGGTTTTCTCGGCGGTCTTCTATGGCCTTACAAGGCTTGAACCGAAGCTTCGCAAGGTTTTCTGAAACCTCGGATCTTGTTCGCTGGGCCAATGGGAAAGCCCGCACCAACCACGCCCCCCCTTTCAGAACACAAACAATCCCTAAACCCTAAACCCCAAAACTCTAAACCCTAAACCGTAAAGTTCAGCCCCCACAGCGCCTCGGACCTGCAATTGCGGCTCGGGCGTCTGCACCTGGGTGCCAGCAAGAGGCTAGGCACAGCAGAACGGTTTGGGTTTAGGGTTTCGGGGAAGAGGGTTGAGGGTGTCGGGTTCTACGCAGAACGCTTCCGGGAAGGGAGATTTTCGCGCGCTGCCCCAGAAGCATAATTCTAGATCTCTCCATGTAGAACCGCATAAGGAACCCCTGGCGCAGAACTTTAGAGAGCAGTACCCACTAAGATAGGGGCTTTAATAATTACCTATACTATGTTGGGGGGGTTTCTTATTTGGATTATAGTATCATAAACTCCGAAACCCTACTCTATGTATTTAGGCTCCTATACTACTACTCCACTACCGGAATACCACCTACAGTCTCCTCCATTGGAGTTCCTTTTTGGTCCAAAAAACCCAAACCCTAAACCCTAAACCGTAAACCCTAAACCCTAAACCCTAAATCCTAAAACCCTAAACCCAGAGCCCCAAGGGGAACTCCAATGGAGACAAGAGGTACTCCACTTCCCTCAACCCTGAACCCTAAATCCTAAACCCAAAAAGGAACTCCAATGGAGACTATAGGTACTCCACTACCCTAAGCCTAAACCCCCAAAACCCAAAACCAAAAAAAAAAGGAACTCCAATGGAGACAAAATGGTACTCCACTACCCTAGACCCTAAACCCAAAACGGAACTCCAATGGAGACAAAAGGTACTCCTAAACCCTAAACCCTAAACCCTAAAAGGAACTTCAATGGAGACTATAGGTACTCGACTACCCTAGACCCTAAACCCAAAACCCAAAAAGGAACTCCAATGGAGGCAAGTGGTACTCCACTACTGGAAAACCCCAGAACCCGGTGCCTGCTTCACCGGTGGGACACCTCCAGCGAGGAGTAGAAGCGAAAAAAGATGGGGCTTCCTTTAAAGGGGTCTATAAGGGATCCATAAGGCTTCTATAATAGAGGGGCCTACGGCGTACAGAATTGGAATAAGGTTTTGGGGTAGAAGTATAGGTGGTTGTTATTGAGGCAGGAGCGAAAAAGAAGCTGAGGTTTAAACAAGTGTTTATAATGGTGGTGCATAAGTGATTTGAATATTGGTTGGGTTTGATCGTAATGCTTAGCGGGGTTCAGGCTTTTCGGTGTTAATTACGGTTTAGGCTTTGGGGGTTCAGGCATTGGGGTTTTCGGTTTCAGGGTCCAGGGTGTAGTATGTAGGGTTCGGGGTAGAGGGCCTTATATGGCCCTTCCAACGCCCTAGCAAGCTTATCCGAAGCTATACGATTTCTATGTGCCTTCATATTATTGTGTTTGTATTCTATGGCCAAAAAGCTGTATGCAGGACCGGTTCGCAGCTTAAGTAGGTGTAGGGTTTCAGGGCTCGGGGTTGAAACATGGGGGTTGAAGGTTCAGGATGTAAGATCAAGGTCCCAAAGGTCGGGCTTTCAAGGGGTCGGGCTCCGGTAACCGCACGCCCCAACTTGCAAACGATGCACGGAGCGTCATCAACAGTGTGGAATTTACATTCTTCATCCAGGGCCCTTGCGGAGAAACTATACCTAAACCTGTTTGAACAACTACGTGTAGCCCATCGTAGCCCTAAAGCTGAACTCGAGCCTAGACAACCCTAACCCGAAATCTATCTTCAACGTTTCTAAGCCTGAACCTATCCTAAACAAAACTACAACAGCAAGCCCAAACAAGTTCCGTACACTCACACCTTCTTAAAACCGGAGCCTTAGTAATCCTGACTTAGCCCATGCAACTTAAATTCTGGATCCTAGACCCTAAACCCCAAAAAACCCTAAACCCTAAATTCTAGAGGGATCCTGGGTACGAATGCCTTGGCCACGGGCGAGGGGAGCGGCGGCAGCAGAGCGAGGGAACGGGACTCCGGCGGCCTCCAAGTGCTCTTGACGGTTTACCCAGAGGCTCTAAAGTAGTTCCTTTTCGGGGTTACCTTATCGAACCCCCAAAAGGAACTACTTTGGGGCCTATGGTTTAAGAGGGGTAGGGGGTTTAAGGTTGAGGGTTCGGGGTTAGGGGTTTAGGGTTAGGGATTAGGTTTCGGGAGTTTAGGGTCTGAGGTCTAGGGTTTAGGGCTCCGAGTGCTCGGGATTTTGGGGTTGTTGTTGGCTGGGTCTTGTTTATGGCGTTTTTAAAGAGTTTTGGATTTGTTGGAGGGCTTGTTTCAGGTTTTTATACACTGCGGGGGCTTGGTTCTGTGGGACAGTAAGAGTTTCCGCCATAATTCTATACGGGTTTGGGGCTTGCGGGGTTGGGGTGACGGGCACTGGGGTTACAATTAAGGTAACTATACAAATAGTTTCTTATAACCCCACTTAAGGTACTTCTAGCCTTACTTACTAAATCCCATGATCCTCCTTTATAGAACCCTTATAGATGCCTTTAAGGATCCCTTTGAGGAGCCCTATACGGATCCCTTTAAGGAACAGTACTTATTAACGTCCCATGATCCTCCAAGGATGTATGGGGCTTCTACAGGGGCTGGTCTGTGGATTTTAGCTCTATCGGTCCTAACCCCGAATAAACCTAATAAGCCCTAATTGACCCTAATCAACCCTAATAAACGCTAATCAACCCTAGTAAACCCTAATACACCCTAATAAACCCTAAAGCCTTAAGAAGCCTGTGGCTTAATCGCTCTGTGGGGCCGGGCAGGGGCTTGGGCTGCTGACGAGGATTTGAGATTTCGGGCTGCATTTGAAGGTGAAGGGGTGGGATAGGATCCTTTTGAACATCACTTGGGGGCTGAGTACCCTAGCCCAATTACCAATACGATTTGTTGAGGGTTCCTTATTAGATTATGGTATAATGGTCCCCAAAACCCTATTCTAATTCTGAAGGCCCTGAGATGCCAGGGGAGGGTAAGGTTGGAGTGCTGCTAGCTGCACCTGCCCTCAAACTGGTCGTCTCTTCTTGCTGCATAAACTCTTGGTGCAGGTTCTGCAACATCATCTTCTGAAACTTCGCGATCTCTGCCTCGACGTGTCCTTTGTATTTGAGGCCTTTATTGCTCGTCCTAGCACTGTGCCGCAGCTCTTCGCGAGCACCAGACATTGCGGGTGCAGCTTGCAGCCGGTCACACACGACTGGGTCGCGCCCTAAACCCTAAACCCTAAACCCTAAACCGTGCGCTAAGATGCCTGCGGGCAGACAAGGTCATAGCTGTCTGCAGCAAGCAATGCGATTCCAAGCCGACTCATTCTTCACTCCGATTGGTTTAGGGTTTAGGGCTTAGGGTTTAGGGTTTAGGATTTAGAGTTTAGGGTTTAGGGTTTAGGGCTTAGGGTTTAGGGTTTAGGATTTAGAGTTTAGGGTTTAGGGTTTAGGGCTTAGGGTGTAGGGTTTAGGATTTAGAGTTTAGGGTTTAAGGTTTAAGATTTAGAGATCAGGGTCTAGGGTTTAGGGGTCTGCAAACTCGTACGGTCGAGGATGCAGCAACGAACCTCACTCCTCGGATGCTCCCGCACACACTGCCCTAAGCATGATCGTCATGTCAATCCTGCAGCATCAGAGCTAGGAGCTTAGGCTAGTTTGTTGTTTCACACCCTTCCTTTCTTTGAGCCCTAGATTATAATACCCTTATAGATCCCTTAGAGTAGCCCTGAAGGACCCCGTTAAAAATACCCTGTTCTAACCATTAAGGCCCCTATGCTAAACCCCGACAGGTAAAGGTTACCCACTCAGCGACTAAGGGCAAGAGTCGGGCCCTGAGCTCAAGAAGCCCAATGCCAAATAGGGTTTAGGGTTTCGGGTATAGTATAGGGTTTAGGGTTTGGGGTTTTGGGTTTAGGGTTTAGGGTTTCGGGTATAGTATAGGGTTTCGGGTATAGGGTTTAGAGTATACTTGGAGGGTCGGGAGACTTAGTAAGTAGGTAGTAGTAAGTAGACTTATAAGTACCCTGAAGGGAACCCTAATTGGGGTTATGGTACTTATAAGTCCCTAAAATAACCAGTTACTAAGTCCCCCGACCCTCCAAGTAGGGTTTAGGGTTTGGAGTTTTGGGTTTAGGGTTTTGGCCTTGGGGTTGCCGAGCTCATAAGCCCAAAAAAGTCTGAGCTTTCCGTTGTGAGAGGGTTTCGATCATTATCCCAAAAAGTTTAAAGTTTATAAATTCAGCTACTAAGAATAGAAACTGGAAGTGCCTTGGGAAGGACCATCAGAGAGGAAGAGGAAGATTCCGATGACCTCGATGGCCAGATGTGCTTAAGGACTTGAGGCTCAGAGAGGTCTAGAGTTACGGAACAGGGTCCGAAGAGCTTTTTTATGTGTGGCTTAGCTTTTTGATGAGCTATTCGGGAGTTTCTGAAAATGGGGGATCCTAGTATGGTATCCTAAATAATAGGATCCTTATAAGGACCTCAAACTAAGGTACCCCTCATTTTCGGAAACTACCTTTTTGCTTCGGGCCAGATGTCGTTCGGTTTTTGGTACCCTAATTGGGGTTAGTATAAGTAATTATAAGTATAGTTACCTTATTTATAACCCTAGTTACTAAGTGCCATAATCCTCGAAGTAGACCCTAAACCCTAAACCCTATAGATCCCATTATAAGGAACCCCTTTAGATCCCATTATAAGGAGCCCTATAGATCCATTTAATGCTTCGGGCCGGATGCCGTTCTTTCTGGGCACAAACAGCTCTTGTCGCAGCTGTGCCAGTGGTGTGGGAGGGCTCTCGTGGGCCTGCTTTGCGGCTCGAGTCTTTTGGGGTTTGGGGTTTAGGGTTTGGGGTTTGGGGTTCGGGGTTTGGGGTTTAGGGTTTAGGGTTTAGGGTTTGGGGTTTAGGGTTTAGGGTTGGAGGTTTGGGGCTTCGCATGTTAGCTTTGAGATGTAGGCGCTCCGTCCCTCTTCGGCAGATGCTTCGCGGTTCGGTGTTGAGGGTTTAGTGCTAGGGGTTGAGGGTTGATGGTGTGATTGAGGTTTTAGGTGTTGCATGGGCTTGGGGTTGAGGGCTGAGGGCTGAAGGTTGAGGGCTTCGGCCCTTCAAGGTTTAGGGTTTGGGAGTCAGGGTTTGGAGTTGAGGGTTCAGGGCTTAGGCCCCAAGGCTTGGGAATGAGGGTATGGGGTAGGTGTTAAGGTTTGGGGTTGAGGTTGGGTGTTTTCAATCTTGACGGCAAGAGCACATGTGGGAGTTTCCGAGAATGAGTCATGAGGGGTACCTGAGATTAGGGTCCTTATACAATGGATCCTACTATTTAGGGCAAATTTAGGGTACTTGAGTAGGACCCCCTATAAAAGGAAACTGCCATGTAACAACATAACCAGCGTGAACACAATAAGAAATGTACGCTTTAGGGTTTAGGGTCTAGCTTAACGAGGGACCAAAGCCAAAACCCCAACTCAACATCATGCAAGAACTTTGCCATGAGTCAGTAAAGCTTGAATGTCCCACACTCTGATTCAATCGCCTTGCCGTCTGGCACGGACTCCCAACGCACGAGGTGCATTGTGACACAAAAGACAGAGGATCCCTCCTGAAAGAGGGATACTTCCACTGTACACTCAGTGAGGCACGAGGGGCCCTTGCTGAAGCGGGCGCATATGAAATGCACAAAAGGATCCCTGCATATCCCCACTTTTATGCATATGTATATCACAAGTTTCCCATAAACCCCAAAGTAGTTCTTTTTTGGGATTACCCTATAGGAGTCTAACTATGAACCCCAAAAAGGAACTACTATGGAGCCTCTAGGTACGTCTGCCCTAAAGAAACCCCAAGACCGAAGCCTTTCAACCGTCAATACATACCCTAAAGTCTGGACTGTGAGCCTACACTCGATTTTCGAGTTCCTTCACAGCCCCAGCACCCTCGGCGCGAGGCACCTCCCCGGCTGCTTGTTCATGAACGTAATTTAAGCTGAATGTCATGGGCTTAGGGATTAATTGCTTTTGTTGAACGCTATTTTCCAACAGCATTTAGGGTGTAGGGTTATTTAAGCTGAAATAGGAGGAGCTGAAATAGGAGGAGTATAATATGTCGAAAACTAAACGGTTGGCTGCCAACCCTAAACCCTAAACCGAGCAGATCGTAAATACAACGGTTCAGAGAAGTCCGGTAATTTAGGTCGCTCAACTTACAGGCTAAGTACCCTAGCCCAAAAAAAGGCTAACCTTTTGAATTATAGTAGGGTAATACAAGCCCTGGAAGGTTAAAGGTTGAATTATAGTAGGATTATATACGCCCCAAAAGGTTGAAGGTTGAATTATAGCATATAGGACTATCATAGGTCCCAAAAGGTTAAAGGCTGAAGTATAGTAGGATTATCTAATCCCCGAAAGGTTCAAGGTTACCTACTCAGCCCCTCAGTCAGCAAGAGCCCAGCTTCAGGGGGCAAGATACCGGAGGAGATGGGAACTTGCTGGAGAAAGCCTCCCTCTTCCAGAGCTCGTACCGACCGTCCCGCTGGATCTCCAGAAGAAACTGATTCCTTGGATTTGCCGGTTAGGGTTTAGGGTTTAGGGTAATCATGTTGCGGTTTTTAGCTCAACCTGAGGTTATATGACTTTTGGTACCAAAAACGTTAAAGTTGACAAACTTAGCGACAAAGATTCAGTTCTTGAAGCATCGCAGAACCTGCAGATGTGTTTCTTGCCAGGTAAACCTTGTGACTGTCGAAGGCCGGCATGTCTGGCAGCGCCATGTGGACACCCTTGTCTGAAAAAATAGAACCTGACTGTCCAGAGTGGAATTCTGCCTCAATGCTATCGGTAAACATGACGAGCGGGTGCGCGCTGCACTCTCGCAAGCATGCGTAGGCCTCCTGGTTGGTTGGGATGATGTCCAGACTGGGCTTGGTCAAAACACCTTTCTCGAATAGTTTATGAGCATACCGCTCATTCGTGCCACCATGGTTCTCGATGATGCTGATACCTTCCTGGTTAATATCCTTAAAACGGTTGAAATGTGGCGCATTCCGTGAAGCAAAAATGGGAACTTTCCTGTCTGCTTCGAGCGGAACGGTGACCAGAAACTCTTCAGCACGGTCACGAGTCCATGTAATGCCTCCTGCAGCAAGCAGACACTTCGTCTTTAGGAAGGTAGTCAGATCTGCCCAGGGAGTGAGCACGAAGTCGACGGTGTAGTTGTGAGATGCTGCAAAGTGTCGTAGGACCTCCGGTGCCAGGCCCTCGAAACCACCTTCCTTGCTGAAGTGCGTGAGGGGTGGGTAGTCACCCGAAGTGCAGACCTTAACTGAGCTCGGATAGCTTATTCCTTTGGCGCAGGGTGCATCCAGCAGCTGTAGCACACACCACACCCTCAGAAATTTCATCCAGGTTGGTGGGGTCAATCTTTCTCTCCTTGCCTCCTGTGGCTCTGGCTCGAACCGATAGTCTCTGTGCCGGGATCACGTGAGAAGCAGAAGCAAAAGACCCGGGGACCTGCCTTGAGCTCGACTGAAACCCTGCACCCTCAATCAAAGGGGAAAAAGAGGGGCCCTCAATGGGGACCCCTACCCTACAATGGGCTATATAATGGGTATATAATAGCTATATTAAGGGTATATACCTAGGGGTCCTTATTAAGGGTCTCTCCTTTTACCCTTGTACTCAAGCCTCCAAATCTAAAACCCTAGACCCTGCAGTCGCCAGAGTCTAGAAGTCCCTAGTACCCAAGTGGTAAAGGCCGAAGTCCGCACGGTTTAGGGTTTAGGTTTAGGGCTAACCTCTCCAGTTGTGGTGTGGTTTTTGTGTAGCTAGGCTCTGCTTTGGCACTTGCCGATGGTCAGCCTTCCTCTTCAAGACATTTACGAGACCCTTATAAATTATCTATTATAGCCCTAAGCCGCAAACCCTAAACCCTCAACCCTAGACCCTAAACCCCTGTAGTACCCTTATAAATAGAAACCCCATGGTTTCCCTTTCATGGAACCCTTCAAAGAACGCTAAACTCATAGGAGGCCAAAAGGGGTTTTAGCCTATGGGGGTTTAGTCCATAATCCCTACCACAAGAATCTTAAACCCCCACTTTTGGCCTCCCATCATAAACCCTAAGCCCCAAATAACCTACCCGTTTAAAGACTTATATAAGGAAATCATAATAAGGAACCCTAAAAAGGTAGGCTATTCAGGGTTAAGGTAAGCCCGCCTAAACGCTAAACCCTAAACCCTAAGGTAAAAGCCAGAAAGTTGGAATATGATTATCCTAAGCCGAAGCCCTTTATGGTAAATTATAGGGTATCCTACCCTGAAACCATATTCCAACTTTCTGGAGTTCCCTTTAAGGTCCAGGTAAGCCCCAAACCCTAGGACCTGGCTGGGGAGCCCACTCGGAGTATTCCTCCTCCAGCTCGGCCGCGGTCTGCAGGCATTGGTTTAGGGTTTAGGATTCAGGGTTTAGAGGTCTAGGGATTTAGGGTTTAGGGGTTTAGTTTGAGGTTTATATAGGGGTTTAGGGTTTAGGGATTAGGGTTTTGGGGTTTAGGGAGGGTCTCAAAGGGCTTTAAAGGTGGAATGAAACTATTCCCAAATGAGAATCCTCGTAGCAGGGCTCCTGAATCCCACAGACGAAGCTACGGCGCCCTTGTTCCCATGAGACTCCAATATCCCTTAATCTAGGAAGTATTCCTTAAATTATACGAGGACCCCTAATATAATCTAAGGAATATTCCTTAAATTATACTAGGACCCCTAATAACCTAATATGATTTAAGGGATATTCCTTAATTAAGGGATATTGGAGCCTCTGGGTTCTGAACCCGAACACTGCCAGCCGCCTGGGTGCCCTGGTAGAATGACAGAAGCCTTGTAGAATCATAATGTGGGGGCCTTAACCCTAAGACTCCAAGTATACAAATAGTACCTACTTTGGGGTCTAAAGTCTGTAAATGCTACCTACTTTGGGCTATTTGGAGTCTTAGGGTAACTGTTTTAATGGGGTTTGGAGGGTATAGTATACTATAACTAGATTTAGGAACCCCCAAAGCCCTATTCTGACTATTAAGGCCCCTACATTAATCACAGCATCCTTCAGCAAGTAGGGCCCTTCAAAACACTGCAAAAGCCCATGCAGTCTTCACAAAAAACGTATGAAACCTAACAAGAATCCGTCTAAGACTCTCAAACCCTACACCCTATAAACCCCGCAGCCGTGCCTTCGGAGCCAGTTGTTGTGCTGGTGCTGCCGAAGCGACAGGAGCAACAGCCGACGCGAAAGGCGAGATGCCTGCATAAGTTAAGGGTTTTACAGGGCTTCATGCGGTCCAGAATTTTTACAAGGATCTAAAATCCCTATAAAATTTCTTTTAGCACAATGACTTCTGGGCCTATGTAGGGTTGGTGTTATGTGGTTTGGCAAGGGCTCTCTTATGGGATCTTACAAGGATTCTGGGGCTTCCGCCCTGAACCCTGAACCCTCTTTTCGAAAGACCCCGACTTAGAGAAGGGAAAGCTTTCAACTACGGTGAGATTATATGGGAGTTTCCGAAATTTAGGGGTAGTACCTTATTTTGGAGTCTTTATAATAAGGATCTTGCTATGTACGGCACACTATTCGGGTCCCCTATTTTCGGAAACTCCCATATGATATGTAATGTAAGCCCCTGAATTTGATAATCCGTCCTTGTTTTCAGGGAGAGGGGTGATTTCTTTTAAGCGGCCCGGATAATCAAAGGGGGTTCGAAGGGCTTCCATCACATCCTGAATCCGAAGCCCTAAACCCGTGTAAACCCTAAACCCATGTAAACCGCCAGCAAAACCAATCTAATGCTACCACAATACAAAAACCCTAAACCCTAACCCTAAACCCTTGGGGCCCATTACACTCTAAATATACTAAGAACCCCCCCGCAAAAAAATAGTATGGGTACTTCTTAAGGCCCCCAAATGACAACAACCCTTCCAAAACCCAGACTAGTTCATTGTTGGGATAGGGTTAAAAATGTACACTTTTATTCCCTATTGGGTTTAAGTACCCATAACAATGTAAAATGTTTTCCAACTATGACAAAGCAGAGACCCCGACGCTTCCACAACCCTTGCCTGGTGCCGGGAAGGCGCTCTGAGGCGGCCCCTGAAGGGCTTAGGGCGTAGCTTTTAAGGTTTAAGGTAAAAGCCAGAATTATAGTAATTATAGGATTTATAATACTTATAGTATTTATAGTAATGATAAGTTTAGTATCTTAAGGTTTATGGTAAAAGCCAGAAAGTTGGAATATGAATATCCTAACCCTTCTATGGTAAACTATAGGGTATCCTACCACGAAACCATATTCCAACTTTCTGGAGTTCCCTGTAGGGAGTAGCTTTTAAGGTTTGGCGCTTAGGGCGTAGTTTCTAAGGTTTAGGGCTCAGGGCGTAGTTTTTAGGGTTTAGGGTGTAGGTTTTAGGGTTGAGCTGTAGGGCGTAGTTCTTATGAGGGTTTCGGGTTTAGGGCGTAGGTTTAGGGTTTATAGGGTTTAAGGCGTAGTTCTTGTAAGGGTTTCGGGTTGAGGGTGTAGCTTTTAGGGCATAGCTTTTAAGGTTTAAGGCCAGGGTTTGCAGCTTGGGGTCTGTAGTTTCGGTTTTGGGTGATGGTGCTTCCGGTCAGGGTTATTGGGGCCACAAAAAAGCACATAAGCAAAAATTAGGATAGGGATATCCCATATAAACCCCCTTATAAGGAAGCCCAATAAGGTAGGGATATCCCTATAAAATGTTTATGCTTATGTGCTTTTTAGGTCCCTAAGTTATGGGGACTACAGGTTCTATGAGGGCAGTTTCGGGGTTGTTTGCTTGGGCTTTGGCGGTCTCGCTAAGGTTGCTTCAAGGTTGCTCTTAGTATTGGCTAAGCTTCAAAATGCTCCATGGACGTTTCGAGTTGATGGCTTGGCGTGTTGGGAACACCTTTGAAAGATTAAACCCAAACCCGACACCCTGAAACCTCCCGGCCAGCCCTTCTTGAGTGGCATGATTGGCATCAATAGGTTGTGGTTGCTCCGAGGGATGTTGCACCATTTGCCGCTTCTGTTCGGCTGCCAAATCTTTGCGTTCAGCCGCAATCCTCTTCGGATCTCGTTTCGCAACAAAGTAGCGTGCTGAAGCATTGGCAGGTTCAAACATCGCAGGTGCATCGCGCTCCACCTCGGATTGTACGTAGCCGAAACATGTTGTCATGGCTGGACGGCCGACAAAGCGCATCTTAAGGGTTTCAGGGTTTTAGAGTTTGAGGGTTTAGGATTGGTTCGCGATTTCCTGCCGCCTCGGCTGAGTACATTCATTCGGCAGCCGGGTCGGTGTAGACGACGAGTTTGGTCAGTTTTACCCCAGAACTGAGCCCTAAACCCTACACCCAAAGCCCTAAACCCCAAGCCCTCAGCCCTCAACCTCTAAAACCCAAACCCGACACCCTGAAACCTCCTGAACTCTAAAGCGGCCACACCAAAGTCTGAAACCCCAAACCCAAGACCAACTACCAGCCCACCCCTCCCAGTACTTGGAGGATCATGGGACTTCGTAAGTATGGCTATAAGTACCCTAAGTGGGGATATAAGTAGTTATAAGTACAGTTACCTTAATGCTAAGTCCCATGATCCTTTAAGTACCCTTCGATATAGGCCTTATGGTCCTTGTATAGTGGTTATTTGAGCTCTCATAAAGGTTTAGGGTTTACGATCATTTTCAGCCCTAGTGCCGGAGTACGACCTGTAAGCCCTAATACAGGGGTTCTTCATATACCCTTCATATGCATAGGAGCTAGACCCCAAACCTAAACCCCTAAACGGCCAAAACCTTAGAGCCCTCATCGACCCGTGCTATGATAATACTCCTTCTTTTAGAACCCTTATCGAATCCTATAATGATTCACTTCATCTGATAGAATCCTGACGGTACGAAAGGAGAGTACCCTGACTCTCATAGAACCCTTACGGCACCCTACGAGAGTACCCTTACTCTGACGGAACCCTTACGGTGTCATTAGCGGAACCCTTACGGTCCCTTTAAAGGAACCCTAGACCTTCAAGAAACCCTTCAAGGATCCCTTAAAGAATCCTTTAAAGAAGCCTTCAAAGGAACCCTTGCAGGAACCCCATAAGGTCCCCTTATAAATCCTTTAAAGGAGCCCGTAAAGAAAGCCTTATAGATCCCTTAAAGGAACCCCAATGATCCCTAAAAATAGAGGAACCCTTACGGTCCTTTCAATTACAGGTTGCAGCATCGAGCTTGGGCCGCAGCAGTCATGTCGCCCACACTCGAGTAGGAACCTCTTCTTCAGAGGGTCCATATGGGACTTAGTAAGTAGGGTTCCTTAAAGGGCTCCTGAAAGAGACCTATAGGGTTCCCTGATGGGATCTATACGGTTTAGGGCTTAGGGTCTACTGGAAGGATCATGGGACTTTGTAACTAGGATTATAATTCAGGTAACTGCCCTTATAATCCTTATAACTAGTTACCTATAGCCTATAATCCCAATGATCCTCCAAGTACCATTATGGAATTAGGTCCGAAAAGACCATCCCGATTATGGTGGTTTGGAGGCCTAACTCCATAATGGTAGCATATATTATATGGGCGATCTAGGTTCCGGGATGCTCACGGAATCCATTTTGAAGAACCATAGAGGTTCCTTTAAGCGTTACTATCAGAGTTCCGTATCGGGGTCCTATAACGGCTCTAGGGTTGTAGGTTTATCGTTTCTTGTTTTTCGGGTTTAGGGTTTTGGGGTTTAGGATTTTTGGGGGTTCGGGTTCAGGGCTTTGGGTGTGAAGACGGTACCGCTCCTGAACCCTACACCCTGACTACGGTTGAAGATATAAATCCTGGATTACCCATAACAAGGAAAATATACCATAATTCCCATAGTTTCTAGGCCTTAAGGTAATGCAGGATCTATATCATCAACCGTAGTACCGAAAGACATTGAACGCACGAGGTTCGGTTCTCTGGCTTGGGACGTGGGAACATGGTGGCATAGAACTTTGCCTTGGACTCTGCCTGGTTTAGAAGCTTCTTTACCGTGCCGTTGTCCTTCGAAAGGAAGGCTGGCTCCGCCAACTTAGCAAACTCTTCAGCGATGCGTCATTCGTGTTCAAGCTTCGCAAACCAAGCGGGGTGGTGTGAAAACCCCGTGTTCAGTTCCTATACGCTAAATGGCGTTATCGTTTTTTTTTCTTCTTATCGTTTTCCCATGAAAGAACCTTTTACTGAAGTGTAGTACAACTGTAGTATATAGTATACGGGACATGGAAACATTCGTATATCGAAGGCAGTGGTTGTGCTTCTTTGGCGTGAAGTAGGTTTAAATATACGGGATATGAAGCTGCAAGCTTAGTCTGATAGGATTCCGATGGGGACCTTTTCACTCCGCGCTGGAGCTGTGCGTTTCGAATCCGTGCCAAAATGCATTCGCGAGGTTGGTGACGAAGCGGTTAGTGCGTGTTCAAATCGCCGTGACAAAGCCCAACTTGGCCCCAAGCTCCTCCCAACCCCGAGTGCGCGGGCCCGAATGCATTTAGAATCCGTGCCGAAATGCATTCGTGATGTTGGTGACGAAGCGGTTCCCAAATCGCCGTGTAACAGCCCAACATATCTAGGGTGAACCGCCGAATCGGGGATTGGACCCTAGCTCAAAAGAGGCCTCTCCAGTACTAAAGTTTGTATAAAAAATTCAATTTTGGGTCCAATCTGGACCGACCCCCCTTTGGGAAGGGTTTAGGGCTTAGGGTTTAGGGTTTGTTAGGGTTTAGGAGTTTAGGGTTCGTTAGGGTTTAGGGTTTGTTAGGGTTTAGGGTTTAGGGTTTCAGGCGCTGGCTTTATGCTTTGCTTATTGGTATTATTTCTGTACTATTACTGTATTACTACTGTACTACTGTACTACTGTTGTACTACTACTGTACTACTAGTGTACTACTGTACTACTATTGTACTACCACTGTACTATTACTGTATTACTATTGTACTACTGTACTACTATCGTATTACTACTGTCCACTGTACTACTGTTGACACTCCCAAACCCGAGTGCAGGGAGCAAATGCGTTTAGAATCCGTGCCAAAATGCATTCGCGAGGTTGGCGGCGAAGCGGTTGCCCAAATCGCCGTGTGAACAGCCGACATGCATGCTCCCACGCCCGAGTGCGTGGGCGCAAATGCATTTAGAATCCGTGCCGAAATGCATTCGTTAGGTTGGTGACGAAGCGGTTTGCAATGAGGGTTTGGGGTTAAGGTTTAAGGTTGAAGGTTAAGGGGTGGGGATTCGGGTTTGGGGTTTAGGGTCAAGGTTTAAGGTTTAAGGTCAAGGGGTAAGGATTCGGGTTTGGGGCTTAAGGTTAAGGTTTAAGGTTAAGGGGTAGGGATTCAGGTTCGGGGTTCAGGTTTAAGGTTTAAGGTTTAAGATGGTTTACGGTTAAGGGCTAGGGATTCGGGTTTGGGGTTTAGGGTTAAGGTTTAAGGTTTGAGGTTCAGGGGCAGGGAACCCGAGTGCAGGGAGCAAATGCGTTTAGAATCCGTGCCAAAATGCATTCGCGAGGTTGGTGACGAAGCGGTTTGTGCGTGCTCAAATCGCCGTGAAAAAGTCCAACTTGGCCCCAAGCTCCTCCCAACCCCGAGTGCGCGGGCCCGAATGCATTTAGAATCCGTGCCGAAATGCATTCGTGATGTTGGTGACGAAGCGGTTCGTGCGTGCCCAAATCGCCGTGTAAAAGCCCAAGATACCCCGCACTCCCAAACCCGAGTGCAGGGAGCAAATGCGTTTAGAATCCGTGCCAAAATGCATGCGCGAGGTTGGTGACGAAGCGGTTAGTGCGTGTTCAAATCGCCGTGAAAAAGCCCAACGTGGTCCATGCTCCTCCCAACCCCGAGTGCGCGGGCCCGAATGCATTTAGAGTCCCTGGCGAAATGCATTCGTGAGGGTTGTGATGAAGCTGCTTGATTTGAGTTGTGGAACTCTGCAGGCGCGGCGAATGCACAACATACAAGCCATCAGCAGCAAATAATGTACAAGACTACTGACATCATAAATTGACGTTATCGTTTTTTTTTCTTCTTATCGTTTTTCCAGCCAAAACACTATCCTTCCAACAGGCGCCCAGCGAACACAGAACGAAGAGGCGCGGGGTTATTACACAGCCCCAAGCTCTTGCGGCCTGACCGGGTGGACCCAGCGGGTCCTTGTAGGCCTTCTCGTCGCAAAGTTTTTCCAGGCACAGCAGCGAAGCACAACAGTGTCCTCCTTGCTCCGTTGCTTTAGGGCCTTAGCCCGCACAACGTCAACAGCCGGCGCGAGGGTCGCTGGCTGTGCCGACCCAAAGGTGCACACCCACACGGGCCGAAGCAGGTGTTGCCCGCAATGGTGCCGGGAACGTGCCGTTTGCAAACCAGCCACCGCTTCTGCAAATCATGAAGTGTGTCACCAACAAGCCTTCGCAGGAAGCGAAGTTGGCTGCTGAGCCACAGGCAGTTGTGTCACGTGGTGAGTTGTCACCACTTGCGTCCCGCTTGTCCTGATGCTGGGTTTAGTATGTTTTGGTGTGGGGGTTTATAGAGTTTACGGCGCCCCCCAAACCCAAACTCTGCGCTCTGTAACCAACTATCCATGTGCAAACACCGTATTGTGAACCGCTTGTAGACCCTATTCTCATTATTGAGGCACCTAGATTATGGTATCCTTATAGATCCCTTCTAGTAGCCTTTTGAAGGACCCCTTTTAAAGGCAACCCTGTTGTAGTTATCGAGGCCCCTATATTGATTGGAAGTTAAGCTAGCTGCAGCAGGCCAGTCCTTTCACGCCATGTAACCGAGGTGACCCTGACCCGTGAAAGCCACATCCCAGATCCCAAAGGGTTGCTAGAGCATGTCACCCATTTACGTACCTTAGAGGCTGAGTACAATAGCCCCAAAAAGCTCACCTTGTGAGTGATTATATAGGCCCCCAAAGGTTAAAGGTCACCTACTCAGCCCTGAAGAGACCACGACCCTGCTAACACAATATCGCCCAACCTTACAAATGATCTGAAAGACTCTCAACAGCTTGCTTACCCGCACCCCTGAAACCGAAACACTAAACTCTTACTCTGAACCCGAACCAACCGTAAATTAAACCCTAAACACTAAAGCTCTAAACTCTGAACCCAAAACAACGTAAATATACGGACTTCAATGTAGTAACCCAAATAGTAGGATCCTGATTACAAGGAACCTAAAGTAAGGTACCCCTAATTTTCGGAAACTCTGAACCCTAAGCCGTTTAAAGAACCCTTACAGATCCTTGTAAGGAACCCTGAAAGCATCCCTCTAAAGATACCCCTGATTTTCGGAGACTCCCACGGTAAGAATAAGAAAGACAGGCTCAGGCGGTAGCTGTAAGAGTCCACAGAGCCGGATCGCTCGCCTCTCGGCGCTTGCTCAGCGATTGAGATATGGCTGATGATATATACATCCTGCATTACCTTACAGTAGAAGCCAAAAAGTTGGAAACCCAATAGCCTCAGTCCTTAAGAGTACTGTATAGGGAATCCCAGCACTATTTGGCCTTAATCCGGTTTCCAACTTTATGGAGTTTACTGTAAGGATCCTAAACTATGGGAATAATGGTATATTCCTCATTATGGGTAATGCAGGACATATATCATGAACAGCATGGCTTTATGGGGCTTTAGGGGCGGCTTCTATTGTGTTTGATACAGGGCATCGTATCGGGGCTTGACTACGGTTCAGGCTTTAAGGGTTTAGGGCTGAGGGCTTTGCGGGGCTCATTACAAATATCATGCTACAATCCAAGAGGGTCCATTTTCAATGCCATTCTGGGAATTAAGCCCCTGAAGACCATCCTAATGTTGATTTTGGTGGATCTAATGCCATGACAGTAGCATATATGGACCCACTGGGTCATATTGCACTTGTTTTCGGGCAGGCTAGGGGGCAATCACAATGGTCCAGGGCACGAGCGTCGGGTACTTTATGGTATACTTGTAAGAAGGAGCCCTAGGGTATAATGTAAGTAATTATGCAGCCTTCTGCGTCGACTGATTAATGATCTCAATGAAGGGGTTTAAGCACAGCTACTAGTCATCGGTTTCGAAAAATGTCTGGGCACATATCTATACATATATATATACACACATACATGTATATATATATATATATTTATATACAATATAGCTGCAATGTGTGTGAATGTCTATGTCTATGTATGTACACACTGAACATACTTATGCTTAAGTCGTGTATTCGGTGTACACGATGTGATAGCTGTGGCTTGCTTCAACAAGGGTTTTATCCGGAGTGCTGTTGGCATGGGGTTGCGGGGTAAACGATTGCACAAAAGAACAAGCGCATGTGCTAGAATGATGCTGCCAAGTCCTGCGGTCCTACGGTAGTTGGTGGGGCGGTTTTGAGAGATGGCCCTACTTAAAGGCTCATGGGACTTAGTAAGTAAGGCTACAAGTGGGTTGTAATTTAGGATAAGCCCACTTAGGGGACTTATAACCCCAATTATAACCTACTTACGACTAAGTCCCATGATCCTCTAAATACGCTAAACCCTAAACACTAAGCCCCCGAAAGATCGAGCTGTGGCTCCTGTTGGTGGTGTTGGGTGTTGCCGCGGCCTTCCATGGCAGTTGCGGGTAATAGAGGGGCCTTAATAATTAGAATAAGGCTCATCTAAAGGATTCCTTTAAAGGGGTCTGTATAACGGCTACTATAAGGGATCTATAGTAGGGTTATTCGAATAGGGTTTTGGGGTATCATATACTATAATTAGAAGAAGTCATCAAAATAGTATAGGTGATCTTTTAAGGCCCCTATACTACACCCTCATAATAACCCTTATAGAACCCTTTTAACGAATCCCCTTAAAGGGAACCCTAACTAAAGTATAGGTAATTAGTCAGGCCCCTATATTTTATCTAAAAGAACTGGGAGGCGGGCTGCTGTAGCTGTAGGATTCTTGCGCATCGAACCTGCCACAACGACCAGTGCAGTTTTCTAGGAAACTAAGAGGGTTTAGGGTTCCTTTAAGGGATCCAAAGGGTTCCTTCATGGGATCTATAGGGGGTTTAGGGTCTACTTAGAAGATCATGCGCCTTAGTAGCTAGGGTTATAACAAAGGTAACCGTACTCTTTTATTCCCAATAACCCAACTTAAGGCACTTAAAATATCTTAAAACCTTACTTACTAAGTCCCATGATCCTCCAAGTAGTTGCTGGCTTCTGACCACGGTTGCTGAATCGCGGGCTTAGTTTCTGAAATCGGCAGCTCCCATTTCGTAAGGTATGAGAAACGCCTACGCCCTATAAACTCTAAACCTCGAACCCCGAAACCTCAAAGAGGGCTCCCTGGGCTTTACCTAAACGACCCCTGACTTCAAGAACCCACCGTTTCCTACGCAGGCCCTACTTACAGGATCGCACGACTCATCTAGTGAGGTAAAAATCTTAAGTACTACAATGGTCAGACTAGGATACCCAGTAACCTAAGAATAAAAAGGCCTCTCTTTCTGGTATTGGGTAACTTTATAAGGAACCCAGGACTACAAAAAGGGAATAAGGGTACTACTGGGCATCCTAGCAGATGTACTCACAGCCCCAACTGCGGTACCTATAGCCCTAAACTCCAAACCCAAGCCCTAACCCCAAACCCCGTAACTTTTCGCTCACCCACTAGTGTCATTAGTGACCCTAAACCCCAAACCCTTAACCGTCCCATGATCTAGCAACTATCGGGCTGACCCGACCTAGTCTTGAAGCTGACGCATGGGTTTAGCAGGGATTAGGGAGGGTTTAGGGTTTAGGGTTTAGGGTTTTTTTTTTTTTAAGTGCAATGGGTTTAGGGTTTAGGGTTTAGGGATTAGGGGTGTAGGGTTGAAGGCGTCTCGGCTCAGATATTGCATTTGGCTGTCTCCTTGATTCAGCCATTTGCATATTAGGTGCCAGGCCCTAGCGTTTGCTCTGCCATTCGCGTCGCCTCCAGTCTGGGGACTGGTTGCAGCTGCCCTTTGCTGGGCCTGCACGGTGCTCTGCACCCGCCCTCTACTGTGAGTGGCAAGGCCTTTTCTTTGACGGCTGGCCCCCGTCCGCCCTCTCTGTGAGTGGCTACACTGGCCTTTTTCCTCGGCGGTTGGGCCCCGCCTGCGCTGTCGCTGCAGTTGACTCTGCCGACAGGCGTGTGGATATTCTATGGGCAGTAGGAGACCCTACTTCCTCCTGCTGCCACTCTTTACCCTTGGGATTTTCCTTCTGTGGATTGGACAGGCTCCTGTGGACCATTCCTCGGCAAGGCGAACCTGGCTGGCACAGAAGAAAGCGCCACCAGCGTCGCAAGGCGAGAGCTCGCCTACACGCTGGCCGCGGACAATCACAGGACATCGAGCTTCTCCGCTCGCATCACGGATCGATGCCACCGAAGACCCCAGCCAGGGAAAAGCAAGGGAAGGGCGGCGGCAAATCTGGCAAAGCAGAAGGGCCACTCCCGTCTACATCGCAGGTGCAACTTGGGTTCCCTGCGGAGGTGATCACAGCTCTGCAATCTCTCCGAGATCGGGCCACATCCGACCTGCGGCTCGACGACTATACGGTTGCAGAAGATCGCACGCTTATCCAGGCGGCCAATCAACAGGCAGCCGCGATCACCAGAGCCACCAAGCGCCTGGAGGCGAACTCCCGGGCGAAAGTGGCGCTGGGGCAGGTCTTGGGACTATGGCTCGACCGGGTAGGCCGCCACCTTGCGGCTGTTCCCCGACAGATCAACAATGTGGGTGCACGCCTCGATGCAGATATTCAAGACGCCACGGCAGCCCTCGACGCAGCATCCCAAGGGCTGGTGGCAGGGCAGGCTGCCCTCCTGCGCCAGCAAGCCGCGGAAGCCATGGGGCCACCGATCGCGACCATGGTGGGGAACGAAGTGCTCCGCATTGCTGCCGAGCTAAGAGCAGCAGCTACAGTGTCGGCAGGCAGCTCTGCCATCCTGCCGATGTCAGGCGGGCACTTCGGCTTCCCGGACAACACAGGTGCAGGCCCTGCAGACCTCCACGCCGCCATGGACCTAGGCTATGGTGGGGTCGGAAACCTTGTGGAGGATGCCCTGATCGAGCCGACAACACGATCGCATGCCCCGCCAGGAAACCCCGCAGCTGCCTCGGGGCGCCGGTGGGCTCTGAAGAGGGCGACAGACCCGGCGGCCTCCAGGCCATCCAAAAGTCCCAGGCGGAGCGATCCCCTTTCGGACAATGTTGGCACGGCCGAAGGGTCTGCGACGCCATGGCCCAGTGCTGCCACAGGTCGATCGCCGCTGGGCCACAAGCCAACGCCTCTGTCCAGGCCAGGGGATCTCAAGACTCAGCTGGATGCAAGCGCCGACCCATCTATGCCGAACCCTCCGGAGCCTACTGGAACCCCTGGTGCAGCACCAGTGCCAGTGGAACTGAAGGACTCGGCTCAGGGCGAACTGGACTGGGTGGAGACGCAAAGATCGTGGCTCCAATCCTGGATCGCTGTGGTGCAACGCTTGACAGCCCAGGGTCGCGACCTGGTAGGGGATGTGCCCCAACCGCCGGACCAAGCGGCCCTTCCGGGGCGTCCAGCCACAGATGCAGAAATCTCAAGTTTCCATGGCATCGCAGAGGCCATCTGGAAAACTTTGCTGGAGCATGCGCAAGACCCCGACTCGGTCACTGGCCCTCGCATCCTAAACATGGTGCAGGATGTCCAACACTTGGGGGGGATGGTGCATTCCCAGCCTGTCTTGGTTATCTCTTGCAGGCAGGGAGTCATTGCGTTGGCGCACCTCCTCAACTCGCGGATTCTGGGTCTGGACGGCTTCGCTCCGCAGACGCTGCAGGAGTGGGCAAACCCCCACGAGGTGCTGGGACGTGGCTTGACACCGCATGGGCACCTCGCTACGGCCAAGACGGACGACGAAGCAGAAGCCGTGCTCCTCGACCAGGACTGCCCGTTTTTCTGAATCAGCTCGAGAGGAAGGTTGTACAGGTCTTCTGGATTCTTTGTACAGCTGCAATGACAGTAGCACTGATTTCTTGGGTAGCCGTTATCTGTGCGGAAGCTGGTGTCCCTCGGCTCGTCACTCTCTCTTTTGGATTTCTTCGGCCTTCTCTCTTATGGCTGTGGCGGGCCCCTTGGATTTGCCTGGAACCTCTCTTTCGGGTCCGGTTTAATCTCTGCCCCAAGCACAGGATCCGCGCTCCACGTCCCCGCTCAGGTAAAGGCATTGCCCTGCTTTGGCTGATTGCCTCTGCACATGTTGCTGACTGCCGTGTGCCACCATACCCTGCTTCGGTTCATGGCACGGTTACGGGCGCTCCTACACCTGCTGCAGCTACCAACTGGCCTGTTGAGTCCACCTCTCTGGTTCAGGTGACGCATTCCCGGCGCTTTCGAGGGGACTCTATCCTCGCCGTGCAACCGGTGCCCCGGGTGCAGCATCTACATGAGCTTGAGATTCCCATCATGCACCCGGCAGCCGGGGCGGACAACCCGCATGCTGCGGGTCCCAACCACCTCCGTCCAGTGGCGGTCTTCGTGGCTGGGCATCAAGCCGGGGGGCCCACTACGGTTGCAGTGGACGTGCGACTGCACGGCATGCAGATGCATCGGGTCCTGCTCCAATTGCTCGGGCTGTCATTCCAGCTTTGGCATGTTCATGAGCTGCAGACCTTGCTACCCAGCCTGCCTCCTGAGCAGGTCGTGGTCGTGCCGAATGAAGTTGCATGGAACCAAGCTTGCATCCCAGTTGATCTGTGTGCACTTGGCGGGGGGTATTCAGTTGTGCGAGGACCGCGTCAGCAGCTTGCGAGCTACTTCCTTGCAGCTGCAGCCCGGAGTCAAGACCTCCCACTCGACCTGGGCCGCACTGTTTGCCTCACCAGGCATGGGTTCTTTGATCCTAGCTGCCAAGCCCTTTTGCTTCACGGTAACGACGCCTTGCAAGCTCTGCCGGTGTATGATGTGGAGTATAGCCTGGAGCCACCCACTTCAAGCACGACGTCACACCGTCTGGCGCTCAGCTCCTCCAGCGTGCCATCACAGGGCCTGGACGACCTCCCCAATCCATGGCAACGGGCAGCGGTTATCACCCTCAATGGCCTTGTCCTTTATGACACGGATCCGTTTCAGGATCGGGAAGGGCTATTGCGGTCCGCTTACTTAGCAGTTGAGGATACCACCCCTATCTTCCTGCTTCGTGTCTACCCTCCCATGCCAGGACTACCGCCAGTCCAGTTTGTGCAAGCCATAGCATCCGCATGGCAAACCACTTATGTTGTTGATGCAAGGCCCGTTGGAGGCGAAATCAACATCGTCTACCTGGGGCCGCGGGCACCGGTGCGCGATGTCCTCCTGCAGCTGCCCACATATCGGAGTGTTGGCCCTGTTGGCTCGGACCTTGTTGCACGCATCCGTGAGGGAGAGCTACGTGCCCTCTTTCGGGAAGCTGAGGTTGGTGTTGACACTGCCTTGCCAGGCCATGCACCCTTGGCTATCCTCATCGCACCCGGACGCAGCAGACCGGGCCCAAGGCAGCCCAACAACTCCCCTGCCGACCCTAGTAACTCCCAGTCCGACACCCTACCACACCCTAATAGTGCCAGCGCGGGTTTTTCTGGGTTCCTAGCTACTGGTCTGGCTCTCATGCGCGGCAGCGGCTGGAAGGGAGTGTTGGCCTGGGTTATAGGCTCCCTTTACGTTGATGCCACAGGTAGGGCGCAAAGCCTGCCAGCGGATCCTGATCGTGCTTCTAGGGCCGTGCCTGCACCGAATGGCCGTCTGGAAGTGGTGTACCATGATGCAGCCACGCACCTTCGGGTACAACAGACCATTCTGTCAGGCTTTGAAGGCGACTTCATGCCGATTGTCACAGGGTTCGGCTCACTGTTCCATTCGGTTGAGCTCCGCGTCTGCTTGTGGGCGCCGGACGATTTCGAGGAGTTCAAGTTCCCAGGCTCGGCCT